ATGCAGGAGCTATATGACCCCCGCATCTATTACCGACATCCTAGAGTGTTCTTGCTTCTATTCATCCTGTTCTAACATTCACCACCCTCTCTGCTTAATAAGTCCCATCCGACAACCTTCCAAACCTCTTCCATGAACCAGTCTTCAACACCCGTGTTCGTTGGAATAGAGTCCTTAGGATACCTCCCGGGCCTGGCAGGCTTTCGTAAGATGTCCAGTAGCTCGTTGTCATCTCCCTCGCCGAACATGCAGTGAATGAGCGTTCGCTGCAGTCGCTCTCTTACTCGGGGGTATAGAGGGGTTCTAGAGGTTGATGATACCGATGGCCTACTGCCAGCACTCCGAGCCTGATTGGACACATTGCGTGTACTAGCCGCTGATCTTGGGTTCATATAAAGTGGCGCAAGAGCCATGGCTCGCTTCAGCAATGTGACCAACGGGCGAACTTCCGTCTGAAAGGCGAGTCGTTCTACCTTGACGTCTTGTGTTGTATTGCGAGCATTTCTACTCGTACTCTCCCAACGTACTATGTCAGTTTCGATCAGCCGAGCCCGCTGGGCCCCAAACGTGGAAAAGAAGAGAAGGTCTCCGACGCGTTTGACGACTAAGAACAGCCAGCCCTCAAAAATCTCCCGTTCCACGGTATCGTTCTTATCAAGACTCGACAGCAAGTTGTATAGGAAATGGGATGTTGGATTCGGAAGACTGCCGCTGTCCCGCAATGGTTTCGCCCCAGACTGACCTACTCTGCCGGTTTGACCTGCCACCTCCGCCATTCCTAATCTTTTAGCCTTCTCAGCGATCTGATCAAGCAAAGAACGGTACATCCTAAGACACTCGTAGACAACAGAAGCAAGTAAAGTTTTGTCAAGGGCAGAACGGACTTTCCGGAACGCAGTGAGGACCATATTAAAAGCTCGTGAACATGCCACAACGGTCTGGATATGCGATGCTTCTGGTACCATGTCTTCGTTTCCATTACTTGAGGCCGGCCTAGTATGCGGGGTGGAGATTTGGCACGTCCCAATGGAGCGGACGATGTGTATCAACTGTAGGCAGATGGTTTCAGGATCTTCACTGTGTTGCTTGCGTAGCCTATGTAACCGCGATACAGACTCAGTGAGAATTTCAGCAACTGGAAATGTGATCAGCAGATTGTTGGTGGTCTATACATGGATTGAATGGTGTATCTCACAGCTGTGATCGTGGGCAGGGCTTTGCGGTCTGTCTCCGTCTACATGGTACGATTCCATATTTTCCGGCGGGCCCGCAAAAGATCTCGTAGTATCGCCCTTCGAGGATGTCATCGATTGCGATCGTGGAAGGACCTTTTGTTTGCGTTGTACCTGTCCGGTTTGGGAGGAAGGAGCACCATCGACGCTGGAATTCGATAACAAACCAGTTGGGCGGTTATTATCTTGCATGACCTCCATTCTCTTCTCAAGATTCGCGACTCGAGCATCCAGAATTTCGCATCTGTCCTTCCAGTAGGCTATACAGTCGAAGAACCGTTGGCGGCGAACACCCACTGCGTTCCCCCGGGCAACTTTGAGATGAGCACGTAGACGTAGGATATACTCTGCCGAACATCAGCTTTGAGTAGACGAGTGACTTAGTTTAAGCGGACCTCGTGGCGTAGTGTCATCAGGTTTCGTTTCCAATACCGCAACTGCCAGGGCTATCCTCAAACGAAACGAACAATCGCTCGACCAGCCAACAGCAACATCTGGCACCATACTTGTAGTTGAGGATCACCTCAAGAAAGGCCTAGGGCAGATTTTTCGTGATTCAAGGAGCCAGATCTGGGGTTCGCGATACAGACGAGTCATAGTGGAGTGGTTGGTGGGTGCGGTTGTGAACTTGGAAGGCACGCCTCCATAAGTCCACGGACCCACAAAGGCCAGATTCCTCGCTACAGGTAGCACGGCACGACAGGAATACATAGAGGATATATATAGGTAGGTACCGAAGTGAGTTCTGACGAGGAAGGGTAGATCATACGAGGGCCGTCTATCAACAGAAGGTGATCATATAAATTTTACAGTGCCAAGATAGGGCTTCTTATACACGGGTAGAATTACATACGAAGGTCGCCAATTCCATCATCGCGCGCATTTCCTTCTAGCTTCTAGTTTATCGCATGCGCTCAGTTCTCTTCTTGTATGGCAATGGCTCAACCCTCTTCCTCTTAAACTCGATATTGATTTGGTCGTCAAGGCCTGCCCTTTGCATCACGCCTGCCATATTTTCATCCCACTTAGTGCGGAACAGCGTGGCACCGATAGGCTTCAGTTGAAATCTATCAATAAAGCTGCGCAGAATGAATCCATCCCTCTTTGTTTTCGCAATTGACTGAGTGTCCACAGGCTTTGCCTCATTTTGCTCGAGAACGAAAACAACAAGGCGATGATACGGTGCACCTTTGTGTGCCCAAGGTGCCACCCACGGCAGTGCAATACTCCTTGCCGCTTCATCGGTGATCTTGTTGTCTTGGTGTTGAATCCTAGTGAATGGTACTGAGGTCTGCGTTGGCGAAATGGGAATATTAGCGGCGGCGAAGTGGCACCTGTACGAGAAACCATCCTTATCTGCAACTGGAACATCCGCATCTACAACAACCACAGTGATGAGTTTCTCGCCAGGTTCAAATGACTGGACGTTGAGCCGGGGCAGGCTTTCGCTTGTGATCGAATCCACGTACTCCCCGGGCGCAATGGTCTTTCGACCAAAAGCAATGTCAACGTCAGCTGTGGGGACCAGGGCAGGCACCAGATCAGGGACAATGTTGAACTGCGTCAGACGCTGCTCAAGCACAAGTCTTTTGTATTTTCGCCACTTTTGATCAGCGAGGTAACGATAGATTGGTTTATTCATATCTCCTGTGCTATGATCAGTCTTGTTCGGGTAAAGCGTCTTTTTGGAGAGGTTGTAGTTTACCTTGACCATCCTCGAACTTCTTCTTTACTATTGGGTCGTTGATATCGGCCAAGATAATGAGCTCTTCAAGACGATTCCGCATACTCCTCAACCTAGCTTCCTTCGCCTGAGCTCCGCCACTGACTGATGGATCCTGAGACAGTAAATTACTGATTCTCAAACTTTGCGTCTGAATTTGCTCCAGCTTCTCGCGCCTATCATCTAGCAAAATCTTTCTAGCCTCTTGAAAGCACTGATACGGCAGCTGCTCGAATGGTATTTCGGGAGTCTTGTTGATGTTCGATCGCCGAAGGGCAGCTCGGCGACGGCGGGAGCCTACAGGCTGGATGCCTTCTCTTCGAATGAGACGACGCTCATCGCGCTTGTTCTCAACGAGTTTGGGATCGAGTGTACCCCATTGCTGCATGAACTCAGGTTTCGAATTTTGCGATGCGGTAGTGGAGGGCACTGGCGTTGACGATAGAGGCGGAGGAGCGTTCGCATCGCGGATGATCTCTTTCTGATCTTGGGTAGATGCTGAAATAGAGAAGAGACGTGTTGTTGAACCATGCAATCCGTTGGTGGTGGTTACGGGCCGGACGCATCTTAGGCATGCATTGAGCTGCCACAATGCCGGTTTGACGGATACCATTGTATTCAATCGGTAGACCAAAATGGTCCTGGTGCTTTTCGTGCGCGAAAATACCAGCCCTGGTCGCAGAGACTATGTAGGAACGGTGGGTGTAGATCGTTGTAGGAGTTGGAGTGCACACAAAATCAATTAGACTCGTCCAGCCTGCCAAGCCTCAAAAAAGTTTCCGACCTCCGCCCCAAGCTCCGCGATCCAACTCTGGAGACGACCAAGAAGCTGCATTGTCCCGCCATTCATGACAATTCTACCGGCAATGGCTTCCGCGAGGTTATTGTTACCAGTGAGGTCCACTGGTTCCCCGTGGAGCTGCATGCCATCGCACAAGGGCATCAATTCCGTACGTTGTCTCTCGCCTTCCAGACCGTCACACTCTAACATTCCTGCAGAAACCGCTCACAGCAACATTTTCGCGAACTATATCAACTTCGCCATCACCGCTTGCATCCGTATCTACTACCAGCTCGACTAAATCAGAAACTTTTGTTCCCCTAACGCCGTTCGGACAGCAGACCGTCCACGCTACCATACATCATTTTCCCTCGCTCGAACCACTGCACCTTGAAGAGTACCCAGCAAACCACCTAAACCTTCCCACAAGACGCGACATCCTACATCGAGCAGTAATTTTTGAGGGCGATGCCTCGCGGCGAGGTACTGCATCTACAAAATGGCGGGACGAGGTGCGAGGCTCATCGCGCAAGGTGCGGCCCCAAAAGGGAACCGGCGCCGCTCGATTGGGCGATAGAAGAAGTCCCATGTTGAAGGGTGGTGGTGTAGCATTTGGTCCAAAGCCTCGTGACTTCTCTACGGAGCTACAGAAAAAGGTCTACGATCTCGCTTTTCGAACCGCTCTTTCGTACCGCTTCCGGAGAGGCGAACTCATCATAGTAGATAACGCCTTAGAGCTGGAGAGTCCATCCTCTGAACTACTCAAGGCAATCTTCAATGCTCATGGCTGGTGGGGAAAGTCAAGCGGAAGCAGCCTTCTGATCACAGTCAAGGACCGCCCACTTCTCGAGATGACCCTTGCCCAGACACCTTTGAAGGGTCAAGCACTCCTATGGGACGAAGTAGACGTGAAGGACCTGCTTGGTCAGGGAAGAGTGGTCATAGAGAAAGGGGCCTTGCAGATGCTCTTGCTCAAACATCAGGATGACCTCCCGAAGCAACCGCGCTCGCCTGCAAGTACATTGAATCGTGTGACTGAAGAGTTACCGGAAGTTCTGGGATGGTCGGAATTCAGCAGACTCGAAGTCGCTGCTCTGGAAGAGGAGCCAGAAGAGCAACTACGATTAAAAAGCCGGCTGTACCATGCTGTAGCAGACAAGAGACAAACGCAAGCTGCAACCAAGCCAGAACCCGAGGCCACGAGACTCCATCTGTCATCATTAGAAGCGCGTGAGGAAGCATACAAGGCACAAGCCGAAGCTATAACCGAGCATTTTGATCTCAAGCGCCAAAGTTCTGAGAAAGAAAAGCTTGCTGGACTGAAGGATGCCAATGGCCCTGAATATCTCCAGTTATTGAGGGAATCGAGTTTCTTAGATGCATTGGCCATGCATCATCAGACGAAAAAGATGTCCTACGAAGCGAAAGCTGCATTCACACGGGGAGATGCATTGGATCTGCGAGGCGACGGAGCATCAGCGTACAGTTGGCGAGAATATGCTGAGGTACTTAAAGCGGAGGCAGATGATCTACGGACCGAGATTGAGAACACCCTCACTGGTGCTGACATGAGCTCCGCGACGGACGAGGAGCTTAAAAAGTTCAAGAGCCTCCTGGCGTACACACAACGGAAGAAGACTGGGTATGCTTTATCCCAGGAAAATGCCTCTGGTGAAGGAGAGCAAGTGTCTGTATAAGCACAGGCGCCGTTATAGGGCCGCCTGGGCAGAGTTATGTACAACTATGTAGTATATTTGACCTGTTTCATGTCTCTGGCAGGATCTGATCTAGCCGAATACTGCAATACTGCTGCATTCTGTCGTGACTTTTGCAGACCGAAAAGAGCTCCCTCACCCTCTTTGGCGACAGACGACAGAACCATCCTTATCAACGATACGTACGTACCCACTTGCGGCCTAAGAGCCTTCCTGAAGGCTACACAGTTGTGTCACCTATTGCTTTCCCTTGTCCTTTGACTCCAATCTCTTTCCTTCAAAGACGAGTGTCATGACCCCACCAAGGACTCCTTCGGGCTCCTTGGATTGTGCTGCTCCCTTGACTTCCGCCACAGCGTCGCGTATGCTAGTGACTACCTTCTTGCACTCCTCTATCGTCGCTGCTCGGCCTCTTCTCTTTGGACCTAACAAGAGTTCCACCTTTCTTCCATCTCGAAGAAACCCTTTCATCTTTTCAAGCCGATGTTTGAGGTCACCACCCGCGATTGCCCAATTGAGCTCTAAGTTTTTTGCGCTCGGCCCACTGCTCTGACCTGTGTCTCTCCGCCTCTCAGCATCCAACTTCTTCTGCTGTCGTGCGCGAAGATCGATCTTGGAAATAATCTTGCAGGTCGGGATGGCCGATTCGTCATTTTCCGAACCTGCTCCTTGGACAAGAAGTAGATGGTTCTGTACACGGTCGTATGAAACCTGGTCGCGTGGAAAGTTGTGGTGAAAGTTGCCGTCCAGGTCGACTAAGTTTATGTAAGGCGCAGTGATTGCGTTATCGATGGTATAGGTGTCGGAGAGCGCATGTCGCCGCACTGGTTTCTTATACACTATGGTGCGGAGGATGGTCCTTGGCTTGAGGACATTCTGGGATAACAACGGCGGGGGTGCGACGAATACCCGGTACAGTGCTCGTGAGGTGCTAGAGAGGTGGAGGGGAGACATCCCGTATGTAGTCTTCCTGAAGTGGGATTGAAGAAGAAGTAGACACCACAATGCTCTAATGAACGCTTGGTCTGATCTCTGGGTACCTATCTTATGTGCTTCAGAGTTCATGTGTTGCGCTCGCTCACTGGACTTCGAGCTTTTTGGAGGAGCTTGGACCAACCTTTCCGATCCTCCGACCTCCGACATCAGCCCAGTCAGTCTGCAAAGATATTTTATCTCTCTCTACCGAGTACAGAATAACGACCTACTGTGTATAGTTTACCGATCATTGTCTCGAAAATGAGAGCCAGCTAATGTTCAGATAACTACCTAATCTTTACGGGCACGTTATTTTTATCTGATGGATTCCGTGCAATCCTGTGTTTCCTAAACTTTCTATTCGATATTCGCAGAGTTTCATGCATAGAAGTCGGAAGCAATCCACCAATCTTTACAAAACAAAACAATGCCTGCAACACCGCTCTCTCTGGCGTGGCCCTCATTCAGGCCATACACCTGCACATCGTGTCTGTTACGTCTCTCGAGAGTATCCAGGCGCTCTCACGCTTCCTCTGCACCGATAATTGGATCGCGACCCAAGAAGTCGAAAGCATCACTTCCCGACGTCCCAGCCCGAACACGCTTCGCACCATCACCGACTGGTTTCCTCCACCTAGGCTCTCTCCGAACGGCACTATTCAATTACCTCCTCGCACGCCGCACGGGCGGCCAATTTTTACTCCGAATCGAGGATACAGATCAAAAACGAACAGTCCCAGGCGCTGAAGCGCGACTGCTGGAAGATTTACGGTGGGCTGGATTGGAATGGGATGAGGGCCCCGAAGTTGGAGGCCCCCACGGGTCATATCGTCAATCCGAGAGGAGCTCCTTGTATCGTACCCACGCGCACGATCTTCTACAGTCCGGGCATGCATATCGATGTTTCTGCACTCCAGAACGCCTCCGTACCCTTGCGGAACATCGCCACGGCTTGGGTCTCGCCACTGATTACGATAGAACCTGCGCCAACATTCCCAGGGAGGAATCCGACGATCGTGCGCACCGCGGGGAGAAACATGTCATTCGATTGCTCGCTTCCACAACATATCCTGCCTATCAAGACATAGTTTATGGCGCCTTCAAACCTCTGAAACCACGCCTTCAGGGTGATAACAGCTTCGAGGACCCGATCCTCCTGAAGTCGGATGGATTGCCAACATATCACCTTGCTAACGTCGTGGACGACCATCATATGCAGATCACACATGTAATCCGAGGTTCAGAGTGGATGCCTTCCACGCCCAAACATATTGCCATGTACGATGCATTCGGCTGGGCCCCTCCACAATTCGCGCACGTTGGTTTACTAGTTGACGAACATGGTAACAAGTTGAGTAAACGTAACTTCGACACCGATATCCAGGCATTCAAAGATATGGAGATATTTCCCGAGACATTGACCAATTTCGCGGCTCTTTTAGGATGGAGCCACCAAGGAAGAAGCGATGTCATGGATTTGAACAAGCTAGTCGAGAAATTTACGCTGAAGTTCACCAAGGGAAACACAACGGTCACCTTTGGTAAATTACAGTTCCTACAAAGAAAGCATGCAGCGGTGCGTGCGTTGGCTGGTGGTGAGGGCCGACAGGATATGGTGCAGAATGTCCTCTCCCTACTCCAAGACCCGGAAGGTCCCTATCAAGACTGGCAATCGCACATAAGCGGGTCGCCATCAACATTCGTTGAGCAGATTATTCAATCAGATGGAGAGAACTATACGAACGCAAATGAATTTGTGCACCGGAACTCATTCATGTTCAAAAGGCTGCGGCAAACTCCAAACTCAATACACGATAAAGACATTGCGTTTAGAGTGAAGGCATTGGGGGATACAAAGTCATGGTCTAGAGAGGAACTGATGCAAAAGGTTCGCGAAATCATCGATGATAGACCTGAGGGTAGGAAAGGGTCAAAAGACGTCTATCATTACTTGAGGAGCGCTCTCACAGATCGAGAAGATGGAATGCGGATCTACGACGTAATGATGATCCTTGGCCGAAAGGAGACCCTGGCAAGATTAGGAATAGAGGAATCATAGAACCGAAAGGCGTAGTTTAGACACCCAGGTGTACAGTACTCGTACTGTTGACGTGTTTGTTTTGAAGTTCGCAATAAACCATGAAGATATATTTCCTACGATCCTTGAAGACTGATACCATTCTGGCCTTGTCCCAACTTAGAAACGATAGCCGCGGGGATTTTCATTCAGGCAGTTGACTGATCAGTCTGGAAGGCATCGATCCAGAGAGTTTATTGATTAACAATCGAACGTGTCACTTCGAAGACATTATTGTGATCTATCTGAGAACGCTGAATCAGATACTATGGTTTGTACCTATTATTATCTTGGCTCTGATAGATGGAAAGTCCATGCTGAGAAGGATTTGCACTTCTCTCTGATCCCGTCGACAGCATCTGCCATCCGGCAACTACACAGGTAAAGGTTTGCGAAAGAATCTTGCAGTGGTGGCTATATTGCGGAACCGCCCGTCAGCCTCATGATTGCAGTAACTCCATGCCTGCGAAATTGTATTGGACCAGTCGCTAATAAGACCTCAAATGTCCCAAAACGCCAGAGATTATGCACCTCGTTCTGTCCCTGCAATGCTTGGTCTTACATTCCGGTTGACCCAGCACAAAAATCGATCAGCTCTTCATTTCCACCTCTGTTGAGGGGACAGAAATGTTGTCGTCCTTCAGCTCAAACACCTGATGCTTCACTTTGGCGGCGAGGAGACCCATTTCCTCTTCTCTAGAGATCTTTCCTCCCGCCCCTCCTAGCTTAGCTAATTGTCCACCTTTCGAATCGCCAAGACTTCCTTTGTGATACCTTTTGATGTTGTTGTTTTCCTGATGAAGCTTGCTAGCGAGGTCACGGATCTGTTTCGTGCCGTAGTCGCGGTTGGAAAAGAGGGGAGATGCCGATAAGGTGCCAACCCAGTATTTGTTCCACAAAGCCTCCAATAATTTGGTGTCAAGGGAGGATTTGTAATGGGAAACGTCGAGGGAATAGTAGTGGTTTGCATGTGCTCCGAAATCCTCGATCTTGCCCAACGGTATCGTCTGCAAACCATCTTCACCTACACCGGCCGAAGCGCTTTGAGACTTGTCTTTTTCCTTGACATACTCCTCAGAGTACGTTCTAAACGCGCCGATTTCGACCTTTCCAGCAGAGACAGTGCGATCTGGATCTATGACCACGGCAACGAATGGGTCCTGGAACATCTGCTGTGTCTTTTGAGTGTTGACGTCAATCCCACTTAGCCAGCATCCATAACCAGGGTGTGAGTGGTACCAGCCAACAGCGTTCTCCATCTGACCCTGCTCACGCGCCTGGTGTAAGAACTCCACCATGTACTCATTTGCTTCGTCCTGGGCATTGACGCGAGTCTCGGTCCCTTCCACGGGCAATCGGAAGGCGTCAGTGACAACGAATGTATTTGCTTCAATCTTCCCGAGCATCAAGCCCATTACTTCGAGAGATCCACCGGAGCGTGCATGCATGACCATCTTGAGCAGTGCGACTGCAGAGATACGGACAGAGGTGAAATGGTGCGGGTCGGTGCGCCATGGCCGGGCGTTGTTGATGGCCCTTTGGGAATCGGCAGAATAGGAATAGAGGGCATCTCGGGTTGGGTCGACGAGTTGTATAGAGTTTTCTAGCTCTGGAATTCCGTTAGTGAGTGATTGTGCATCTGTAGGTAGGTAGGTAGGTGTGGAGGAATTGATCGTGGTAGACTGAGGGCGGCGAGCATTCAACGTACCCCATGTCTTCATGGAGGTTTCCATGATTGTCAGCGGTTTATGCGTGCGAAGTTGGAATGAGGCCAAATGGACGGTCGAGAGAAGAGTAGATAAAGTATTGGTATGGGTAGGTAGGTAGGTAGGTAGGTACCTTGTAGGTAGCTACCAGTCTTAGTAAAGATGTCAGAGCTACGGACAGGCAACTTCATGGGGGGATGGTGGGGCGGGGGAGGGCGGGGCACCAAGGCACGCGGAGGCGAGGCGAGGCGAGGCGAGGCACAGGCAAGGTACCTTTATAGACTTTATGTACCCTCAAGCACCAACGTAATAGTTTTGAGGTAGGTACGGTAGGTGAATCACTACCTAGGTCCTCCGTACACAGTAGAACTTTGGAGCGGGTAAGCAATTCTCTTTTGATGAGCCAAAGGGCAATTCCGCAGGCAACAGCAAGCAAGCAACAGCAGCGACCTCTACATACTAAGTTTACCTCTTTTCTGTACATCATGAAGATAAGTGCCATGAGGTCAGGTACTTTGGTTCATGCTATGAATACCTAGATACCTATCGAGTATTGTATCAATTTTTAGATTTAGTAACGGCAGATCCATCAGTCAGGTACATGCACGTTAGACGATATATGATTCACCTCTGTGTCTATCTAGGTATTTATGAGATGCCTGTCTCGTTCTGGGAGATGAATGAGCACAGTCCGTAAATGTCGTGGCTGACTGGCTGCAATGTATGTACGCTCGTAATTCACGCTCACCGGCCTTTCCTACCTTCCATTTCTTTATCCATTTTCTCGTTCATTGAATGCGCTTCTGCCTCCATCTTGGCCATCCATCTCCGTGTCAACTCTTCGTTCTCCAGTCTCAGCTTCTCCTTCTCCTGTTCTGCCATATTCAGCTGTAAATTCATTGCCACCATCTCATCCTGAACCTCCTCGACAAATCTGCCTTTTCCCCGCAACTCATCCGCACGGTCTTTGACTTTCTGTTCCAAGTATTCCTTCGTCTTCTCCAATTGAGCAATGCGCTTCTTCTGCTCGGTCGCCGCTAATCTCAAACCCTCGAGTTCCACGCCCTGATCCGATACTTTGGTTTCTAAATCATTGCGTAGTTTCTGCGTTTGTGCCAATTCAGCACGGATCTGAGTAACCTCTCCCGAGGATGGTGTCGAGAACGTCGCGTCAGGTGCCGTGGCATCTAAGGGTCCATACGACTGCTTTTTTGAACTAGTGGGTCTGAGAGGTAAGCTGGAGATGGGTACGGATCCCCCAGCAGACGAGACTGATGGGTACGTGGAAGCTGCCGACCGATCGGCGAATCGAGTAACTAGATTGTACTGATTGAGCGAACTATACACTATTGGCAGAGTATGGCCTTAGCACACTACGTACAGATTTGAATGTAGTGCGCGTGTGACTGCTCGCGGGCATCGCGAGCTTCAAGAGCTGACAAGTACTCTACAGATGGGGTACTCATGGTGGGTGGTCGAATGGATGAGATTGTGCACGGTGCTCTGGGACTGTGTTGTTGAATACTGACATGATATGGCAACGAAACAGTGCCTTATGTAGCTATGCCAGATGTCGGCTCATTGGGAAGAGGTATGGTAACAAATGAGGACCGTTTGACGAAGGAGTGCGAGGAGGTGAAAGGAGGGAAGTTGAGAGTGAATTCACACGTCGATGCATCGACGAAACCCGGCAGTCGGGTGGAGGCCCCTCCGGATCACAAATTAGGCGCGCACCCAACCAACAAGCGCGCGCATGCATAATTAGGTAGTTTCTTAGTGGAGGCGGACGAAGTCCCGCTGCCTGTAGAATAATCATTTTCCCATCTCCCATATCGTACACATTTCACAGCAAACTCTGATTCTATCCAACAACACGAGGCCAACGGACGCTCGAATTGTTTCGTTTCAAGAACTCCCACACTCCATCCACACGGCTCAGGCTTAGCAGCATCTGCACCTAATTTTCTTTGGTATCGGAAAGCAGACTAGAGTTTGACAAGAGTAAGTTGACTCTCTTCTGAAGAGGAACTTCCACTAATCAAAGTCACCATTTCAGTGAATGACGTTGATGACATTGACCTCTATGGTATGTTCATACGGTTCATGAACCATTCGATGACATCCTAATCTTCACAGAGGTCCTCGGGATTACCAGCGGGGCAAGCAAGGCAGAGATTAAGAAGGCATATCACAAGGTGCGTCCTACCAGATGGCTCGCGATACCATAGAGTAAACCCCTCTGACACACGATATGACAGGCCGCTCTATCACATCACCCAGACAAGGTTGTGGAGGAAGAGCGCGTAGAAGCTGAAATTCGATTCAAATCCGCGAAGCAAGCGTACGAAATTCTCTATGATGACGAGAAACGACACCTCTACGATACCCACGGCATGGCAGCATTCGATCCCAGTAGAGGCGGCGGTATGGGAGAGGGACCTGACATTGATGACATATTTGCTTCCATGTTTGGAGGTATGGGCTTCGGTGGTGGCATGCCAGGCATGGGAGGCATGGGTGGTATGCCTGGCGGGCCCGGGCCCAGGAACGTTCCAAGAAAAGGCCGAAGCGTAGAACAGGAATATCAAGTCACCCTTGAGGAGTTGTACAAGGGCAAGACAACAAAGTTCTCGAACACGAAAAACGTTGTTTGTCAAACATGTAAAGGGTCAGGAGGCAAGCCCGGCGCAAAACCTCACGATTGCAGCGTATGCAACGGTAGAGGTATGTTCTCGCTCTCTTCAGGTTTCGGACCTTCGAACCCTGCTAACAATACAAAGGCGCAAAAGCTGTTTTGCGACAAGTAGGTCCGGGCCTTGTGACACAAGAAACCGTTACATGCTCCACTTGCTCGGGCTCGGGGAAGCTGTTCAAGGAGAAGGAACGCTGCAAGAAATGCAAAGGGAAGAAGGTCAATGAAGCCAAGAATGTTCTTGAGCTCTACATCCCTAGGGGCGCGCGGCAAGGCGACCGCATCGTCCTCGCCGGAGAAGCCGACCAGCTCCCAGATCAAGAACCCGGCGATATCATCTTCACTCTCGAAGAAGCACCGCATGACGTCTTCGAGCGGGCAGGCGCAGATCTGAGAGCAGAGCTGAAGGTCACGCTAGTGGAAGCCCTCGTGGGCTTCAATAGGGTCATATTAACGCACCTTGACGGACGCGGCATCCAATTGCACGTTGAACAGCCAAATGGGAAAGTCCTGCGACCAGGAGACGTGCTCAAGGTTCCGGGTGAAGGCATGCCCATGAAAAAGAGTGATGCGAAGGGCGATCTCTATCTCGTTGTCGACGTGGAGTTTCCCGAAGATGGATGGCTGAAAAACGACGAAGCCATCCAGAAGATCAAAGATGCTCTTCCGGCTACCACCATACCCGAGGACAAGCCTGACGATGTCGAGGAGGTCGAATTCGAATTCGGCGCTGACATGGACGATTTTGGCGCTGGTAGTGGCGATCCACGCGCAGGCAATGAATGGGAAGATGATGATGATGAACAGGGAGGTCCTCAATGTGCTACCCAATAATCGGCCGAATGACATTGTTTCTCATCGAGGGCGTTCAATGCGATTGCATCTCTTTTTGGGTAGCCTCCTATCCCATTGGAAGATAAATAGCATAGCGAAATGGGTTTGCGTCGTGATGAGGGCGTCGCAGTCTAGTCCGGTGTCTGATGTTCGTATGGACTGGCATTTGGTCCCACCTGTGTAGGCTAATAATTTTGGCCACGGAAGAAGTCAATCGTGTTATTCAATGGAGATGATTTGGGCAAATGTATCTGGAAGACATCTAAGAGCCGGCGAGATGATAGAAGTCATGGCTCCTCCGGCGAGTACGTTCGTAGATCATTGTGGCACTTTTTATTGCGTAGGGTACAAGAAACAGTATAGGTATATACTTAGTTAGATTGTGGTGCTATGGTGGAGATCTGGCCAATGACCTCAACGTTATGAATCATAGATCATCTGTGCACACTATGTCCACCCACCTCGTAGTTGTTGAAAAGCTCGCATCCCTCCACTCTTTACCGGTCTCAACCTTTTCGCAACGCACAAGACCGACATAAGACAATGTTGAAGCTAATCCCACATACCGTGGATATTCTGATTCTGGGTGCTGGGTGGACGTCCACATTTCTAATCAATCATCTCGAAGCAGAGGGCATCACGCATGCGGAGACAACAACAAGTGGCAGGGAGGGAACCATACCATTCAAGTTCGATTCAGATTCGCATGATTTGGTGCCCTATCAACGACTGCCCCAAGCGCGGACGGTTCTGATCACCTTTCCGCTGATCGGACGCGGTGCATCCACACGCCTGTGCGAGCTGTATCAAAAAACGCATGGTGCAATAGAACATCACTGGATTCAATTAGGTTCGACGGGTATTTTCAACCAGGGTACAGGGTGGATTTCCGAGGAATCAGATTACGACAGCGCCAACGCACGGGCAGTAGCCGAAGACGAACTTCGCACTGCCTTTAACGGCTGCGTGCTCAACCTCGCAGGCCTCTACGGTCACGATAGAAAGCCTTCCAACTGGTTGGGTCGTGTAGCAAAGTCAAAGGATGATGTCCGGGCGAAGAAGGCAGTTCATTTCATCCATGGGGAGGATGTGGCGAGGGCAATCAGCGCAACCCATCGAAACTTTACGCCTGCAAAGAGATGGCTCATCACGGATATGAGGGTGTACGACTGGTGGGATTTGATCCTGAGTTTCAGCTCTGCGGCGAGTGAAGGGCAAGAATCGGAGTACGCAACCTGGATTGCAGAGTTAATGGAAGAGCATGACATCAAGGCATTACCGAGGGACACCAACGGACTCGGCAGAAGATTGGATTCGAGGAGATTTTGGAAGACAATGAATTTGTGGCCGGAACATGCAAGATTAGCTTAATCAAATAATTCTCGTCAGTAGAGAAAAAGGGTTATGTGCCCGGGCTATGAGAGGGTGTGTGTGTAACTACAGAGGGTTGGCACGTCGGGCTGACCCCATGCTACTCGCAGTATTTATGCCTACAACAGTGTCTTAGCGAGGTTTATTGCAAGCAGTTAAGATTGTTTACTGGCTACAGTACATTTTTAAGTAGACACTTTAGGTATAGAAGATACATGAAGTTAGCAGGTGGCCAGCCCGACGTGCCAACCCTCTGTACATGTTACATGTACATAACCACGAGATTCCTGATTTAGGTATTCAGGTACCGGGATAGTTTCGATATGTCTATCTCAAGCAGGAATATTGGGCCCATAGCTTCTATCATTCTATCATGCAGTGTATTGTATTCTAAGGTAGGTCCATGTACACATACGTACTTGATTTGTACCAAATTGGTAGGTAGGTAGGTACTAGGTACCTAGGTAACCAAAGATGTTATCACCGCCGTAGCCGCCCAAGTTACGAGGTATAATTTCTACATATCGACATACCTGACTACTCCGTACCTTAGATTGCTATTCGTGATACCCACTCTGTCCAGGTAGATCGGAAGATAACCTATTTGTGGACGTGATCCTGTCATGTGATGCTCAATTCCCCCGCTCATTGACATGACATACTGCCCTTATCGCTTATCTTATCAGGATGCTGCACCCGATGCCTGACTACCTCGTGCCATGCGCATTGCATGTCTTCCCTTACTTGTTCAGCCTTGAATCAAAAGTACCCAGGTGGAGCTCGTTTTTGAGTTGCCATTGCAATTACTGGTGCATTTATTCGTCTGGCCTGACCTGATCTGGCCTGACCTGGCTAAAACGTCTCCGAATAATCATTGCAGTTTCCCCTCCTCTTGAAAGTGGGAAGTCATCACTTACTACTTCGTACACTCACGCTGCATTCAGTCGATTCATCTTCCCTAAGCCTCTACAACTCTGATTCGAATCTACGCCATCTCCTTCAGTCGTTATCGTGATTTCCATTATACACGCACTGTGATCTACTAGTTGTCAACACTTGGCAGAATGTCAGCAATACATATCGACAAGGCGGTCGCAAAGGATGATCTGGAAATCCCGGTATGTACTTGTGTCCATATCTATTGGTGCCGGCAGATCTCATATCTCAAATGAATCAGTTCACTATTTTATATACATATATGTTGATACCTATTAGCTTATTGACTTTTCTCTATTCCTGTCTGGGGATACAGCAACGAAACAAGCCACGGCCCAGGCAGTCTTGGAGGGGTTCCAGAAATCAGGCTTCATTTACTTGAAAGGCCATGGCATTTCTCCTACCACAATCTCGAACGTTTTTTCTCATTCGGCCAAATTCTTTGCACGTCCACAGCAGCAAAAGGACGCCCTGGCTTGGTATTCTCCCGAGGCAAATCGTGGATACACCGCCCAAGGCCGCGAGAAGGTAACAGATCTAGAAGAAATTGACGACGTTGCTAAGCTTCGGACTTCCATTCCGGATTTGAAAGAGTCCCTTGAGATTGGCCGCGAGGGGGAGGCAGGTATGCCCAACATGTGGCCGTCTGTCGATGGCGATGAAGAAGCGAAGACCTTCAAGGAGGTCATGGTAGGGTTTCACGAGACATGCAAGGGCCTACATATGGAACTCATGCGTGCAATCGCAATTGGCATGGGTATAGAGGAGAATTGGTTCGATTTATACACCGACGTTGGTGATAATACGTTGCGTTTACTCCATTATCCTGGTGTCAGCAAGTCCGTGTTCAAAAGGGAAGATGGTCAGCTCCAGGTAAGGGCGGGCGAGCATAGTGATTACGGTACGTTAACTTCGTTGCAAGTCGAGACTTGAGGTTGTTCAATGCCATTAATTTCTTTAGGCTCTATAACCCTTCTGTTCCAAGATGCTCGCGGCGGTCTCCAGGTCCGCTCGCCTCGTGGGACATTCGTCGATGCGGAACCTATTCCAGGCACCATTGTCATCAACGCAGGCGATCTACTTGCTCGCTGGTCCAACGATACAATCAAATCAACGAAGCATCGTGTTGTTGAGCCTCCGCCCCAAATGAGGGAAGACCAATCGAGTTTCTACCCTCCACGGTACTCTGTAGCATACTTCTGCAATCCAAATTTTGAGCGTATAATTGAAGCTATTCCTGGTACATACGAGGAATCAGGAAAGAAGTACGGTGCAATCAAAAGTGGGGATTACTTGGTAAGGAGATTGACTGCAACGTATTGATAGGATGATGTAGTTGGGCTTGCATTCTCAAAATCAGTTTCATTTGAGCTCCTTATCTGCTACGTGAATCCTGCTGCTTGTGAACAAATATCTCTTTCATTGCCCATAGAATTCCAACTCCCATGGATCTTTTCATGCGCAGATTTTGTTTTCAATCCAATTCTGCCTAGAACAAACAGCGTCGCGACCATGACTTCCGTCGAACGGTAGGTAATCACGATGACTCTACAAAAAGGGATAATGGGCACAGGGGACCAATGTCTGCACTAAACCGGCATTAGGATCACTGATGCATGAACCAAGCACAACAATACCCTGGGATCGCTTTTAAAGATGTTCATGGACCCAGAGGTCCAAGCCGTCGAATTGGCACGTTCACTGGCTTCTGGTAATTTTGTTTGAGTAAAAAAAATCGTTCATTTCCAATAGGGTGAGGTTTATGTCGCCTCCCTATTGAAATACCACTGTCCACTACTTTCTTTTCTTTGCCAATCTCTTCTCGGCCCGAACGTCCTTCTTCAAACGGGGATCGACCATCTTGTACTTGCCCTTGGTTCCTTTTGGTCTTCCTTTGATACCATTGTTCCCGCCTTTAGCCACAACGACTGTCACTTTTTGCTTTGGCTTCTTCTTTGCCGCCCTGCTCATCAATCTAGCAATGCTCTGTGCCTTGTCTTTTTCGGTCATTCCTTCCTCATCTGCCAATAGAGCACTCTTCTTCTTCAGCTTTTCTAAGCGCTGTGCTGCCTTAAACTTCTTCCTCGCTTTCGCTTCTCGGACCTTCTTTATGGGACGTGCATTGAGAGCACGCATCTTCTCCTTTATGGCCGCCGCAGCCTGTGCACTAATAGGACGTTGAAGCTTGGAATGCTTGTTTTCGTCATCAAGGAACCAATCCGGCAGACCATCGACATCACGATGAGAATATCGGTTCTTTCGAGATCGTTAGCTCAAGCGACTACGGACGTCGGAAAAAGTACTTACGAAAGAATCATCAAGCAAGTCATGCTTGGTCCTTTTCCCAGTCGCTAGCTCATGTGCCAGGGTCATTGCTTGCTCAGTAATGATATCGATGTCTGGTCGACCATTCTTCATCGGCACATCATCTCGCTCCCAAGCTGACTCGTCGTGCTTGACCTCCTCGATATCGTCTCCTGCGTCATCGTCTGCCCACTCATGTGATTCATCGGAATCAGAAGAAATACCGGGACTCGTCGCTGGGTCCTCTGACTCCATGCTCACAGTTTTGTGGGACTGTGAAGTTGCCAATTCCTTATCTGCAACATCGATACCACTGTCCGCATTCTCATCATCTTCGTCATCTTCGTCATCTTCCTCGTCCATGCCGTCAAGACCGTCGATGCCTTTGAAAACATCCTGATTGAAAAATCGTGAGGCGCGTACGGTTAGGCCATCTTGGGATGGGTTGGCGAAGTCCATGATAAGTCTATTTGTGGTTTCTTCGTCTCCACTGATGGAACTGGCGTCATCTTCAACAAGATCCCCATCACTGTTTTGCTCCTTATCCTCATCAGAAAACCCATGCCACTCGCCATCGTCATCCTGTTTACGGGCTCGCTTTGCACGATACTTGGCGTCTCTGGCAGACCTATTTTCGACATAGTCGTTGTACATGTTATCCAGTTCGCGATCAAGCCGGTCCTCCTCGTCATCGCTGGACGCATCGCTATCGTCATCTGTCGAATCATCTACTTTGGGTTGCTCGGTATAGGTAGTCATCCGGCCACGACCGAACTTGTCCAGCGCGCCTGCTTGATCAACTTTCTTGAGATCAAAGATGGAATCCTCGCCATTTGGACCAGATTGTTCAAGTCCGATGTCCATAGGTGCCGATATACCCAATTGCATGCGTATGATCTCCTTCTGCTTGCGCTCGTTGGCTGCCCGCCTGTCCTTTCGCTTTCTTCTCGATTCTTGCTCTTTCAATCTCTCCATCTCTTCCTGGATCTTGAGCTCCTCATCCATTGACTCGATCTCGGCCACCTCCTCGTTTTCGGCGGCGTCCTCTTCCGTTTTCTTCTTTGTAGAGAAGCCAAATATCTCTCGAACTGTTATGTGTCAACAAAATGAGCGCATATAACATTGTTGTGGTAACTCACCTCTCAACCTCCACTTCAACAACCGTTTGAAATCCGATCTTCCGAGTACCTTCAGATCGGCACAGCAATCCCGTATCTCTTGGGTTGTTTCCGGAAGCTTCGCAATTGTTGCAATAGCAATATCCCCGTTTGGCTTTTGGTCGAACGACAATTTGTTCATCGTACCAAGCATATCAATTGGATCGGCCGTTTGAATAAACTCACTCACAGGCGCCTCCTTGAATTGTGTCCAATCGCCCTCTTCGTATCCTTCCCTCTTTCTCTTCTTCACTTCAGGATTGAAAACCTTTGCCTCATTATTTGGTGCTGGCGCTGCAAGTTCCGCGAAAACGTGTCTAGCATCAAGGAACTTGGGGTCAAGGTGTTTGGGCGCTTTGAAGCCTCTGGCAACGACGAATATCTCTGCCGAGACGTTTCTAGAAGAAGGTGGTTTCGTAGCTTCGACTTTGGCGAATAGTTGGTTGAAAACCCAGAGCAAGGAATTATAATCTTTGGATCGGAAAACTTTCGTAACAAATGTACCACCCTACTCAAATCCAATCAGCAACCTTCCAATCAAACTGAGAATACGCGAAGTGTAGATGTGCACTGAGTTCGTAAACATTATAGGGCGAATACTGACCTCTCTCAAGAATTCCACAGCCAATTTGAGCGACTACGGTGACTGTTAGTTGCGATTTCAAGATCGACGAGCTGAGTTACCGACTTGAAGAACGAGCTCAGCCTGGCTAAAAGCATCATGAACCCAAGACGCGCCAACATTTGGGGCGCCATCGTGTAATACCACATCCGCCTTCAGTGTCTTTATGTGTTGTCTTATCATTTGTCGACAGCTCGCGGTTGTGATATCGTTCTGGAAGGTTATACAGCGTGGGATTGGCTAGAAGAGTAACGTTAGACACGGCTCCAAAATGCATCGACAGTAGGAGTCTCGGGACATACTTTAATGGGCGCTAGATCGACTCCAATAATGAGAGAATTAGGAGGCATCACCTCACTGCGAAAATCTTAGCAAGCCATTGAGAAAAGACTGCGGAGGGCGCTACCTTGCCACTTGACACCATGATCCAGGCGCAGCACAAAGATCGATAACGACTTTGCATCTATGGTCTAAGAAATTGTACTTCTTGTTAAGTTGAATCTATTTGTGGAGGTTTAATTAGCAACTGGTTCCAGTTGGTTGATCCGATTGACAAACCAGCTTGAAGGCGGCTCGAGCCCTATAGCCTTTCTCTTTAGCCAGCTTGTACCATTTGTCCAAGCGACCTTTTCCATGCTTCTTCTGGATAGCCATTGCGCCTTGTTGTTGTTACCCGTAAATGGGCTGTTGGTACGCAGGAGAGTGTCTTAAGCACGGAATGTCTTGCGCTGGATTTTTTTTTGAGTAGGTTCCGTCGCGGCTTCTTAGCGCCGGGTCGAGTCCTAGTCCAGATTCGGTTAGAACTGCACTTGCGGCCGGAGAGCATACAGTACAACGTCATCCACCATAGTTTATCGTAACTGCCTATCCACGACCTACTATTTGTGTACATAGACATCCTGATCTTACCGGATACACTACGCTATCTAGAATTTGTTTTATTAAAGGCGCGACACATATACTTTTTAGTTTTGAGCTCATATTCTGCCGTGCTCCAACGCTCCAGGCTACTCCAGCACTACTCTAGCTCGCCCTCGCTGGCATGCGCTCTCGCAAGAAGTCAAAAACACACCATCGTCACACGAACGGTGAGACCAATGATGATATCTCGATAGGACTCGATCATTCTGTCACTGACGGATCTTCACCCAACGCGACCGGTTCTGCTTCCCTAACAACCCCAACCTCCGACCTCTCACTCGTCTCGAATACCGCGGGTGCAACTGACGCACAAGTCTCGGGCAAGAAATCAAGACGAAGCTGGCTTGGGGAAGGTGGAAGCTGGCGATCAAAGGCACCGGCAATAGTGAAGACTGCACGAGAAAGTATCGGCGTTACTGGAGGAGCGACAGCGGAGCTGCCAAACGAGACCACTGAACATGCCGAGGTGCCCCGTAAGGATGTCCCAGCTAAGCGTAAGTGTAGCAAGAGCCATACAATTCCCACGTCTATTGCTCAGCTAATGGTTTCCTTAGATGACTCTGCCGACCAGACAAAAGAAGTATCTACAACTAGCGCAGCTCCACATCAGCAGACAAAAGAATCAAACCCCAGCTGCAGTGAACCACCACTCCCTCCATACCCAAGAAACGCGGAAAGAATAACTATATCTAATCCTTTCGCCTGGCGTGGGTGGTGGACTCGTCCAGACAACTATACAGACTCTACAAAAACGGAAAGGGATGAGACGCCGAGTGCAATAACCGATAATGCGCAGAAAGTTCCGCTTCCAGTTACACCATCTGATACAGGCAATGCGCAAGATTTAAAGGAACCCGAAGATGCTACTTCACATTCAGGGTCTCAGATGAGCTCTGGTTACCATGCAAACACGGAACACGCGTCGGCCCAGCAATCCGGGTCTTTGTCCGCCAGTGAAAGAACGGATTCCATCCAACCTCAAGGTGAAGCACCATTGGAAGTGGCCCCGATTCAGAAAAGTTCTGGTAAATCCTGGTTCTGGCTCTGGAGTAATACTCAAAACGGACAGGCTCAGGCATCCACTCAAACAGCACCAACCCACGATTCTCAAGACGTCCAATCTGAGTCAGCTCAGCTTTCCACGTCTCAAGGGGGTGCTGCGGAAAACATGAGCCAAGAACCATTGGGAAGTGCTCTTATGGACGAGGCCAGCTCTCCTGTAGCGCAAAAGCCCTCAGGTTGGGCGTTCTGGTCGCGCGACCGACCAAAAGCTGACCAAAAGTTGGATGAAGGTTCTCGAAAACAAGTAGGTGAGGTAGCAGTCTTTGATACGCCATCGCAATCGCAACCTGAGGCTGCCCAATTCAATGAACATCAAGGAGATCACCACACAGGCTCGCAAAACACATCAAAAGTCCTGTTAAGTCGCACGAGCAGTCAGAAAGCATCCAGAACCTCGAAATCTCAGAACACTGCAGCTAATGTAAAACCGGATGCGCCCGTAACCAATAACGAACATGCTTCTGGAGAGGCACGAGTTTCCCCTACCCACTCCTCTACGCAAGGCTCAACACTTGCAACGCCACCTTCAGCAGGTTCCACGGATGCCAAGTCTCCTGCAAACCTATCAGCGCACCCAGAAAACTTACTCCTTCCTGAGTTTAGCAATACATATCAACTAGTGCAGAAGCCTACTTACTGGCAAATGATTCGTAAATACTTTGTCGGAGGGGAGAAAGCCACTCCCCACCTACACATTAGCCCCGACATACCCAGGATACAGAGAGCCGTTGCCATTGGGGTTCATGGTTACTTTCCAGCTCCAATATTTCAACGAGTCCTAGGCCAGCCTACTGGAACATCGATACGCTTCGCTAATGCTGCCCGCACTGCCATTGAAGACTGGACCAAGTCGCATGGTTACTCGGTAGATATCGAGCAGATCGCGTTGGAGGGCGAGGGTTTCATTGCGGAAAGAGTAAATACATTGTGGAAACTTCTCCTCAATTGGATCGAACACATAAAAACCGCGGATTTCATCTTAATTGCCTGTCACTCACAAGGTGTACCTGTGGCAATCATGCTTGTAGCGAAGCTGATACAATTTGGCTGTGTGAGTGCGGCGAGAATTGGAGTCTGCGCGATGGCAGGTGTCAACATGGGCCCGTTTGCCGATTACAAGACAAAATATTTTGGACCCACCGCTGCAGAACTGTTTGAATTCGGAGACCCTCACAGTCTTGTCAGTCAGATGTATCTTGCTGCGCTTGACGAAGTTTTACGATATGGTGTACGAATTCTCTACGTAGGCAGTATTGACGATCAGCTCGTCTCGTTGGAGGTAAGCCGCTTTGAACGCTCTAGTCGCATGCAATACTCATAGTGACCAGTCATCAACATTCTCGGCCCTCTCACATCCTTACATCTATCGAGCTGTATTCGTCGATGGCCGCATCCATGCTCCTGATTTTCTGACACATCTCGTCGGCTTCACACTGAAGCTACGTAATCTCGGTCTTCCGGACCACGGCCTTATTCGAGAGCTTTCTCCAGCTCTGGCTGGTTCACTTTATGGGGGAGAAGGGCATTCGCGTGTGTATGAAGACCCTCGAGTTTATAAGCTTGCTGTTGAGCACGCATTGGAAACCACGTCCTTGCCCATCAGCCCACAGCAGCCTCGCCCATCGACATCTGGATCATTTGCAGGAATCACCATCCCCATACCAGGCGCCAAAATTGAGACCAAAGGCAAGTACGCGTTGCAGGTGAAGGAATACAAGAGTGTTGGGTCGGGTAGCCAGAATCCATTTTACCTGCCCTGGGCAATGCGTGGGCTACTAGAGGAGGATTTCGTGAGAAATGAATCAGAACAAGAAGTGGAGGAGCTCCTAGCAATGTTCGAGAAATGGCGACCGAGCACCAAACAACTAAAAGATGTCAAATTCAGGCTTGAAGGTGTTCGAAGTAGACTCTAGAAAGTCATATCATTAAAGATACCCGCATCCGGGATGCACTAGTTATTTGAAACCACCCTTAGAAGGGTGCGTTGTCGCAATAGTGGCGCTCATAGACATTCACATTTATGCAGCTGTTCATAAAGTTGTCTGTATGATATCATGAATTCCTTCTTTCATGCTAAAGATAACATTCATACTCCTCTCCGAGGTAGTATTTGCTCTATTCCTACCAAGCGATATGCCTCCTGTACCATACTTCCATTAAGCGTGAACATAGTCATCTTTCAGAGGGAGAGCCTCGGATCTTCAGTCATCGTCATAAAAAATCTCTTTATGTCGATGTGTTGCTTCCACTACTGCATTCGAAGCTTCGAAGTCTGTACAGAGTCAATCATGAGTTATGGGGATCTAACAAGGGACACGGTAACATGTTGACGGCTGAGAATCGATACGAATATATGCTTTAGTGTGCACTTACCTATATTGGGGCCAAAGTCGGTTGCTGCCTGAACCTTGACATTCAGGCCCTGGTCCACTTTACCAATTATTTCGACCGCATGGTTGAGCGCGAGGTGGCAATCCTGCGTGCATAACAGCTTAGTACTTGTTGTCAAAAGGCGTATCAAGACATTTGTCCCTCGATTCACCGGAATTAGAAAGTCATACCCGATTTAAAATGAGATTGATACTGCCGCCAGCATCTACAACGGCGGTCTCGCCACGCAGTTGAACTACACGGCCCAACACCCGTACCAACTTATACTGGAATGCCTCGAGATGTTTCGCAAGGACTCGCGGTGTCTGTGGATGATCCATTGCAACAGTGTCGTGACGTATCGCAATTAGCTGCGATTACGTTGTTATGTGGGCTTATAGGATTGGGACCGAACGTCGTATTCAACGACCGTCTTGGTTCCAGATATGGATCGGTTTGGGCTTTGGAAAGACAGGTCTCCTTCAGATTGGCAGCAGTAAATTGTCGTATGTTGGTTCTCTCGCAATAGCTAAAAAGAGTGCGACAAACAGGCAATCTAAAGTTTGTCGAAAGACAATATATCGGTTGATACCTGTACGTGTTGAAGAAGAAATCTCGAGAGGAAAGTAAACGCGTCACGCGCAACGGGTTTAGGTTGTCGTCTTAATAGGGTTAGTGTGAGACAAGTCGATCTCGGGTGATCACGTGATGCATGATTTGACACAATCTCTTCCGACCTCTCACGAATAGTAAGCTAGAATTTCACACATGCCTAATCTCATATACAACATCATGTCTTGTAATACATCTCATCTTCCCTCCCGTTCTCTCTTTCACAACCTGCGACCAGCTTCCGACCCTCTGGTCATAATGAATCCACAGCCTTCCGCGATGCTGACGGCAGCGCATGTTGAATGGCGCCATATGCTATAGGCTTACACGTCAACTTACAGGTAACTCTTGCATAGTTGTTCGGCTATGCTCCTTTATTGCTTTCTTCTCGTGTAAGAAAGACGCATGTCAGGATCATCGAGACTGAAACAAGTTTCAGGGTCGAATGCCCAAGGCTCTCCGTTCTCCTTGACTAGTTTTAGTTCCCAATCTTTGACCAGCTCTACGATCATAGTCTTGAGCATCAGATCAGCCACGTATTTTCCCACGCACAACCTAGGTCCGAAGCCAAAGCGCCAGTAACAATAGCGTATATCTTTGGCTCGTTTAACGCCTCCTTCCTGCCATCGCTCCGGTCGAAAGGTTGTATTATCAGGGCCCCAAAGTGGATCTCTTACGTTTAGAGCATAAGAATCAACCACGAAATTCGTGCCTGCTGGAAACATGAAGTTACCAACGCGGCGTGGCGTAGGGCATGATTGCGAGATCGAGAATGGGGACGCGGGACGCAGCCGACCTGCCTCAAGGATGATGTTTTGGAGGAAATTATTCTGGGACAGAAGAAATGCGTCTTCTTTCTCGGGCGTGCATTCGTTTCTAATCTCCTCTAGCACTCTGTTCTGTGCCCCTTGATCATTGGCAAGGAAAACTAGATCCCACGCCAGAGCAACTACCGCAACGTCAAGGTTTCCGAAAAGCATTTCATCAAGTGTTTGCAGTAGTGCTTCGCGGGTCATGCTTCCGTCCGCTACAGCCTCATACATTTGTATGATGGGGCCAGGCTGTTTGGCTTGCCCGGACGCGGCTTTCTCGACAGCTTCTCTGTGGGCGTCATCATTCCATTGGCTCCATTCTGACTTGAACTTTTCCAGGATCTGAATATCTGACAAAGGCAAGAATTTGGAGAACCAGAATCGAGTCATCCCGCCAAGAACGATTGCAATGTTGATCTTGTCTCTTGCGGGAATGAAGGCCAGTAGTCGGGTCTGCAGCTCTGGGGATAACTCTCCATATAGAATTCTGGCGAGCGCGTTGAATGGATAGAATCTTAGATCTGTCTTGATATGCAGCTGACCTGACTTCGACGTAGGATCAATCACTCCGGCCAGGTGGTTTCTCGCCTCCTCCTTCACGGTATCAACATGGCTCGCTGTGGAGGTACGCAGAAGCGGTGGCTCTGTAGCACGGCGAATGGATCTCCATACCGACCCGCTGACAAGACCTAAGCAATCACCTATCAAGCGATGTCCCAGGTAGCCAAAATTGTTGCCTATGGCCTTGATATGAGCGTGAGAATCCCTGAAAACAGCCTCAATGTCGGCCGGTCGAGTTACAATACTGCAGTCGTCAGCACCAGATATTGTATGAATTACATGCCTCAACTAACTCACATTTCTCCAGTGAAGCCTGACCATATTCGGTACAGTGGGCCGTACTCTTTCGCCCACTTTGGACTATTCTCACGACCACGAACCAACTTTTCGTAATTACCCTGTCCGTTCGGGAATACGTATGGGTGAGTTGGTAAGGGCTGACCGGTCTCAAAGTCATGGATTGGGTATCGATATACGAGGTAAATCTGATGGCGTGTTAACAGCCTCGTCACGATACTAGAGGGTTTTGCTTGGACCATTAGGGAACAACTTACATCACAAATGCGAGACAAAAAATCTCGCCGCCATATGCAAAGGACGGCTAGAGCTATTGCTGTGTTCACAACGAATATAAACAAATACATGGCTGCTGTTTCGCATCGAATGCACTTGAAGACAATCGCAAGCAATGTTGCAGTGACTTGGGAACACGAGCGATCAGATAAGAAGTGATCAGATAACCTGACTGCGGGGTCTTTTTGAGTACTGCAGAAAATCTCTGATACCATTTAGCGAGCTATTACGTAGTGTCTAATGCATATACGGTTAGAGTCAATCTTATTCTCGCAGGGCCTCCAGCTTCAACGTTCTCCGTATGTACCTCGTAGTGACAAATAGGGATTAGAAATATTAATGCGCAGGTTCGAACCTGGCCCGCATCTCCCACGTTTATTCTCCCTGTAAAAGAAGATTTCCTATTTCGAGGGTGTAAGGTTCAAGTGGACAGACTTGATGCTGGTGTAGGCAGCCAATCCTGCTTCGCCTATCTCTCTTCCAATCCCACTTTGTTCAACGCCACCAAATGGAATCTTTGTTGATCCATACCATATCTGCCTCAATATGGCGTGCTACACGATGCGCACGGGTTTATTTGGTCGTAAAGAGTGCGCTTCCCAATCCATATATAGAGTCGCTAGCAAGACGCACAGCACTTACTTCTGAGGTAAAGCATGTGACTACCGCGAAGGGACCAAATATCCATCATGGATCTCTTCTCTGAATATGCACATGCTAGGATCCACCCCCGAGAATACAGTAGGTTCAATGTAGAAACCTTTCGGAGTTTCCTGTCTTCTGTTTTACATCGTAGACTTCGTTCCAACAATGGCGGGCTTTCCTCCCATCTCCAGGCGCATGCCCTCTGCTTTCCCAATGTCAACGTATGACAAGATCCGTTCATACTGACGTTGCATAATCTGAGGACCTTAGAATGTATCTTCAGAGAACGGGTTGCCGAGTTTGACATCGAGGACTTGTTTGCGAAATGCCGTCATGAATTCGGCGGAGATCTTTTCATGGACTAGAATCCTTGATGTTGCAGTGCAGATTTGACCTTGGTTTGATATGATCCCTAGATGGGCCCACTTTTCCGCTAGAGATATATCTGCGTCAAAAACGTCTATTGTCGACGGTAGAGTTATATATATTATATCCATTTCCCGCATATAATTGATGTATATACGTAAGGAAGCACTTGATAGGCCCCGATGATGCATGTTGAGGGGGAGGGGGTTCTGGGGTTGGAGGATTCAATAGTGTGTGTTCTAGACGGTCTACGGTTTACTCTAGATGCGGAGGGAACTGAGGGAACTGAATAGTTCCGAACAGTTTCATATAGATTGATCGAATCGAACTCTAACGACTATTTACATCAAACCTAAACCAAAGACACTCATCAAAATTCCTTATTCCTCCCTTCGCAGCCATCCACGTCCATTGACACCAATCGATCAGGTCAAGAAAGATATCACCGCAGTCGGTTCCAATATATCTATCGTAGTTGCACACGTTCCCCGCCCAATACTCGATTTTAACCGTTGGTAGCCACTTGACATGGTAGACTTCTCCCCGAAAGTTTCTATTAACATTGTTGCTGCAGAACTCCTGGCTACCCCAGTAAGAATCGCCACGATTCGAGATTGCGCCGTCGCAGTAGCAATATTTGTTAGAATACCATTGGTTACAGTTCAAACTGGCACCAGTGCCTTGTCGCTTTTCGAGGGAGGTGAAATTCCCGGGGTAGTTCTTCATTTCGGCCACTGTGCGAGATTTATTAGCTTCGGGTGCGGCCCACGACGTCTGCTTAGCAGAACAAGCAATAGACAACTCACGCCACTTTGAATCTTTCAATTCAATGAAGTCAGACGTGATAGTGTAAGGCTCGCCATCTTCAGTGACACCTGTGCCAATGACAGTTCCAGTGATGGGTTCGATTGCATCCGCCTTAGGGGTGGGGGTAGCAGAAGAGACGCCGCCAAGCGTAAACGCAACGAAGAGGAGATTAAGAAGCTTCATAATGTAGCAAAAGCGAGGGAAGACCAGAAGAACTGTTCTCTATGGTTAGTCGCCTTGCTTGTGAGTGACAAATTGAGAGAAAATTCACTGTTCTTATAGTACGAACGTACAGTATGGCAAGCAATAAAGATATTGGCGAGGAAATACAGGGGTGTGGATCCATCCCAGGTCAATTGTCATATGTCTCGCCTATTACTTGGGAAGAAAGGTGCACGAAGGCTTGGGTACACCTGCGCAAAGATTATCTAGGTTGTTGACTGTGTCGAGTGTCGATGTATACTCTGGTCCCCGTGCCTTCTCCTTGCCTTGTAGCGTCCGCTAGTAGATCTTCTCTACTTGGTCCATCCTTCCCAGGCCCGCCAAGTGCCTAACGGAACGTAAAAGGCCGCAGCAGGTTGCAGAAGCAGAAACCAAGCCTATCAATTGGGCCAATCTAACCGCACCAACATCCCACCTAGGTAGGTAGACTACTGGCTTCACGTGACTAGGATTCCTACCTAATAGCAGAGGCAAACAGGCAAAAGCAAAGCTGTCGGCATGAGCAAATAGTACACCTCACTGCCTTTTTGCACGCAAGGCGGAATTCGGCACGTGTCGGGTTAGATTGATTCGCTGTCTGTCTAGCCATAAGACGGCACATACGAGGCAGTCGCCATGGCAAAAGCTGGGGAGCAGAGAAAGGGCGCAGAGCGACAGGTCGCCTGTTTTCCCAATGTATATTGAGACATAGTCGACAAGATTGCAGACTTCTTGAGCAATGGCTCGCCCTTAAAGACGTTTTTATTTTTTTATTATTATAGGGATCTATTGTGCGTAAATGTTTAGGTCGTCCATAGAGTAGATACTGTATATGTCTGACTAGAGTGATACCAGTGCTACTAATCCTGCAACCAGTATAGGATGCTTACTGGCAGATGAAATAGCGCATTCAATTTTATGAACAGTGTGTTGGACAATTTTATATTGATAAAGGTTAAAAGAGCGCTTAAAACAAGTAATCAGACCTAGATAATTCTGTATTGACTACAGCACATTGCATCATAGCAAGCGCAATAGATTGCATGATTGAAGGACAAGGTAGCCTTACAGTAGAAACCCGTATTAGTTAACTGCCTTTTGCATTTCCTAGCGTACCAGATAAGCTAGTTCGTATGCATAATAAGGCAGCAAAGCAACAAGTCTTGAAATCAAGGCATAGTTCTGGTGAAATTGGGAGATCATGGCTGTAGGCTGAAGCTTGGTGGTATGCCCCAGGCACAACCAGGATATCCAGAGATAGGCGCATCTGCACCTTAAGTGATGCAGGCAGGCACGATACGCCTGGTCTGCGATGTGCTCTTATGCTTCTTCTCTGCTGTCTACGATTCGATTGGCGTGCTGGAACCAGACGCCTTCTTGAGCCTGTCGATTTCAGGTTGAAGGATGCCTGCACGGCTCAGGCCCTCGTATAGCGCCCAAGCTGCTAGGGTCTTTGCATCACGCGCGCCTTCCCTCCACAGCTCCTCGTAGTCTGTGACCTTGAGTGTGATCATCTCACCTTGCATCCGCTTACCAGTGAGTTGTCCCTGAAGATCCACGATTCTCTGTCGATCCATCTCCTGGCTGATGTTAGTAAGTGATATACCATCCTAGGAACACACTGACCTTCTCCCATAGGTATATCGGAATGAACTCATCTGATCCACCAGCACTGGGATACATGGCGGGCTGCAATTCGTCCTGGACTTTCGAGTTCTTCAGAGCGAGACCGGTCAGGTCGATCAGCTCCTCAGCGCGAATCTTGATGCCAGTTTCTTCATCGATTTCGTCCGCAGCCTTCCCACGGAAACCCACCTCTCCGTCCAACATTCCCGCCGGAATCTCCAAGAACCGAAGACTGCCCGCTGGAATTCGGGGCTGTTCGGTCATAATGACATATCGCTCGTCCTTCGTACCCTCAGGACGTAAGACCATCAATACTGCGACGCTTCCGCCTCGCAAGAACGCAATACCTGGCAGATCTGTTTTGCTGTTCTGAATCTCAGCGTATAGCTTGATAAAACCAATTCTGTTCCCGAACCAGTCTACCGACTGAATAGTGATGGATTGCAGGGAGTATGGATCGAGGTTATGCACATGCTTTGGATCGGCTTGGGCCTCCAGGTTCGTCCGCAAGGTGGATTTCCAGTTCTTGAAGGGAGCCCAATTCTGAAGTTGCTCTTCCTTGATGTCCCTTGTTAAAGTCACTTCCACGGAGTCCCCGAACCCTTCATCTTTGTGAAGCTTAAAGACCGACATAGTGGGCTCTCTGATCATCGTGAAGAGGCTCGTAGCTGCGAATTGGATCCAGGGTGAGGGGAGCAGAGTGAGAATAACGAAGTGCAAGATACGTCAGGTTCAGTGTACCTTTAAATCCTGAAGAAAGATGAAAGCACGGCCAAAAGGTGTTTGCTGCCTACGGTCTGAAAGGCTGAAAGCGCTTAGCTAGACAGACACCAAGGCGCAGCAGAGAGGTGACTGGGGTCTTTACAGAGACCTCAGCTTCTACGTGTTCGTCTGACACCATGCACAGGATCTGCATGCATCCCAATTGCTGCCTGATCAAGCCACTGGGCGTGGTAAAGGTCCACTCGATCCGTACTCGAAGCCACAGCTCGACGGGGATTTGTACCGCTCGTTCAAACTCGATTTCGTTGCAGCGTAGAGCCCTATTGAGCTGGTCCCCGATTTTTCCAAAACTACCTCCTGAAGCACTGCTCATCATAGCGTATCGCACCCTCGTTTCCTCTCATAGCGGAGACGTTTCCAAGATTCTCCAAGCAGGTCTCTGGCCAGCCTTGTGGTGCTCGTGCAGGATGTCGACCGTTCGCTGCACGTCAGATTCGATACGAGCAGGGTAAGCGGAAGAACGGCAATTCCGTCGTTCGGCCCAGATCCATGTCTGCTTTAGAGAGATAGCAAAACTAAGGAGGACAAATTCTTATGGCGCTGTGCATCTTAAAGGCTTCCAATCAAGATATAAAGCCTTGAGCCACGTTCCAGCAAGACGTATCAGTTATATAAATTCTACAATAGACCCTACGAATAGCGGGTAGGCCGACCCCTCCACAACACTAAGAATTTGCCTAGCCCTGCAGTCTCGCGTAGAATTACAAGGTTGACACTAAGAAGTAAGAAAGAGGCGGGAGCTAAATTAGTGAGAACGTAAGAGGTCGGCCTGCTATTGGCAGTCTATAGAACTTGAGGGTCGACAACACTTCATCGCTTTGGAAGGGCCAAACACCCAAGGAATGCAGCTTATGTCTTTGGGGGCGGCTTCTCGATGACGAGCAATCTTTGTCTTTGTTAGCTATATTTCATTCGAGTTCGACCGCTTCTGCACTGTGCAACGTCCATCAGGACCCAAAAATCCCGTTTTAAACCCCCCATTTTGCTCCCCTTGATTTTTGATCGAAGTCGAATACACAGCTCTGTCATCAAACATTATTCTCTCATCGTTGAGCACAACAGCCAACATGGTCTGCAACGAATGTCGTGATATGCTCCAGTCGCAGAAAGGCCGAACCTGGAAAGGAACCTATGATTTGAGATACAGACTTGATGTAACAGTGATTACTCTTGAGCAGCGGTCTGCCGGTTGCGTAATCTGCAGATCCCTCTGTGAGGGGTTGAAAGAGCATCTCAAGAACACAGCAAGTAGCGGCTCTGGCCGTCGAGACTCATCACCGGCGGCGCCACAAGCAGATACATCAACTGATTGCCAGAGTCTTGCAGCCATCTCTAAACGTTCTTTGGAGATCGCAGCATCCCTTTACTTTCACCAGGATAATTTTGGTACCAAGGGAAAGGAGGAAACGGCCAAGCATCTTTACCGACTAGATGTTGTTTTGCAGGAACCTTCCAAGGACAGAGAGCAAGTACATAGCTCTGGTTCTGTTCAAGTGAAGCGTACCTTCTTTCTTGAGAATCCGAGTAAGAGTCGCCCCGAATGTACCCTTCCCTTTGCTGATATATTGTATCCAGAAACTGAAGTCGCCGGCTTGATATCAAGCGCTTCACCCCGTACCTCGTCAAAAGAGGTTTTTGATACCATTATGGGATGGATGCAGCAGTGCAAGTGCACCGTCGATGGACCACCGACGTTCTATCCCGCTCGTCTTATCAGCCTGAAGGCCCTGAAGGGCGAATTTAGATCATTCGAGGCAAGTCGGGAAGCAACGAGCGCCCGACCGGACGTGCAGGTCAAGCTCGTGGACACAAAGGGGTGGTTGTTGAAGAATCGTACGAAGTCGCCATCTGCACCTCGAGAAAACGACAAATATGTGACTCTGTCACATTGCTGGGGTTCCGGCGCCGTTAAGCCAGAACATCGGTTGACATATCTCACCGAACAAGGCCTCCGTCGAGGAATCTCTGTTGACAAGTTGCCCAAAACGTTTCAGGAAGCGATCTTCTTTGCAGCTCTCATCAAAGGTGTTGGTTACATCTGGATTGATTCCTTGTGCATCCGGCAAAAGCCAGAGGGTGAAGAAGAAGGAGCAGAAGTTGCTGCTGCCCAGCGCGACTGGTTACATCAATCAGCAGATATGGACTTGGTATACAGCGCGACCTACCTCAACATATCTGCCACCGCCTCGGATAGTAGTGCCGGAGGGCTTTTCAGAAACCGCGATCCTGCCATGCTCAAAGCGGAATCCGTGATGCTCAATATTGAAGGCCTTCCAGGTGTTTACATACCCGACACCGAGAAGATGTCGACGAATGCCATTGGCTCTGTGGAAGTAAGAGCCCGAGATACTGGGAAAGATCCCAACCTCTACCGGCGCGAGTGTACCGTCCTTGATCCCACCTTCTGGACAGACAGAGTGGACAAGGCTCCGGTCAACAAGAGAGGATGGGTTGTTCAGGAGAGAATCCTGTCTCCAAGGGTATTGCACTTCTGCGAGGACCAGGTAGCGTGGGAATGTCTAGGTTCAAATGGCTGCAAGGGCTTTGACTTTGCTGAAGGACAACCGCTTGGTCTGTCAAACTTCCAGCTCACTGAACGCGGCATCGTGGAAGCCCTACGACTCAAAGCCGTCCATTTCGAACACAGCCTGTCGAGGCCACAGGAGTCTCAATCGCCAATAGATCAGAGCAATGACAACGCAGTACACTCATCCAGCGCCCAAGAGCGAGCGCTCAAAGAGTGGGCTCGTATCATCGAGACGTATTCCAAGACGTCCCTGACGAACCCAGAAGACAAATTGATCGCCCTCTCTGGTATGGCAAAGAACATGTTTAAGGAAATATACAGCGGGCAAAGAAGCACAGGAAGTCAGTATGTTGCCGGCTTATGGGGTATTCGCCTCGAAAGTCAATTGTTGTGGTATGTAGAACCCCTGTTCGACCCGATCAAAAATACTTTCTCGAATCCAGCTCGCTCGCCGGAAGAGTGGAGCACGAGAGGGTCGAAGAAGTACCGTTCTCCTTCCTTTTCGTGGGCTGCTATCGACAATCCCGATCGCGGCATTGTGTACGGCGACACCACCCTCCGAAAGTTGTTCATAGAGGTCGAAGAGAATGGAGTGACCTTGAAAACCGACCCGAAGAGCGCATTTGGTCTTCTCCATGACGCGTCCATCACGCTGCGCTGCAAGCTTCGCAAAGCCATCATCCAGAAGCAGAAGACTGGAACAGCCCGCTATATCTGGCATTTAGATCATCGCGATGAAGCAAACGCGGATCTTGATGAAGAACCACATACCAATGTCTACCTAGACTGTTTTGAACGCGACGAAAAGGCTTGTGTCAATCCACATGGTAGGAGGAAAAAGAAGGTCTACGTAGTCCCTGCTGCCATCAACCACGGTGGTGAGATGGTATGTCTTATTCTGCGACTGGTCGATACTGAACAGGCTCTCTACCGACGGGTTGGTCTTACGAAGTTGAGTCCTTTCATGGACAAATTGGCAATGCAGGGAGAACAGGGAGCACAGGGCGCGAAACACAAAATTCTCCAAGTCCTTGATGGGGACATCAAGGAGCCGCACAAAGGCTACGAAGGAGGCATGCATAGGATACATCTCATTTAAGACTGCAATTCCTACGTAGAATGTTGCAGATTCATCGATAGTAGGCACAGGCTCTGCAACACAACATACTGCTTGCTATTTGCGATTTTTATTAAAGTTCTTTAGTAGGTTTCTTATCAGTATAGGAGATAAATGTAGGGAAGTACTAGTTTGAAAGTTCTACCTAATTTCGCACCAACTTTACTACCTGGTCAGCAGATGATACATTTGTAGTTGTTCCCCTAGCATCATTCTGTAAATCAAACTCCTGATGATTGTTTCTGCCTATTTATGCCGCGCTCGGCGACAGTTGGCTGGCGACCTGAGAACTAGTGGAGGATACATCGAACTCTTGAGAAGTTAGTCGTTGATACTAAGGTGCGTCGAAAGCTACACCCATCTCTCGTGAGCCTAGGCCTGGCTGAGTCGCTGCTGTTCTGAAGCTGAAGCCTGGTAAGTCGACAGCAACAATGTGAAATGTTTTATTGCCGCTTTGCGTTGGAGGCTTAATAGCCTGGGATCACTGGAGGCAAGTAGACGACCAACCATGGGATAGGAGGAGCGGGATTGCCGCGTTCGCTGGACCGCTGGTGATGGGCAATAGTCGTGCACTTTTCGAAGGGCTAAGCTGATAACGTCCTGGTTAACCGTTGTGTAGAAGCGCCCAGGCAGAGTGCTGTTCAGGAAATCCAAAACTGAGTCCCGCTTGACCTGATCTATGTCCCACAACGGCTGCATTGCAACCTGCGACGAGTAGCCATAGTTGGCGAATGAACAAACCCTTCTCATGATGGAACAAGTAGAAGGCTGGATCTGTGGAGTTGTAATTCTCCCTGTGTTTTCAACTCCAGCTGCTCTGGCAAAAGATCTAACGAGATATACATCACTCTCTCTACGACTGCGCCAGTACTCATAACAATACATCCTAATCCACACGATGCTCGTCCGTGATCAGTAGAGAGTGGTTTGTAATTGTTCTTTATGATTACACCGTTTAGTTTCGAAATCTAGGAGTTTAACTTGAGCCAATGGCTTCTAATCACTGCTAAGTAGGCGCCAAGGTATTACTGGGCTGGCTATCTGGGCAGATCGATCGACCTTAACGCACTTAACGGCCATGGGGCATAGGTATGGACTCGGATGTTTCAATGACCATCGTAACAGGGAAGCTGTAGGGCGAATAAGTCTTTTGGGATGTTCTTTGGCGCTGGAAACATTGAGCATTGGTGACAAAGCGCTGAGCAAGTAACGGTCTGCATTAAGAAACCCTTAAACCTGGAGCAATGATATTTTGTGGGGCTGATGACCCGCTAATGCAACGATGACCTTGCATTCGCGCCTAGTGTCATCGAGCCTCACCATGGCATCCGGGCCGAGCCACCTTAACGATCATGTCAAGATTCCCGTCGAGATACAGAAGCATTTGATTCGTCGTTGAGAGGCTCGGTACCGGCCATTTCTTGACACTATGGGGGAAAGATGACCATCTGGGCCACGAGCTCGGTCAGAAGATGCCACTGCAATGTCATCATTGCCGTACTCAGGCCAGCAACCAAACATATACAGTACGAAGCTGATATAGGTCTGCTCAAAGCCGTAGTATTAAACAAGAGTAATAACCACCAGCAGATAGTGTTGCTACAGTTCTATCTGTTCGAACCTTTGACCCTCCCCACTGCCATCACTATGTCAACCACCAATGTCTTGATCACTGGAGTCAACCGAGGTCTGACTTCTCGTCTCACAGGTCCTCGCAAGCGCTAACTCTACCTTAGGCGTTGGCCTCGCTCTCCTTCAGACCTACCTAGCCCGGCCGAACCACATTGTCATCGGGAGCGTCCGCGAGGTCGCCGCCGCCAAGTCCAAGGGACTTGAAGATATTCCAGTTGCCTCTGGTTCCAAACTCATCCTGATCAAGATCGAGTTGGCCTCCTTTATTGACCCCGCCCAAGCCATCAACGAGCTTGAGAAGCAGGGCATTATGAAGTTGGACATTGTCATCGCCAACGCCGCTGTTTCTGTCAAGGCGGTGCTTCCAGCGGCCGAGGGTGATGCCGAAGAATTTGCCAACATACTTGCCATCAACACCGTGGGGCCAGTCGCTCTGTTTGCAGCGACGAAGCCGCTGCTCGATCGTGCGGAGAAGCCCAAGTGGGTGTCTGTAAGCTCGTCGGTAGCGTCTCTTGCGAACCACGAGGCGTCATTCGCATACCTGGGAGGACGTCCCATGGGCTTTGGTTACGGCGCGTCTAAGGCGGCGTTGAACCATCTCACCCTTAATATTCATTCGGAGAACCCAAACCTGACTGCAATTGCGCTGGATCCAGGGTAAGCTGTTCTTAGAGCGCCATGAAAGTGTGATGACTGACGACTTTGACAGATTCCTTGATACCGATATGGGCAACGCTGGAGCCAAGGCTTTTGGCATGGAAAAGCCGCCACACCATGTCGGTGACAATGTCAAGGCGATTGTGAAGCTTGTGAGTAGCTCCGCACGACATTCACTAGATGCTCAGTGCTAACATGTGGCTTCAGGTCGATGCTGCGACAAGAGAGACGCATTCCGGAAAGTTCTTGAATTTCGAGGGCCAAGAGGTACCGTGGTAGAAGAAAGTCATTCTAGTGACTTTCGGATTTCGATAGACCTTTTTCAAAATTCATTGCTCATATTCAATCTTCTCAGTTGCTCTACCTGTTCCGATAACGGATTGGCGCCGTGGGACAGAAAAAGCTTTACCGCTATAGGACATGTGTTGTTGACCGCCATGGACAAGGTAGATCTACCTTGCTTGTCCACAGCATTGACATCGACACCATACTCGAGCAGCCAAAGGATCGCCTCCATGTGATGTTCCTCATACGCCGCATGAAGTGCAGTTCGCCCTTCATTGTCGCGCTCGTTGATTGGGAAGCCATACTGAGCAAGGAGCTTCAACGTAGCCACGTCGTTGCCTCTAGCAGCTGTGTGGATCAGAGTCTCGTTCCTGTTGTTGGAGAAGACTGGATTGGCACGAGGGACAACAGAATGCCGAAAGGCCATGGCAGCTAGCCTGACGGCCTCGGGAGTCTCGAGATTATGGGTCGACGCCGACGGCATCAAGCTGGCCGGGTGCAGGAGATCCAAAGACGGAGAGACATACGCACACGACCCTACTAGAGTAGAAGTGCTTTCCTCCCATGACGGAAACCCTCCACCCAATATCGCGAGGTCGGATCCGGGAAACGGTGGCAAAGAGCCAATGGAATTCAAGTCCATTGTTCCATCAGACAGAAGAAGTCCTGGGTAATCCGGAAGCCCGGCTTGCGTCTCAGTATGGGCTGCTAGGGTTTGCTCAAGAGCCGACTGCTTCTCAAGAGCTTTCTTCTCTGGCGACAGGGTCAGAACAGTACTCATAGAGAAACCTCATAATTGTAACCCACGGCGGCGTCTTCTCTGCGCCAAGCGATTCTGGGTTCTCCTCCGGCTATCGTTCACGTGCACACTCTGTCCTGAGGTAGAAGTTGCCATCTTGTGGCCTTCTTTCGGAGATGTACCAGCTGGCCAATGATGATACCGTGTAGGTTGCACGGGAGGGGTGGGACCAACGAACGGGACAGATATGTTGGCAGTTTATCTGCAGGTATAAATTCCTCTGGTATCGGCCTGATGATTTCTAAGCATATCGCCGACACTAAGGTTGGCACCCACTAGGCGCACAGGCGATCTGTATAAACTACCTAGCTATAAGCTTAGCTATTGATGATATTTTATATAATATTATAGGTATCTTTGATACGCCTCGAGCGCATATTGTTGATCAAAGAGCTATGGAAGTTTTACGGGACGCTGACTTGGAGAACAAGCTGGAGGAGGTTGCTAGCACCAGTATATAGTAAGATCACACTACTTGATAGGAGGAGATTGTGCAAGCTTCGGGAATACCTGTCATTGGTCCAGATGATGCGATGCGGTATTACGAGTAGGACTTCCCCACAAGTTCCGTGCGCTTAGTCCTGGACTAGTAGAAAGGTGGTCCCGTACTTTGAAATTTCACTCTCCGCTTGCTCTAACATCCAAGACTTTGGCTTCATTACTTCATGCTCTCTGTCGGAAAGATCTTACTGTGTATGTGGGGATTTTGTAGATCCGCGGAGAAGTTGTCTCTCCAAGCCGTGTCCAGTCAAAATGTCTCGTATAAATATATGCTAAACCACATACCCCAAATTATATCAACAGCAACGAAATCTGTGCCCCCTATTCTCGTGTTCAGGGCTCTCAAGCCACCAGCACCATGAGGTTGACCACATATTTTGCGTGTTTTTTCTGCCTACTCTTTTCGACTACAGGCTTCCCTCAAGCCTACGATAGGCATCTGTTTATCCACGCCAGACGCGAGCGCCCCTCCAAGATATTGTGACCTGGGATGAATCATCGATTCTCGTTAATGGGGAGAGGATACTCATTTTTTCGGGAGAGTTCCATCCCTTCCGTTTACCTTCACCTGGACTGTGGCTGGATGTCTTCCAGAAGATCAAATCTATGGGTTTCTCAGCTGTGTCGTTCTACCTCATGTGGGGCTTGCTTGAGGGGGAGCCTGGCGTGTTCAGGGCAGAGGGAGTTCTGGCAATCGAGGAATTTTTCAACGCAGCCCAACAAGCAGGGTTATATCTTGTAGCACGGCCTGGGCCGTACATCAATGCTGAAGTGTCTGGCGGTGGCTTCCCTGGCTGGCTGCAACGAACAACAGCACAGTTACGCTCTACGGATGCTGGCTATGCCGATGCTGCAAAGCACTACGTGACGGAAGCTGCGAAACTCATCGTGGACGCTCAGATTACAAACGGTGGGCCGGTGATTCTAGTGCAACCGGAAAACGAATATACATTGTGCAAGGCTGGTGGTCCTCTCATCCCGACGTTTGCTACGAATGGTCCCGGGGCGGCCATTGCATGTTTGGAGCCTGAGTACATGGCCCTCATCGAGCAAGCATATCGGGATGCCGGTATTGTAGTTCCATTGATCAGTAACGATGGGGTCCCATTCGGCAACTGGCGACCAGACAGCGGTCTTGGTTCCGCCGACATTTATGGCTACGATTTCTACCCAGTTGGGTGGTCTACCGATCCTCCTTGTATGTGATTAATGACCTCACGGAAGATGCGCATCTGATTATTGATTTTAGGTTCCCAAGACTGGGCAGCCCACGGGCCTATTCCACTCAACGACGCCTACGTCCTCATCGGTAAACTTAATTACACTACAAGTCCTCATGAAATTGTAGAGTTTCAGGGTGGCGCCCCGGACGCGTGGTAAGTCTATTCTCCATGTCTGATAGCAATGTGTACTTACAAGGAAGGGGTGGCGTTGGACTTGATGAATGCGCGGCAATGATCGGGCCAGAATTCCAGCGTGTGTTTTACAAGAAAAACTATGCTCTCCACACTACCTACATGAACCTCTACATGGTAAGTAGAGTGACTTGTGATTCTTTTGACTTCAGCTTAACAGTTTTTAGATATATGGTGGCACGAACTGGGGAAATATGGGTCATCCGCTAGGTTACACGTCGTACGATGGCGGGGCGGCCATCAAGGAAGACCGCACAATTACACGCGAGAAATTCTCTGAAGTGAAGCTGCAGGCAAACTTCTTGCGTGTCTCCCCAGCATTTCTTACCGCTAAACCACTCCCTGATTCATCGACGGTCTACACAACAAACTCTACGTTAACGACCACTCCAGTACAAGGAGAGAAGACAACGTTCTACATTCTCCGCCATACCGACTACTTTAGCACCAACAACACTGAATATCAATTTCGAGTGTCCACAAGCCTGGGCGATATTGTAATCCCCCAGCTAGGTGGTCAATTGGCAATCAACGGTCGCGACTCGAAAATCCACGTGACCGACTACGATGTGGGTGATATCAACCTCCTCTACTCGACGGCAGAGATTCTCTCCTGGCAAGAAACGCCGAGCAAGACCATTCTGTTACTCTACGGAGCGGAGGGTGAGACACATGAGTTCGCATTCCCACTTAGCGTTGGTCAACTTGGCAGCGCCGAAGGGGTGGCCTACCGTCAGATTGGAGACTCGCATGTTGTCCAGTGGACAGTTGGGCGGGACCGCAAGATTCTCAGATTCGGAAGCACTCTTGAAGTTCATCTACTCTGGCGTAACGATGCTTATAATTATTGGATCCTGGACCTCCCTGCAGGTGACCACCTTGGCTTGAAGACATCTGCAGCTCGACTCAATCCTCAGAATAACGCATCCTATGTTATTGTAAAAGCCGGATATCTTTTGCGCGAGGCTTCCATTGAAGGATCGACGCTGCGATTGACTGGCGATATCAACGCTACAACGACATTCGAGATCGTATCCGCACCGGAAGGACGTTATGATCTCCTTGTTTTCAACAATGCACACTATCAACTGGAAGAATGCGAAACTACGGGACTTCTCGCAGCTGATGTGCCGTTTATATCCCCCGAAATAACGATTCCGAATCTCGAATCTCAAAACTGGTGGTATAAAGACTCCCTTCCGGAAATGCAATCTGCGTACGACGACGACCAGTGGACAGCATGTACTCACACGGCGTCTAATAACCCAAAAAACCTATCCACACCCACATCGCTTTATGCTAGCGACTATGGTTATCATGGTGGCTCTTTGATCTATCGCGGGCAATTTACGGCTAATGGGCAAGAAAATGAGCTCTCGGTCCATACACAAGGAGGTCTTGCTTTCGGCCACTCGATCTGGCTCAATTCAACTTTCTTGGGATCATGGCCTGGAAATGCCACTGCTCAAGATTATAATCATTCTCTTGTGATAGGTGGGAAAGTTCAGCAAGGGGAGAAATATATCATCACTGTTGTGATAGATCACATGGGCCTTGATGCAAATTTCCTAGCAGACGCAGATGCAATGAAGGCTCCTCGAGGCATTCTGGACTATTCTCTAGCAGGTCACGACCAGAAGGATGTCGTTTGGAAGTTGACAGGAAACTTTGGAGGGGAGCAGTACTACGACAAGAGCAGAGGACCACTGAACGAAGGTGCGACGTACACGGAGCGCTATGGACTTCATCTCCCTGGAGCGCCCATGACGGAATGGACGCAGGGATCGCCAATGAAAGGCATCAGCGAAGCTGGTATTGGACTTTTTGCGACAACGTTCGACCTGAATCTTTCAGAGGGCTACGATGTACCATTGAGTATCCAAATTGACACAGATGGCTTTCCTTCAAATACCACCAACTTCCGCGCACAGATTTTTGTCAACGGGTTCCAGTTTGGCAAGTATGGTACGTATTCTTCCCTCCAAGCCTTTTCCTGCGCCTTACTCAACAATGATGTCTTCCATGTATCAAAACCGAGGATTGCATGTACTAACTAGCATATAGTGAGCAACATTGGCCCACAGTTCAAATTCCCGATTCCGGAGGGTATTATGAACCATCACGGCGAGAACTATCTTGCCATTACCCTTTGGGCGCTGGATGGAAATGGAGCAAGGTTTACGAAAGTTAGTCTTAGTTACGAGACAGTTGTTCAAAGCGCATATAAGAAACCCGAGTTGGTATCCGCTTCCAAGTATCAACCCCGTGAAAATATCTATTAAGATATGCAGAGGCATTAAGGTTAGTGTCTTAACTATGATAGCTGTGGTCAGGAAGATGTACATATATGCAAACATGCTCATAGATCACAAATCTACGTATTAATTTCTGATATCTACTATACTGGAGCTGTATTGTAGCATTGAACTTTTGCACGTTGAGAATTAATGCTTCCTAATTTGGACGTGATAATTCCGCATTTTGGATGCGATAATTCGTCTTGGTGTTTGTTTACCTCCCCCCTCAAGACTATTTTGATTGAAATATATCGTTACTATTGATTATTTATACGTTTTCAGTTACTATTTATAATGCTTGAAGGGCGAGGATGACCGTCTTTGACTGATACTACAGATCCAGTAACCATTCGGCGACTATAACGCAATCTAGTGTTAGAACCATGGGTTGACCAAGGCCTCAATATTGAGGAGGTTAGGGGGGAAGCTATAATCCGGCTATTCAGCCACCTTCCTCATCAATCAATCAACTTCTCTCCGGGAAGATTCTCCACGCTTTTAGAAAACATCATGCCTAAGGTCGCTATAATCACAGGTGGAAATGGCATCACTGGTTCTTCCATCCTCCAGTACCTCTTCAAAAATGTTCCAGCCTCGCAGTGGAGCCAGATCATCGTTACAACACGGTCTTCTTCAAAACAATAGCTCATGATGAAAGAATCATTACCTTCATTGCCCTCAATCTAGCTACCAATCTACAGCATAAAATTGAAAGATGTGGCTAATTTGCAGTGGTGTCACTCCCTGCTTTTTCTCTTCCTATGTCCACAAGGACGACTTCAAGGAATTGAATGCTGTAAACGAAAACCTTTTTCTAATTTCCCTATATGTTCTCATCGACGTAGTTCCTGGAGTATTGAACTACACTCTTCAGACTGGTGCAATGTACTACAATGTCCATATTGCTCCAGTGCCTTCACTAGCGCTAGAATTTATATTGTCTACAAGACGATTATCTGAAACCCCGCCAGCATATTAAGTGGTGGACATGGAATGTTGTCAGACCTGAGGCTATCATCTGGCACACCTCGAAGCCGAATGGCATGCACTCGGCTCTGAATGTTGCTCTTTACTTTGATCCGTGCAAGGATCGGGGGGAAGAGGCTCGAATGCCCACCGATTAATTGTATTGGGAAGGATATGATAGCCTATCCGATCCAAGACTCATCACAAACCTGACCATCTGGGCCGCGAAGGTTAGAAGGCAGCCAACCAAGCTTTCAACGTCACCGACGGCGACTATTTTAAATGGATGTATATGTGGTCACGAATCGTGGCCTACGTAGGTGCCTCGGTAATGTCCAGCCAGACGTTTTCGAGGCCGCAGCCAACAGAGAGAGAAGTACAGCTTGATGTAAGTTCGGTGAGGTGGGTAGCAAACAAGCAGGAGGAATGTAATCGTGTGTGTGATAGAAACTATAAACGTAACTTGGAAAGCTGAAACGTGAGCCTTTCACAACTGGGTTTTCCAGCGGACGTTGTCGGCAAGTCTAAGTATGATGAAACATAGATCCTTTAGATGGCCGGGTCGCCTTGATTCTTTCGAACCAGTTACAGAGTCATTCGACGACTTTGTCAAGCTTTAGCAGATCCCGCCCCTTCGATAGACGCGTTCAAAGGACAGTTCTCTATAGTACAACATCTTTGGGCTTCCCTGTATTTTGGACAGTAAAGGTATTACTTGGAAGTAGTAGTCAATGAGACATATCAAACTCTATCATTATTGTGCATCTATTTAGCAGTAAACTTCTAGAGCAAAGCATAGAAGCTATGTCTATGCTGAAGCAGTGGAGGTTCCTTCATTATCATTATTAAGTTTCTTTGCCCTGAGCTCATATGCATCCTTGTTCTTCAAACCCGTTGCCTTTCCCCGTCGGAACACGAAGAAAGCGATAGCACCAATAAGACCTAATCCACCGACGATGGCACCAACAGCTATGCCAGCCTTGGCACCTGTTGATAGACCACCACCAGAGGATCCCTTACCAGATTCGGCTGGTACTCCTGAAGTTGATGAAGCACCTGAACTGCTACCTGTGGCTGATGCGCTAGGCGATGCGGAGGGGGTAGGTTCGATGAATTCTTCCGAAGTGACATTGAAGCATGGGACCTGAGTTGTAAAGTCCTTTGCTTGGACGAAAGTCTATAGCGAAAGTCAGACACAAATGTATGCCGCACAAGTCCACAGAGCTCTACTTACTACGTCGGCACAGGCAAAGAAAGATTGATTCTTTCCGTCGTTTTCGCCCTCGAACTCAGCCCAATATTCCATCTGAATGGTAGCGTTGTCGCCCGTAGTCTTTCCCTCTATTTGATTGAGTTTGTAACATTGATGCCCAGGGTCAATCTCCGAAACATTGCCAGTAATGGCCTCGAAGTCTTCCTGCTTGGTAGGATCTGTGTTCAAAAGTTAACAAGGTTAGCGTTTAGGATAATCCCAGTAAATCGATACTCAGATGTTTCAATTACCAAGAGAAGTTTACATACTATTCGAGAACGAGATGCGAAACGCGACCTTGTAGGCTTCATCGGCGATGCTGAGAGCCACAGAACCTTGAGTCAGAGGGAACTGAGTCCTGTTAGACACACCTTCAGGGCTACCACAAGGACCGATATTGTCGTCAGCAGCGTCCCAGGGACGGTCAGCAGGCCAGAGGAAGGCCACTGGTCCCATAGATTTACCCTCCTCTCCTTCGCCATGAGTTTGCCCCTGTCCAATGGAGAAGAGCAAGGCCAACGACGCCAACAGAGAGAGATGCATGATTCGAGCGTGGAAAGAGATGTTGAGATGTGATCAACAACGTCGAATGGTCAAGGAACTCAGGAGTGCTCACAGTTGAAAGTGTGGCGGAAGAAGCGCTGGATGAAGCGCTATATGCTGTAGAATCGCAAACACTATATGTGAACGAAAGCGGGGCTACCGATATTCATCATGTGAGTTTTAACAACAGAATGCCGAGCAGATTCGTCTGGCTAGTCGGGACAGGGCGACCGGCGTACTGCCAAGTCATCATGTCGATTGGACAGGACCTCCTGTGTGGGTAGATTGGAGGTGCAAGTAAGCGGCTGGTTGGCTGAGGGGAACGAACTGCCTTCCTCTCTGAAGGAAAACCGGCAGATAGAGGGGCGAGGGACCAAGTCCATTCGACAAGCAATAGTTTAAAACCCTTGCAGGTCTCCACGACATTGGAACATACGATGCGACCTACGAGTCGCACAGCAGCAACGAGCAAAAAAGCCAGGGTCTGGATCAGGCAATTAAGTTATCTGATGGCGCTAGTGATGCAACTAAGCGTTGGTTGTATTTCATGGCAACGCTGTCTAACCATATATAGAGATAGTCCGTCCTGCTTGTAGTCTGCCCAGCCAATAGTCCCTCGTGTTCCGAGTTACTGGTTATCTGATCAAAAACCTGATCATGCACGTTCTCTTGAAAACGGACCTAAAGATGGTTTAGCTTTGCTTCGCTTAGAGTTGATGGCCCATCTAATCTTATCAATCAATTCCCGTCCATCTGATAAAATTTTGCTCGCCCGAGTATCGGTGAAGCCATTCACCAACCGCTGTTCGCGCCACCCGTATGCTCGCAAGACCTAATTCATGATCGAGTCAAGTTGGAAGTGCCCTACATGGCCCCTGACTTGTACGAAAAGGGTCGGCGAGACCGCGTGCAGTTACAGTAGTTATGCCCAGCCTGCATGACCTGCATGGCTTGCATGGTTGGTGGAGTGTAGTACTATGAGTATAGTGCATCTACCGTTCCCCATAGGGTGATTGCCCTGTTGGCCAGGGTGGTATTGTTTAATTTCCAGCTACTTTCGAAAAGCTACAAAATGTCGCCCAGCCCGCCCTCGACATAGCAATCTTCTTTCCATCACTACCACAGCTTCGTTTGCATTTGCTACCGCTCTTTACACATCTAATTGCAAATCCTACACAATGGTTGCCTATCGCTTCATCTTCACCGGCTTTGCTGCTGTCGCCACTGTCGTGGCCTCTCCGTCCGCGGAAGACCACTTCTTTTCTAACCTTCTGAAGCGCCAGGAACCTGGCACTCCAGCCTACAACTGCCACGATAATTGCGGTATGAGACGTTCCCATTCTTTTCCAAACAGTCCACTCATATAGTCAGGTCTTGCTATCACGCTCTCTCGACAGGACGGCAGCTGTGAGAACAATCGCTTCCTAAGTGCCTACGGCAACTGCATTCAATGCTCTGGTCCAGACAACTACAACATCTGGCGCTACTATGGAGGAACATTGACTACGGCGGGTGGAAAATGCAACCTTCCAACGGAGCCACTCAAGGGACCTCAGCCAGATGTCCCACCGGCAGGCAGCAGTGGCCCACCCGGGGGTTCCTCCTCGTCTGCTGCTCCCAGCAACCCTCAACCCACCTCCCAGCCCCCAGCGGAGAACCCTAGGTCCTCATCCGCACAGGCACCTGAACCTGCACCGACTTCTGGTTCCGCAGTCCAGTCTTCTGCTGGAGCAACTGTGGCTCCCACCTCGGGTGCACCACAGAGCACTGGAGCCGTGCCTCAGAGCTCCGGGTCGGCGCCATCTGCATCCGCATCAGGAAGCTACCCATCAGGCACTGGTTCTCCCACTGAGTCGCCGGTTGAGTATCCCATTTCCTCCGCCCACTCTTCAAGCCCACCCTATGCCACCACACCTGCCATCACTATTACTGGCACTGGTGTCCCTCACCCAACCAGCAATGGGACGGCCACCTACACTGTCGTATGTTTCTCCATTAATGATATTTTAACCTGCAATACTGACCATTATCTTCCTACAGTCTTCCCCCCCGGAGCAGTCTGTTAACGCAGCTGCTGGATTGGAGGTGTCTGGCATGTTCGGTGCCGTTATCCTGGGCATGATGTATGGCCTCGGAAACTAATGCTCTAAGAATTGGCAACGAGACCATGCATAACCAGGACATTTGAGAAACATGGAAAGGTGGTTCTTTCGAATACCTTGTATATCACTTTACTTCTTCCAACTATATATTTAATACCAAACTAAATCTCTGCACAAGGATCAGTAACTGAATACGAATCTTATTGCCCACGCAGCGATCATATATTACAGAATTGGTTTCTTGGTACAGAGAACAAAGAATGTGTCTTCCATTGATCATTGTACGCGAGATTGGAGGCTTCTGGCATCATGACAATTTACTAACGGCCTAATCAACACGTAGGCTGACACTGCTAGCTTCTGATGACATTTCTCACATGGTGGGTCTGCAAATCTTCTCCGTTCATTTGCAGACATCCGATCATGCTACAGCTCCCAAGCAGCATAAATCTTAATGAAGATCCAAACACTCGCAGATTTTTGATAAAAGAGCTAGAAGCTTTAGTATTTACGTTGCTCCTGGAATAAACCTCGGCACTGACATGTTTGCAACCTTGCGGTGGAATCCCAACAATTGGTTGAACCAGACCTGGCAAATATTTAGTTTCTTTGGTGAGCCTATACGGCCATTGGAACAGAGTAGAGGTCTTCCTTAGAGACCGTAGAGTTGCTGTTAGTAGTAAAAACGATAGAGAACTGGATGGTCGTTACTAAAAGAGCTGGTGGATTGAACGTTTCGTTAGGTTTTTGCCGTCAAGCAGACAGACCGCGATAATAAGATGGCCCGAGCAAATTCATCTCAAATTCAAGCTCATTTTGGTGAATCAATGTTGCATGTTGCAAGCAAATGGCAAAGTGAGTTCATATGGACCACAAAGAGCCTCGAAGCGATTATCAAGCTGGCCTGGGAAGAGGTATAAATATACTAATCTATGGGTATATGAACATCGAGGGCTTATGCCAATAGGCTCGATGTACGCTGTACAAGCAGAAGGAAGTGAGGCGTAAGCGTGTGGCCGAGATTGAACCTGATTAAACGCAGTAATCACGCACTTGTAGTGAAAGCATTATGGAGATAATGCGAAAATGTGAAACTAGAAACTAGTCATGTATAAAGCAAGCTTGCCATAGAAAGCAAGAACATGTGAAACGAGGAATACAGCCCGCCGATGACCCATCGGAACTGGCAGACGATCGAGAAATTTAACGCCGTTGGAACACCGCTTCGAGAGTACATGATGTACTAGCTGTAGTGAAGGATGATTCCCGCATGGGAAAATGCAAACGCCGGAGATGCTAGAAAGGTACGAGTGAAGCCTGCGATGATCACCATAATTCGAACAAAATGAAGTGCATAGTCTCGGCAAATGGAAGAACTCATTGACCCGAAGCTCGCGGTCCAGGTAAATGCGAGAGGATCTTTTTGCCAAGCGTAACCCTGGTCTTGCGGCGACTACTACAGCCAGTTAGCGAAACGTATCAAAGGCTTTCGATGGTGGATGTTGAACTAACGCATCTTCCGGTTCGTCTGCCACGTTGGATGAGCCCTTCAGGCTTCCACTTCGAGGTTTATGAGCAAATGGAGCAAGTTGGGTCACATGGCGGCTCAGGTTCGAGATCATATTCGCATGATTTGGCTGGAAAGTACGTTAGTAAGCGGGAGAATGTTTGTATCAGAGACGTACTTCTGTAGGATCCACCCGGCTCAGTTCGTCTGCGAAACCCCGACCATCCTCTAAATTCCCGTCTTCCCTCCAACTACCGGAAATAACGCTGCCTGGAACGTCTACCCCGCTTCGCCCGCTGTGCATACTACTCTCTTCGCTGACAGTAGAGAACACACTGGCTCTCCCACTTGTGAAAGATCTACGTGGTCGATCCCCCGATGCATCACTACCACCTGGTGAAATATCGCGAATACTGTTTGAGTCGGTTCCAGAAAGATCGGGTGACGTATTGAGGACTGCGGAACTATTCGCAATTTGACGAAGGCGGGACTGCGCATGCTTGGACGGGCGGTGGTGCGAAAATTTGTTCCCAACGATAGCGCCTGCATGTGATATCAAAGCACGGATGACGTCCCGTTTCAGCTGAAGAGCGAGATCAAGATTTGACCAAGTTTTGTTACGATACTCGAGAGTCGGCATGCGGAATACGAGGTCGTGGACGTCTTCAAAATTGCGCTGCCCCTTGCCTTTATATGACAAACAGAGAACCATAGAGGGTATCCGTACGTACGCGAGTGTCATATAATTCGAAGCACGTGTCATCATCAAGGTCAGATCATCCGATCTGGGCTTCTTTTCATTTCGCTTCTCCCCCGGCGCAGATCGGTAGAGCATGAAGCGCTTGGCTGTCTTGTCAGAGTCAGTGGTATTGATTGAAACATTTGAGCCGGAACGTAAACTGCCAGGCCGAGAGGAGCTGGGAGGAGCTTCCGCAGTACTGGGATGAAGCGTCCTGCGTAAATCAGTGCCAGATCGAGAATGGAAGTCCCGGAAAATGCGCAGGTGATGTGGGTTGGGTCTCTTGTCAGCGTGCTTTGATTTATCACCCGTCTTTGCGGACGGAACCGGTAGATGCAGTGTTGGTGTCAGTCGTAGTTTAATTGCCTCTGCATCTGACTCATGCTCAGGAAAAGAAGATGACATGCTTGACGGCACTGTCGAGTTGGTACTGCTACCCATGTCTCCATCTTCATCCTGTGTTTCGTTTGTAGGTAGAGCGTGTTTGATGAGGAAGGGCGAAAAGCCGCCATTCTCTGCCGAATTGTCTTTTACACCCGGAAAGATATACTCGAACAGTTTCTTGCCGATCTCATACTCGAGTTGAATGTTGAGCGGAAAAAGGTTGACTTCGAAATGGTCCATGACCGGAATACCAGCGATGGCTTCAAGCATCACCCAATGCACCCTTAGCATTTTGGTATCCGGTTCGTCGTCATCACCGACACCCTTATTCTCGAAGTAAGGAGATATCATTTTGGGATAAAGCGCGTTTGGAAGCAGGTTCAATCCGGTGATCTGTTCGATTTCCATGGAATTGAGGTTTGATCCATCGTTGTTGTCAGTCCGGTCGTAAAGCGCGTTCTTCAATTGAAATTCAGCCAGCGATTCTTGGCCTTCGCGCAGTAGGTGCCACACGATTTCCGAGGCGGAGATGTACCATCGCAAAACCCCAGTAGACTGCTTTGCTTGAGCGCGATCATCCGATTTACGTTGCGCAGTGGTGATGGCTTTCATGACGAAGAACAGCTCGTCCTCAAACACTGCCAGGTCTTTCTCTACTTCGACACGGTCGTTCCATCCTTGCTTGTCTAAGTACTTTTCATTGATCTGAAAGACAGTTTTTATCTCCTCGAGCTGTCTTATCCGTTCTTGTAGACCAATGACTAAGGCAGGGGCTCCGGTGAGGTCACTGAAGTCTGACGCGAGCATGATCTTCTCGAGTCGCTCGTTCCTAGTCTTTTCTAAAGGCTCGTTGTATAGTAGCAGGTCAAGCACTATAACATACATGGCATAGTATTGTCGCGAGTTGCAAAGTGCTCTGACATGAGGGAAGTCAACCCACAGATGATCCATGCGGCTTTCCATGCCTTCAGAGTGTGGCGACGAACTGGAGTCGCCTCTGGAGACATCATCACTGTACTTGAGGCGAAGAGTGTTGTGCTTGTCAAATCGCATACTCGCCGATGTCCTTTGCACAACCCTTTGGAAGCCGTACGGGTTGGTATGGAAATCGAATAAGACCTCGAATGGTACCCAGGGAGGCCATGCAGAACCCGCAGGAGTGCCATAGGTGCTTCCAGAATACATGTGGATGTCTTCGGGACTGAATGTTTTTGCGTTGGTAACAAAGATCTGTAAACTATCCATGGCCGCGGAGAATCGCCGTTGAACTAGACCGGACACCTCATCCATGACGCGGTCTTTATCCATAATCTGAATGACCTTCAGTTGCATTCCCTTGGCTGTAACTAGAACCGCGGCTTTCGTATTCTTTTCGCTCTGTAGTTGGATTTGCGGCGCAATTAACCGGACTATGTATGTGTTCTGGGCGATATAATCCATAGCAATGTCGTCAGCAGCATCGTTCTTCTGGGACGCCTTGGACGCTTCAGTATCTCCTGGATCGTTTGCGTTGACAAACTTCTTGCCATCTTCTAACAATTGTTGCACTCGCTCATCGACGCTCAGCTCGTCATCCTGCATGAACTTGCTCTCGTTGTTCGACTGTGACGATTGCCGCGACTTGTTTTGCTCTTCGACGATGTCAAGTATGAACTTGACTGCTCTTCTGGACATGTAATATACAAAACCACGACGCTGGCTCACTTGATGTATATAGCGCAGGATTATGTTTCGCAAGGAATTGCTCCACTTCAAATGAACGTTGTGAATAATAAACCTGTTGTTGAAATCGCTGATATAGTCAGCAGTCGGAGTCGAATCTGTGCCTTTGGTTCCAGGATCAGTAGGGTCATATTCCTCCCGTGCCTCATAGTATTCATCATCTTCATCATTGTTGCCACTCGGTACCGCCCGAAGATCGGCAGATTTCAGCCGATCAATGAGGCTTTGATGCATAGCCAGTAAGAAGTCTTCTTTACGTTTGAGAAAGATAGTGTGGTGACGTAGTAGATCGAGTCGGCTACGAAGTTCACCTTGATTTTCAACTTCCCGTACGATTCGCAATTCTTGTTCTCCGATGGCACGCTCATTTTGAAGTAACTGTTCTTTGACGCGTTTTAGGCGCTCCTCAATCAGATGGCATTGTACCCTTCGCGGGTCGTTCCTTGCCGACATGACACAATGATGAGTAGGTTCTCTTCCGAAAGGACTTGATCGATGAGTATCGCCAGATATGTTGTCGGAGTGATCCGTTTGGCGGAAGTAGGTGAAACGAGGTGCGAAGGCAAGGGGCAGGATTTTGGTCTCTGGGTTCCTGTCTGATGGCAGGATCCAACCAAGCTCTACAAAATCATCCATATCAACCCATCCCCAGTCATTGTCCGGAATGGTGAACTTTGATAAGTCGGCTTTAATATGATCTTGATTGTATCCGGCAACCGTATCAGAAGTGGCGCCCTCTACGTCCTCTTCGTTTGTACCCTCGATGCTCGCCGAGACAGCGCGGACATCAGTCTTGATGAGGTCTAATTGGACTTGATTAATGCGCATCCCTGTAGTCTGATTTTGCTTGCTATCCTCTTGATTTTTCGGTGCCTGAACAATCGTTCTGAACTCCTCCCGACGCTGGTGCAGGTCGAGCATAAAGCTGTCCACTCGAGCCTTGAGGCCTGTCGAGGCAACGGCTTCGTGGTCGTAATCTTCGGCATCTTTATGTTTATAGACATGCGCCATGTAGAGAGGAGAAAGGAGGATATTGTACTTGAGGGTAGCCAAATGTCGGCCAAACTTTTTACTCGACTTCTCAATTCCAGGCCACAGCTTACCCTGTCGGATGGGCAGAGACATGGCACCAGAAAACATTGACCACCAGTTGAAGAAATGCGTGAAGAACCGTGGCGTGAGGTGAACGCTGTTGTACGTTTTGGATGGCTCAAGATTAGACACCGACCATTCGCGGTCATGGGGGGCGGCGACTGCAACAGACATATGAATGTGATGACTTCGAAAGCCTCGGAAGGCGTCGTATTCCTGTATATTGTTAGATGGATATCAACGACATCAGGACTCGTACGCACCTTTCCATCAACCGACTTCGCATATTTCGGATTCTTCAGCACTACATCGTAATGGGGAATAAAGTCAAACGATCGGCCACCCTCCTCGAGATTTCGCTCGAATACGAGGCCGGCAAGCCAACGCACGTTTCCGTTTAGTTTCATTATGGTTTTCTTAAAGATTGCCAACTGCTTGTAGCTCGAGATACTCGATGCTGTCTCGGTATGGCCCGACGCTTCCAGGTCAGCTTCTTGTCGCGCGTAGTGGCCAAGATCAGGGATTGCAAGGACAAAACCACCACTATTAACGATCATGAAATTTCGAGGATCATCGTCTTCCGCAATGCTGAGTTTGACATCGCTCTGCCAACACATAACAAATCCAGCACCATGACCGGTCACCATGTATGGATCACGAGCCCCTACTGTATGTTAACAAAGTGCTGATATGATGGATAAATTCGGAACCAACCTTTGAGAATCAGATGCACGTCACCATCACCTTTCCAGGATACATTGAATCGAGAATGGAAAGTAAGCCTTATCTTGTCCCAGAACCCCACACGCTCTGATGGGTCCACTGCTGGCTTGGTGAAGCTCTCGATCACTTGCATCATATCCTGAATAGCGGGTTGGTACGAGGTGCCCCAAGTGATCCTCGTTGGATAAGCTGAGTTGACATCAATCTTCATGTTAGAGTATGTTTTGACGGGTGCTACTGTTCGTCGAACATCAACTGCAAATCCGCCGGTTGGCTCTCCGTCGTTAGTAATTTCTGGCGGAACAACTACAACTCGACTAATTCGTGATGATTCAAAATCACGATATTCCTCAGCAATGACAAAGTCTGTTCTTAGTGACAAGCTCGGCAGTCTGGCAGATTGTGTTGGCCGAATGGCTGGAATGTGGATGAGAGGAAGTGGATAATCTCGAAGCTGAATCTTGGCCTCGCCCACATTCAACTTCACATGAAGTGGAATGAGCAGTGAGTACTGCATGTCAACTGGCATGCCTTTCCCAACACTATTCAAGAATTTGGGATACTCTGATAGTGGGAAAGAAGGTTTATCGATGACAATGTCGAGATCGCTGATCACAAACACCATCAACGCAGGCCGTTGAGGAATAGCGAGGATAGTTTCACGATGGTCAACCTCATCTGGCATGTCGTCGAGACCCCAGAATATGGATCGAATGTCATTGATAGAGCGATTCTGGCATGTGAGGGCGTGATCAATGCGTTTCCTCCAGGTTTGCGCATTGAGGCGGTTGAGCTTGTCTCGGGCTTCTTCGATCGATGTCCGCGATGACCCACTCAAACCGCTATAGCCCTGCTTATCGTACCGCATGGGATGATCACCATGCCGTCCGTTATCAGGTGAATCTTCAGGATCGCTGCGCTCTTCGCTCTTGCTGCGAACCTTTAATTCCCTGGCCTTTTTGGATTTGCTCCGGCCACGAAAGGTGTGAGCAGACCTGGCGCGCTGTCTGGAGGTCCCTCTTCGATCGTTTTCCTGACGAAGTTTTTTCATTTTGAGTTCAAATGCCTGTTCCCGCGCTAGTCTTTGCTTCTGTTCCATGAGCCCGTATCGATAGATGACGCCGAGTTTCCACTCAAAAGAACCATCCTCGATCTCGAAAAGAACAGCCCGGCTGCGCAATGATATTTTAGGTACATGTTTTGGACCCTCCGGGCCTTTTGCAAGGATGTATTCATTCGAACCTGTCTTGAAGCGATGGTGCATTTGTTTTATCGTTTTGACGAGATTCGCAAAGTTATCAAAGACTTTGTGCATGACTAGTTGATGAGGAACCGCTAATCGAATGGCATCAGTTGCAATATCAAACGATTTATCATCAGTAATGGTATTGCCATATCGTCGTTTCGAGTGCCGATAATCGATACGTAGAGATTTGACGCTCACTATTCTTGCCCAGACACGCTTGATGTGGGGACTTTCGGCATACAGTCTCACCAAGCGTGATCTCAAGAAGGGATTGGTCCATCGGTGTCGTCCACCTTCCAGGCCATATATGTGCAACATCATCGGTGGATCCGAGGGCATGTTTGCTTTGATCTGGATAAATTGCGCCTTGATATCCACTGTAACGACTTCACGCTTCAACCCAGTCGCAGGATCGAGGTCATCATTGTTGTCCACAGAAGGGACTGCCAAGTGATGCCGCATTTTCTCAGGTGACAAGGAGGTCTGTTGAGGCTCAGCGTTCCAATTGAATGAGCGCTGTAGAACTGATACCGCAATACCGACCGAAAAGTGACGATAGAGAGAGTAATGGAAGAACAAGCTCTGCAAGAAGGAATGTATGTGGAAGATTGGGCCTTGCTTATCGGAGGATGTAGAGAAGGCAACCTCCATTCGTGGCAGTGAAATGAATGGATCTTGCTCCCAGGTATCGGCAGCTTCCATAGCGAAGCCTTCGAGACCTTGCCAATGTAAAGTGAGTCGCCTACCGTCAGTACTATTGGCCAATTGCCGACGAGGGGAATTGGGTGATGAGGGCGTTGATGGGCGGAGCAAGTAGTCGTCGCGGTTGATATTTCGACTAGGTGCTCGTCGTCTAACTGGTCGCACCTCTGACTCCTCCGCCTTGCTCTGTCGGTACTCGGCCGTCCAGCTTTCGAGGTGGAGGCCAACTCCCCTAGAACTTCTAGAAACCTCCGGATCAGCCCCTGCAACCTCCAAGTTGAAATCCGAGCCCTGTAGCTGAACATGCACCAGCCATGAAGGGAGTTTACGGAGAAAATTCAGCACTTTCTTCTTTGGGGCACCGCGTCTTCTCTTCATATCTTTCTGGATCTGGGATATGATTTGCCGTAGACCTTCACTAATCTCGGGTCGCACGACGTATACAGAGAAGGTTTGAGCAGTCCCGTTGACCATCACAATCACATCGGGCGATGCACTAAGCTGTATTTTGAGCTCGAGATAATCAGTCAAGAGAAGGTTGTGCTTCTCGCTGGACGCAGTCTGGTAGTACAATTGCTGCGAGTTCATCCTGAATGTGGAAATGAGAGCGTAATGTAATTCCCCGTCCGCAGCATGAGAAGATTCGACATCAAGAGATACGGAAGAGGAGGCAGATATAAGCAAATCGAATTCATCAGTATTCTGCTTCTCAGGTTCCATAGGGGGGAGAGTAACGCGGACAACAGGCTCATGGATGGATATTTTGATGCTGGCTTTGGGTAGAAGCCTACGCAATAGATACCTTTTCTGATTCCGTTGTAAGCTTTCCGGCTTCCGTCGAGTCTCGTAGTTGCGGAACAAGGCCAGCAGAAGGGGTAGATGTTTTGGGTCGAGATCCAGGGATGGAGAAGTAACGACGAGGTTAGCGAATAGTATGTTTGTATTTCGTTCGGCCATATTCTTGTGATTGGAAAAATGTATCGTTTTCGATGGCAGGGTGGTATTGAGTGTCATCGTGGCCATGGGTATATAAAGAAGACGTTCTGGATGGTCATGTCCATCATCAATACCAACTGAAACTGAGATAGCCGCAAGAAGAGCCTGGTGGGCGATGTCATTGGGCGAGAAATACATGAGATGTGCGGGGCTACGTGGATCAAGGCGCAGGAGATCCATTCCCACCTCCTTCATAGACATGTTGAGAAAGATTGATGGCTCCGATCCATGGCTGCTTTTGATCTCTTTGGTCAGACCCAAGAAGCTTACTGCAAATTGGAACTCTTGAATGCCTCGAAGGATCGAGCTTGCGAACTCCTTCGAATCTGATACGGTTCGTAGGAGACTCTCTTCCTGACTCGATGGTTCGTCTGCTTCTGTTATGATGTCTGCTACAGAGGTACTTTGGTGTCCGTGCAGAGGTCCCTTTTGTGACGATGCAGCATGGCACTTCTTGGCCCGGCTGATGCATACCTTAACATCATCGTATGGGATGCTCAGTCTACCAAGCTTCAGTGCAATTGAAGCGTCACGGAGGCCGTCCAGTTCTTTATATAGCATTCCATGGATGTTCAACGCACAATGATCCAGCACTTCGGTAGAATCGCCTCCGTCAGGGGTGAAGAAGATACTTCGTGCGGTCATTATCCACTCGGCAGGTCGCTGCTTTTTGGTCGGATCAGGTTTATGATGATTGAACAAACGGCTGCGGTCCACAGTCTTCCGGCGCGTATCTACAGCCATTGAAAAACTACCGATCTGAAGGGATCCTACATCGACAACGACAAGAGTCGTAGTCGTTGCAACCAAGTCCACGAGTCGAATCCATTTGATCTTGCGGTGGATGCGCTTTATTCGCTCCTTGAGTTTTGTCAACTTCTCCCATGTACGGCTCCGTCGGCTCTCCTCCATGTGTGCATCGTCAAGTTCCTCTTCCTCCTCGGATTCAGATGCATTAGGCCTGTTTTTCTTTAACTCGTCTGCAGGATCATTGCCCCATTTGGCCCATGTAGCTCTCTTATGCGGCCTATCGCCCAGTGTCTTCAGATCGAGTGTAACCTTCAATTCCGTCACGACCACACTGACCCAGGTGGGCTGCGCAAATGTTGGTCGGTGCAGTGTGAGGCCGAGGCCGCGAATCTCGATGCGCAGGCCGTCCTTTGGGGTTAAAGCGATCCGCCGAAGGCCTGATATGCCGATACGCTGGATGGAGATGCCAGTAACTACGCGGGCGAAGGCGAAGAGGACGAAAGATAGGAGGTAGGCCAGAAGCAGCAGCCCCGCCATGAAGGTGGGTGTCGGAAGTGCCATGTTGATCGACTTTGTCCCCGCATCGAAGATGCGAAGAGTGCGCCTGTGGAGCTCGTCTGGTGTTCGTAGCAGCGGTAGCAGAAGCAACCACTGCTAACGTGCAGATTAAAGGATCGGGATCGTTTTCGAAGCATCCGCGTGTGAGGGTATGAGGCTAGGAGAGAGCAACGTCAGACTAGGACGCGACGTTATCCGCACGCGGGAGACATGCGAGACTCGACAATTGTTGTTTGGACATAATCGGGGGCACGTCGGTAAGAAGTCGAAAAGGAGGCGAGAGAGGGGAGGAAGCGAAGGGTACGGACTACGGAAGGCGACACATCGAGAGGCAATGGATTATCTATGAATTTTCCTTCGGAGCTGTGCACAATGGTGGTGATGGCGATGGTTATTGGGAGAAGATGATTATTATGCGAGTGGGTAGAAAGGTACCGTAGTGGCCGTAATACAGCCAGGTAGGTACAGTAGTCATCTGTACTACGAGGTATAATACAGCGTATTAACTGTGTGGGGACGGAGAAAGCGGAGTTAGGGCCTGGCCTGGGCTGAGTTGGGCGGCGGCCACTCTCAAGACTCACGCCCAGTATTTATTTCAATGTGACAACCATCAAATACATGTTCAATACTGAATTATTACATGAATGACTCCGAGAAACAAAACAACAGCATACGAGGCACGAGGTACTTGTCTTGCCTTAACTACATGCGTGTGCAAAGCACTTGAAGTAGTACCAACCTATGTATCGTAGGCTTACCTTGTCATATATGCGGAGTACGAGTACACGTACAAGCACTTGTAACTAGGTACTTGTCACATACCCACTATGTAGGTACAATAAATGAAACAGGGAAATAAGTGACTACCTATGTACATACCTACTTCAGGAACCTCGGTAGGTACCTGGGAAAGTTAAGGTGTGAGTACCTATTGTTATGAGTACCTGGTATGTAGTAGTACCTAGTATTCGTGCCTCTTAGATCCAATCATCTTAATCAACACACGAACGAACCTCGTCTGAAGTTTTCTATCCCATCTGACTTTGCGAGTTGAATACCCAATACCCAAGGGGCCTACGTACGCAGTGCCGATATGTACCTCAAATAACTAGAATCACGTGACTCTCTTCTCGTCATAATGACGTAAGTCCCTACTACGACTAGGCACCTAGATAACCACGAGCTCTCAAACATTCAATAACATAACTACCTCGTACCTACTCTCCACTTTCTTCGTCTCTACATCGAACTACCTTCAGGACATTCACTTCCTTCTTTCTGCTCGGAACGAAACCAGACTATTTACCGACCAACTCGCCTTGCACTATACCATCTCGTGACACCCCACGTTTTGCTACCGTCCAACATGCTTCAACTCCTCTTCGCAGCCTTGCTCCAACTCTCGCTATGCTTCCTTGTTGAAGCCGCCCCCATTACCACGCAAGGCACTGCCTGGCAAGGACCCACTGGTGGCGGGATAGTGGGATTCATTGTTCTCGTACTAGACATCATTGCTTGGGGTAAGTCTTCGAATTCTCGCTACAAAATCCTTCATCTTCTCCATTACCTTGAATTACTACACTCCCCGATCATCATGACGCCTATGACTTACATTTACTAGTGGAAATCATAAAATCGAATCGCCCGCCCGTCAACAAAGTCATCTGGTGCCTCGTGGTTTTCCTCTTCCCCATCATCGGTATGATCATCTACTACCTCTTCTCCAACCGCCAGTCGCACAATTCCGGAGGTTATGAGGCTATATCCACATAAACAGCACTACGTCAATGAAGGGCACTGGTTATCCTAGGGTTGGAACTCTGATTGCTTTCTCAAATTCAATATGCGAGGATGTGACCGAGACGATATAGTTCCTCCTGCTTTTCAGAGATTTGGCGCTGGTGCCCTAGCAAATTGATTACGATACACGTTGCAATGATCGCTTCTGGCAAGCCTACTGCTGTTGTAGTATCTTCTATTATGGATCAAGCGTTTGTCCTTCTGTCAAGTCCATTTCTTAACTCATAGCCTAATCTTTGCGATACTGAACCCATTTCTCTTGCTGCTTCCCCACCGATCGCGTGCTGAAAGATGACATCTAAGAACTTCTGATTCTGGAAGTCTGTAAATATTGGATGTAGGGTACCAAACTGAGAGATTGATTCGCGTTTATAATTACCTAGGGTGCTAGTTTTTCGAGAGTTTGTTTGTTGCATGATGAATCCCACGGGTGAACCCCACAAAAGGAACCCCGCATCGACCTAATGTATGCACATCCAGGTTGGCAAAAGCAATTATATTACCTCGTATTTCGACCTTGCGGCACGTGGCCAAGGGCAGCAATATAAATGCTTCAAGTTATATGTTGCCCTAGGTATTTGTGCCTCACCAGATTACCTATTCATTGACATCGGTATTTGTCTCTCAGCTATATCAACATTGGATCGACGCAGTCATGAGTACAGACAGAATTGCACTAGACGCATCTATTTCTATACCACCACGTGAGGTTACCACAACGTTGACAGTACGAAATGTGCAGACAACACTGAACTACTATCGAAATCCTGGTGATGGTTCACCGCCGACCCCAGTATATGTTGGCGGGTAAGCGATCAATTCGCCGTTGACCTCCAACCATCAGGTCGCGATTCAAATAATAAGTGGTAGCGGCTAACTTCGAGAACAGGAATACCGTGCAGAACGAAAGGCCGACTATTCCAGTGTCTGTCACAATACGAGATGTAACAGGATCAGAAAAGAATTTCACCCTGGACACGCACGGGTTTCAGTTCATCAAGCATGAAAGTGCCATGAAGCTATTTGATTCCGAAAGTGAGATAAAAGAAGGATACTACCCCGAATGCGTGAATCTGTATAAGCAAATGTTGGTAAATCTCGGGGGAATACTGTAGTTTTGCGTTTACTTGTAACTAAGCCAACTTCATAGAACCGGTGCATCTCGGGTCCTGATCTTCGGGCATCTTGTTCGGCGAGGTCCAACACACTGGCATTCACTAGGGAACGGAAACGCAGCAAACAAGGGGCCACTTCACCGCGTCCATGTCGATCAATCCTATGCCGGGGCAGAGCTCATACTTCGCAAACAGCTTCTTGATGAAGCTGAATCCACCTTAGCTCGAGAAAATCGCTGGCAAATCGTAAACCTCTGGAGGCCCGTCAGTACAATATTCAAGGATCCGCTTGCCGTTGCAGCGGCAGCATCAATTTCCGAGGACGATCTGGTAGAGGCCAAAGTGTTATACACAAACCAGTCTCCTCCGTGGAACCGGAACGAAACTTGGGCAGTTCAACCAGGCCAAGGCCATTCGTGGTTCTTTAAAAATGAGCAGAAGCCCGATGATGTCTTGTTAATCAAGTGTTTCGACAGCGACGAGAAGGTGGGCGTGGCTCGGCGAGCGCCTCATTGCGCCTTCAGAGACCCTGAACGCGAAGGCCATGTCTGGAATGATAGAGAAAGCATTGAAGTGCGTGCACTTCTTTTCTACAATTAATTGAAAGATATATATGAGTGCGTTATCAATTTATGGGTAGGGGTTAGGGGTTCTCTTCGTGTGTACAGATCGACGTACTTGCGGTTTTTCGTTGCAGGTCACCAGTCAATATGTCTAGCTCAGGTATATTGGGCTGTGCGGTTCCCATAGATAATATAGTCCTTACTTACAATGCTATAATACAACAATCATGTAAGACCTCACAAAGTTGTTAAACCCTGAATGATGTACAAAGAACCCCCCTTGGAGCAATGAACCCGTTTCCGAGTAGCAATGTCCACCATGTCTAGTCAGCCTTGACCCCGCACGCGATCTAGGCACTCTTGTGCTGTCTGCTCAATGAGCAAAACTCTGCTGGGTATTCATCTTAGCGAATGCCTTGTTCTCCTTCTGCCACTTTCGTGCATATCCAACTCCAAATCCATGTGCGAAGACCTCACGGATTGCCTCAAGCGGCATGCCCTTGGCCTCGGGGAAGCAGAAGAACACGAAAACCCATCCTATGAAGCATATGGCACTGTAAAAGCCAAAAGCACCGCTCGGTGAAACTATCATTTGTTAGCATAAGAAAATTCGTATCACGAATCTGGTACATACTGCCTTTCATCATGCTCAGGAAAGTCGAAGCAATGATGATGTTTGTGGACCAGCAAGTGACAGTGTTAAGCATAGTGCCAACAGCGCGGACTTCCATGGGGATAAGCTCGGTGCCAATCCAAGCGATAGTGGCCACACCGCTGGAGTAGCAAGCAACAAAGCAGATGATGGTGACGATAACGACGATTCCGGGCCAGCCGACGGTATCCGATTGAACTTCAAGTGTGTGCCTGTCGATGGGAATGTAGGCGAATGAGACGGCAGCAATGACCAAGCAAACGACCATGCCAGCAATAGTGACGAGAAGAATGCGACGACGGCCAAACTTGTCAACGATGACAAGATTGACGAAAGAGAATACGAAATTGGTGGCCGAGACAGTGATGGCGACCGCAGTGGCGTTGTTGAAGCCAACAATCTTGAAGAGAGTTGCAGAGTAATACATCAGCGTATTAAAGCCTAATTGCTCTATTAGTCGGATACACCAGAATTCGATATTGTAAACTAACCTGATAGTTGAGAGATGGCCATGATGATGCATGCAGTGAGAACAGCACGGCCCGTGGCTGCGTTGGTAAAGATGCGCCCAAGAGTCTTGATGATTGAATCGTCCACCATGGTCTGAGTGGCTTCACTGATGCTGATTTCGATACTGGCGATCTTGGCCCGACGTTGCTCATGTGTGGATGTTGGATAGATTCTCATCAGGACCGTCTCGGCTTCATCAACCTTTCCATGTGAGACGAGCTGTCGTGGCGACTCGGGGCAAAGGAATAGCAGTCCGGCAAGTAGGATAGCAGGAGCGGCACCAATGCCTACAGTTGCTCGCCATGCCTGTGAAGTCTCTGGATTGCCTACTTGGGCAAACCCAGCGCCGATCGAGGAAGCTAAGAACTGACCGAAGGTCACGGACATGTTGTTGAAGGCGACCATGCGTCCACGATATTTTGCTGGGGCAAGTTCGGAAATGTAAAGGGGCACGATCATGGCTGCGCTGCCGACACCGAGGCCAACAACAAATCGTCCGACGGCGAATTGAGGTAGGTGGTATGCCGCAGTTTGCAGTACAGTTCCGATGACGAAGACAATGCATGCAAGCCAGATAGGAAGCTTCCGGCCATACTTGTCAGCCATAAGACCAGCGAAAACAGCACCGACAAGGGCTCCTCCAGAAGTCAAAGAAGTGACAAGTTCTTGTTCAGAGGAGCTGAGTTCATGGCCGAGTGAAGTACCAATGGTGACAAGGACAGCAGAAATGTATCCGGTATCATAACCTGTCCAAGACGTCAATATTTGCGATCCCGGGGTACGATCATCAGTGCAGCTTTGCGGACCTACCGAATAAGAGACCACCAAGGGAAACTGTGATGGAAATCAGCCATGCAGCCTTGGATGCAGCAGTGGCTTCAATTCCTGACAATTCTTCGATCTGAGAATGTGGGTCTTGTACGGTATCGACCTTCTCGATCTGCTCGTCGACCCCCGCGAATTTGGTGCTCTTCTCAGACATTGCGCCTGTGGGAGGGGTGGATAGGAGGATGACTTGTGAGTTGTGTCTCGAAACTCGAGGAGCAGTGACTTATACGAGAAAACTGTGTTGTACGTTTAGTACTGGAGATGCGCGATCGTCCCAAAGGCGAAGACTGTTGAGTGATGAACAAATATTCCACATGGAAATGATTGTCTTATTTATGCTTCTGCGAATAGTTAGAGAAAACAGGCCGCTATACGCCGCCCTGGCCCAAGAACGTGCAAAGGTGTACGCCTCTTGGGAGAGGAGAGTAGAAAGCAGGTACATTGAAGCATGTCCGCTTGGGTGGAGACTGGGGATTGCTACGTTGGGACGACCCTAGCGTCCGGAAGGAATGTTGTGCGCCGATAGCTTCTCCGAGATGCTGGGGGATCTCTGGGGATTGTGGGGGAATGACGGCAATGACGCTGGTAGCCTGGTACGGCGTTTGAAGGTGGTAGGGATCCCCCATCCGACGTTTGCAATGATTGCGGGGATAGGTACCGTACATAGGCATCTCCAGTCGATTCCTATGCAGTCCGCGTGCCTCTGACTCGCCCTCATCCCAAAACGCCTCGTGTCAATCTCGCCAGAGCTGCCGCCCCTCATGGCCTCATACAAGCATACACAAGTACAAAGTAACGCTCAATAATCCATTAGGCGACATTGGCCAGGTTGATCCGGATCACATGAAGGCATGGGCGTTCATTTACCAGGCGTCTCATTGGCTCATTATCCTTCGGTAAGAGTCTGGATCGAAAGTCGGAATTCATTGCTATACACAAAGCCATCCGAGCCGCGCTATCCCTAGAGCCTCATCTCTTCTGGCCTAAACAACTCCGTTTATGCCTCGATTAGGCTTGCTCCAACCATTTCTAGATCGAGCGATCCGGTCTACGCTAATCACATGGACTTGGCTGCGCTCTATGCTGCCACTTCTGGACTACATATTTGTACAATGATCACCATCACCATCTCCTTCAGCTCTCTTGGCCCTAGGGCTCAATTCTGAAACTGGCTACAGACAGGTACTGTAATATGGTCGTCCGTTGTGCCTCTGCACTAGATCATCATACACAGAAGGAACTGTAGACTCAACAATAATAGCGTGTATTGAACACTAACTCTTGCAGTTCACCTCGATAGTGGTCATCATGAACCTTTTGAGGAAAAATGCACGCCACTGTTTACATACCACGCCTTGTCTAGATCAAAAAAACATGAAAAGCGAAGGCATGTAGCCGGAAATCATAGATGAGATAACTGTAGGTGTTATTGATGCAGGCAAGAAGCAACAGATTCATGTGTAAATGGAATAATTCATTTAGATTCTATATCACAATGCTAGTCCCGCCAAATAGTCTGCACTGGGAAAGATATGCCCTCATCTGGCCCGAAACGCCGCCAATGCTGTTCCCCTGATGCTATTCTCCTGATGCTGTTCCTCATACACGCAATAAGTTCGTCCATATGCCGAGTTTATCTTCGTTGCAACGCTCAAACGGTTGTATTATTTGTTGATTCCCTTCTCCAAATCTTGACAGGCATATCTTCAAGCAACCAATTCATGCCCTCGCATCGTTTCAGCTCAAAGTCAGGTTTGCTAAGAGCAAACCCATATCTCTTCAAGACGCTTGCCAACACGACCGTCTGTTCGAGATAGGAGATATTTCGACCAATGCAGCCACGTGCTCCTGCAGAGAATGTGATGAAGTATGGCTGAAGCGCTTTGCCTTCTTCACCCAACCACCGTTCAGGGATGTACTGATCTGCTTGTGGGAAGGTTCTTTCGCAGCGGTGAGCAACGAGCGCCGACATAGAGACAGAAACGCCTCCTGGAATGTAATCTCCAAGGATGTTTGTGCCATCAGGAGGTGTTTCACGACCGAGATTTTGAGGAGTTGGTGGAAACAGTCGCAAGGATTCGTCAATGCAGGCCCGCAAATACGGTAGATGTTTGACTTTGTCATGACTGATCACTCCGCTCTCGTCTTCCTCCTCATCGTCTTCCAGAGCAGCATCGATCTCTTCAACGACCTTCTGCATGGCAGTGGGGTTCTTCAAAAGTTGGTATAGAACGTTTGTCATCGCAATCGCCGTGGTAACGCTGCCTGCGTTCATCATAATGTTGATCTCCGCAACAATTTCACCCCATTCTAGGTTATTGGGGTGGCCATTTTTATCTTCCATCAAGGCTTGGAAGAAGTCGTCCAACTTCTCTCCTGCACGATAGCGTTGTAGTCGGCGATGTGCGAGCTCGGTTGGAATCCCATCCCACTTTGTGGCGAGCTTCCCCATCCGACCGTAGTATGGAATGACGTTCGATAGTTTGTTGAGTAAAGGGTAGCTCTGATATGAGTACAAAAGCAAAGACTGCTTGATATTGCTTCCATAAAGACATTCGCGGAGATTACAATCATACGTTGTACCATCTGTGCGGCGACCCTGGATGCTGTCGTTTCCTTGGTCAAGGAAGCCCAGCTTCTCGGAAATACCAATGTCTGCGATAGCGTCGAGGGAGAAGAAGTTGGTCCAAGCTCGATAGTCGAGGTTGACGTCTTCCGGTTTCGGGATCGCACCCTTAGCCAACGGCTTGGTGCAACATGTGTCAAAATGCTTCAACATGCGTAGTGTTTTATCTGCAACCTTATGTTCCCATCCTTCAAGGTTCTTGATAGCGTATGCAGCACTGAGTACCTTCCTCTTTCTCTGATGATCGTGCTTGTTCACGACGTCGGCAAGATGGTAATGAGTTCCAGCTCCGGCGATATAAGTCTGGTCCTTGGTGCAGGGAGTGTTATGTCCGTAGATGTCCTTGATTGCACGGACATCTCCATATGACAATGAACTTGGACCGGTTCGAATCACTGGGTGAGTTTTGTGCAACTTGGCGAGGTATGATGAGCGGGCGTGACTGTGTGCTACTATCATGAAGGGGATATTTGATATTCCCGACAGAGGATGCATGTTGGGATAACGTCGAAGGCCCTTAGCATCGCGGAAATAAACAATAACCGGAAACACAACGAAGTAAACAAGCAAGCAGGCTCCAAGAGCTGCAGCATAAGGTGTTGACACGAACATGATTGATGGCTTCGTGTGACGAGTTGACAATGTTGGAATGCTGTTGGAATGAATGTCACGTAGATGTAGAAAGCCGGTCTTTTAATCTTGTATCTTTCGTTCACATATTACGGATTTCTACGATGGTCCATCGAGTTGGGAAGCCTAGGATGGAAATTATCTTGACCAGAATTGTGTGTCTGAATGGGGAAACGAGCCTATTTTAGTTAGTTCTACTCACATATTTGGTGGGGAACAGTGGAGGAAATCCAAGTATGGAGTGTGGGGTATTTCGGGTTGTAGATCTTTGCGAGACTATAGACGATTACGTAGAGAGGGGCTCTTTGATAATATTTCTAGATTGAGAGATTCGTAGTCTCCGTTGAGCACCTGGGTAGCAATCAACGTGATACTGGGCCTTACTACTCGTACTCCGTAAGGTCTTTGCAAATATAGATACGAAATCCGTTATAACCACATTAAGGTATTGAATATTCAAACTCAGAAGTGCAGTTCCTGGAAAGTGATCTCGCATGCGACACCCATTGTACAATAAAAGTCGTGCATCCCGGACTTGAGCTGCTAATATTCACTGAACTTCTACTTTACTCTTGAGACTTGGGATTGCTCAACTGTCCTTGGGATTTGGAACCCGTCTATATCGAATTGTTACCATATCCCCAGGAGTTGTACATATTCATCATGGCGAGATTCGATACTTCGATGGCCGACCTGGCATCATCTCTCCACCCTTTCCTTCAGACTTTGCAGGATCAATCTGCGCAATCCTTGGTACAGGCATTGAAGCCACAGACAGTCACAGATCGAGTAGCTGTCTTATTGTTCCTTTTATCTGCCTTCGGATATCTCTCGCGGGGACGCGTATGGGATAAGCCGGATCCCTATCACAACGTCTGGTTCGAGCGCCCGCAGCAAGAGGGGGGAAATACATCGCATAAACGCACAGAGACATCCAGGGATGTTTCGCAGCGCCTAGAGGAAGGCAAATATCAATGTGTCATCTTCTGGGGTTCACAATCGGGCACCTCAGAGCGCTTTGCTGAGGCGTTGGGTCGAGAATGCTCAAGTAGATTTGGCATCAACGCTCTTGTCGCCGATCTATCAGATTTCGAACCAGAATCAATCAGCTCCATCTCCCAGAACCATTTCGCGATATTCCTTCTCAGCACCTATGGCGAAGGAGATCCAAGCGATAACACTACGGGCTTGTGGGACTGGATCAAGTCAATAAAGGATAATGAGAAATCACTGAGCAATCTCCGCTACCTGGCATTTGGGCTCGGGAATAGCAATTACAAGTACTACAACCGCGTGCTTGATGTAGTAGCAGATGCACTCGATGCAACCGGTGCGACAGCTCTAATTCCACGTGGAAGGGCGGACGATGCAACTGGCGGAACAGAGGAGGACTTCCAGGCTTGGAAAGACGATGTCTTCGCCCTTTTCCGAAAGATGGGCTATGCGGAGAGGCCAATCAAATATGAACCCTCGATTGAGGTCTCATTCACGACAGGCGAGGAGCCTCATGAGTCAACTACTTCTGTAACACACCAAAAGTCGAACCTGAACTCGAGCATCGCCTCTTTGCCGATTCGGAATGCCCGCGAGCTTTTCACCGCAGGAGATCGCAACTGCATACACCTAGAGTTGGACCTCGGACATCACGAATTGGGGTACAAGACCGGTGATCACATTGGCATATGGCCCACCAACCCCGACCAAGAAGTCAATCGGCTCTTCGAAGTCCTAGGTCTCACCGCACGTAGGCAGGAGACTGTTAAGATCACAGCTTTGGATGGTTCATGCAAGAACAAGCTTCCTCCGCTCACTACTCTGGAGGCTGCCTTCCGCCATCATCTCGAAATCTGCGCTCCTGTGCCCCGCAAGACATTCGTAGATATCGCCGAGTTCGCCGCATCGCCAGACGTCAAGTCTAAGCTTTTATACTATGGCCAGGATAGGGACCGTTATGCCCAGCTTGCAGCAAGTACCCACCTCAACTTTGCTCGCTTGTTGCAGCTCGTCGGACCTGGTCACGTCTGGAATTCGCTGCCGCTCTCTTTCGTCCTGGATACTCTGCTTCCGTTACAACCACGTTACTACTCCATTTCTTCCAGCTCAGTCATATCACCTCGTCGTATTGCTGTCACCGCTCTTGTCGTCAACCATAATCTATCACCAGAGTCCGTCATTCACGGATTGGCATCGAATTATCTGCTCTCAGCAACAAAGCTACCAAACAATGCTTCGGGACCATCGCCCTCCTACAGCCTTCAAGAATCTCCCGAGAGCGAAGGTGGAAGACTATATGCCCATGTAAGGAAGTCAAAATTCAAGCTCCCATTGACCTCTTCCACGCCTCTCGTTCTCATCAGTGCGGGAACCGGATTTGCCCCGTTCCGTGCATTCATTGCCGAGCGTGCTAAATTACACGCATTGGGCAAGCCCGTGGGTCACATGCTCGTCTTCTTCGGATGTCGGAGTGCAGAATCAGACTATATCTATCGCGACGAGCTCGAGAAATTCCAAACTCAACTGGGAGACCGGCTAGAGATCGTAACTGCCTTCTCAAGGGACGGCAACAAAAAGGTGTATGTTCAGGATCGAGTGGCGGAGAACAGCACACGAGTCTTGGAGATGTTGGATGCGGGAGCTAACATGTATATTTGCGGCAAGGCTAGCATGGCACGTGAGGTCGACCGAAAGCTTGAAGATGCAAAGGTAGCCAGCGGCTCCGGTGAATCGGAGGTAAAAGCGTGGACTGATGCATTAAAGAAGCGCGGCAAATGGAAAGCTGATGTCTGGGGTTAGAGGTGCCTTTGAATATTTAGAAATAGACACTTGTTAGACTAAAATATATGCCTCAGCTTGACATTCCGACAATGTCAACATATCATCTCAATTCTCACAAGTAAACATGATGTATCACAGACGATTCCGATATAGATGTTATAAAATAAGATCAATTGGACCATTGTTCCTGTAGATCGAGAACGACCTTATCGGTTCTCCAACCTATGTGGTGCTGTAGGCCTTGAAGGTATTTAATACAAGCCGCTTGTTCATCCTTGTCCACCACATAGGCACCGCATGCGCTCAGAATGTGACTTCCCTGAAACATTGCATTGCCACAATGAGAATTGCTGACACCATAGCCGATAACAATTCGTATATGCTTGCGAATGGCAGCGTCCGTCTGTCGCCTGGAGCGCACACCCGCTAGACCTACGAGCGACGCGTGTGGAGAGTAGATAGCGAGGATTATCTTGCAAAGGTGGTAATACTGTAAACCAATTGCAACTACGCCTTGGGGAGTAGGGAGCGCAGGCCAGCGTCCACTGAATTCTTTCCCGGCGTCGGGCTCCATGAACCTATGTATAAGTGGTTAATGATGTACTTGTGTCGGTTGTGTCGGTCAATATACGTACAAAGCTGAAAATGTCCAAGGTTTTGTTCTCTCCCACTCGTCAACATCGGCATTCAATTCCATCCACTTGTCCCTGGTGATCAATTGACCTTGACTCTCCTCGAATACATGTTGTAGGACAACGGCGAATTGGAAAATAATGCGATTTGTCCAAGACTCGTCATCAAAGTCGCGGAAGACGGCTGAGTGGCGATAATTATCCAGGGATAAGTTCAAAGGTTGCTGGCTCGTGAGCGACACGTAGATGTGTTGGCGAAGAGAAACCCAAGAGGCCGATTCGCGTAAGCCGCCGTCTGCAGCGAATGACGAAATACTGTTGAGAATCCGTGCAGTTCCAAAATGATGGCACAGCTCATCAGACTCGCCCATTTCTTCATGAAGCCGTAGCAGGATTACCTACATCAAATATCAATACTATCCGTAAGTTGGGAGTAAGAAGAGACTTACAGCCACGAGGAAGTTTTCATCCCAATGGGCAAGAGGATCTTCTAGAGCTACAATGAGCGCCTGGAGGCAATTGTCGATGTAAGGTTGAGATAAGTCGGTAGGGACCTTCTCTAGGAGCCAGAGATGGCGCGAAGCAAGACCAAGAATACCATTAAGAATGACCGGAAACTGAGCTGCACGTTTAGGTACCTCCTTACCAAAGTGATACTTTGCATCACAAACGTCTATCCAAGGGGTACAGTGCACGAGGAAATGATGGAAAAGACGAGCTTCGTGGGTGCTCTTTACGGGCCAGCGTAGATTAAGAGATGTATGTGGGGAAAATGCGGTACTGGAGAATGGCGAGATGGTAGTGTCGTGTGTGGGTGGTGACTGGATGATGGAACTCTGGCTATGCTCTGTTATGGAGTGTGGATTTGAGAAGGTTGGTAGTGGGCTGGTCTCATCGAGTTTGGTTGGGTTTAGTGAAGTCAGACCATGAAGAGTACTTTCTAAGACCTTGTTGATCGGGGTGGAAATGGAAGCAATGTCGGAAGGAGAATTGATCAAAGCAGGGGGGTCATGCGACATTCCAGAATTGTGGGAGTCTGTCCTGTGGAGGGCATGGAGATCGACTGAGGTTGATGATCGATGCGCGAATGTGTAAGTCGAAGCATCCGTGCTGTCAAGTCGAAGGTCCTCAACAGATGGATCCCAGTCTATACTTGATTGACCCACAGGCTCAGAGGCAGTTGGGTCTTCATCTGCTACTTTCGATACATTTGGCTCCAACTCTAGATCCTCGTCATCCCCTTCCGTATTTGGAGATATAAATCGTACTGAACGTTAGTCAGCGGATACAGGACTGAGTGCATTGGGTGCGTAGTGCCAGGGGTACTAGCAGATACAATCACAGTATTGAGGGATGGGAAAAGGAAAACCCACAGGCGCTGGGAATGTCGACCCAAGTCTGGCTCCTTTGGAACTCGAGAGATTGTTCGGCAGACCCGACCTCTTCGCCCGCGTTGAACTTGACCGAAGTCACGGGTCGGAAGCGAAAGGCATTGGCCCTGATGCAGGTCCGGCTTCGTTCCGAGCAATATTTACACTTTTCTGAATCTCGGAGCTTGACGCCTGTGTAACTGGTTCAGTACTGGATCACGACCCCATGGGGTAGCGGGGGGTTGTTGGTCTGACATTTGATATGACGTTCACGACAGGCCTTGCTATACGATGTTTCAGCATTGATGGAAGATATGAACATGAGCGATCGGAGGGAAGACTGACCAGCCGCTACGCTGTCGCATAGTTTCGAAGAGAAGCTCACCTGAGGTGGACTGATGAGCATGGAGCAGGAGAGGTGAAATGCGGAGAATCCATCCATTTTCATTATTATTATTATAAGGGCGATGAAAAGGATGTGTTTGGCTAGTAAGCTACCACGGCTACTACGCGACACTTCCCCCGCTTTCTGGGGTCGTGGAGGCTGATGGTCTGGGGACGGCACCCGATGAAAGGGAAATGGTTTGGTTGGCTGGCTCATGGCATTTTGTCGAATCCATCAAAGGACATTACTACTACTCGTAGGAGTCCTGTAGCGTAGTCCGTGCAATTACACTGTCACTGGAACCAAGACTGGCCACCTCATGGAGGGGGGAATTGGTTGACCAAGCACTCGCCCATTCCATTACCCACGGGGCCACGCTATCTGCTATTTTGTTCTAGCATGAACGTAACCTGAACTATTACAAGTATCACTCGTACATTGTTTCCTCACATCGATTCCTTGAATGGGTAGGTAGCCAATGGAGTAATAGTATCCGGATGGAGAACGTCTGGTGTCATTCCAGTCATGGCAGTCAACGCCGCATGTTGCTACTTCTTATTCTTAGTCCCACGCACTACTCAATAGTGCCCAAGCCTCATCTCCTTAGTCTACTGGAAATGGAAGTGGGTAGCGGACTATAACCGGTATAGATCATCGAAAAGGGCCGAAGCATCGTTTCCTTTCGCCGTTGTACTTTTTGGCGTTTATCTTCGCCACTGTCAATGTACATTGTTGCGATTGTTCTTCGCAGTCTCATTTTCATGCTGCGTCTGAGTGATATTGCTCTTTGTTCTTGCTTCCAAAGACAATCAAGTACTAGGAACTCATTACTTGTACGAAGAACGATGAATAGCATTGCACAGATCGGAGGTAATCACCATCTCTGACTTCTGAGTGGATTCGGTCAGTAGGCACAAGTCCAGTTCAACCCTCACACTACAAGAAAATACCGGTCGCACATACTACTACGTATTCCGTATACGAATCGTAAGCAAGATGCGCAGTTAACTGACTAGTCAACTATCTTTGAGGGAATAGTGGCCGACACCGCGATAATCGGCAACCAACAAAAAATGGAGAGCGTCCTCGGTTGAAGATTTCATCAAACAACTGCAAAAACCTCCTCCGAGCATGAATCAAACGCCTAGCGCAGTCATCTGACACTTTCTTACGTTCTTAAACCAAGGCACTGCCAATGGATATGTGCCTGAATACCCCACGATCGCCCCCCCATTGCCGGCCATGAGTATGGTCCAGGCGTTGGTTGCTCCCCACACGCTTACCCCGTGCAAAAACCTCCTCCGAGATGTACCAAAACCACCAACAGAATGCCATCTAGCACAATGTTTCTCTGTGCGAAAACCTCCTCCGAATAACAATTAAAACCTCCATAGTCTTTCACACAATTGAATAAATATCCAAAGTTGCAGCAGGCCCCAACATGTCTCAATCAATCCAGCCTTCTCTTCTCTTCTCACCCATCGCATTCTCCAGGCCTTCCTTCTCACCACGTCTTAAACCGATTTCTACCTTGCACAATGGCACCACGTAAACTCAGAATCGCAGCAGCTGGCCTTGGCCGTATGGGTCACCGCCATGCTCTCAACTTCCTCAACCGCACCCCCCGAGCCGAGCTTGTCGCTGCTTTCACGCCTGACCCGAAAGAATTGCAATGGGGCAAGCAACATCTCGAGCCCTTTGGTGTGACCCTCTACGACGACTATGATAAAATGCTTGAGCACACTGCGCTTGATGCCGTTGTTATCGGCACTGCAACCTCTGTGCATGCGGAAGAAGCCATCAAAGCTATGGAGAAGAACTTACATGTCTTGTGCGAGAAGCCTCTCTCCACCAGCATCGAGATTGTATGGCTCCCCCTGCAGCGATCCTGGTAAAAATCCCTTCTAACCTTTCATAAAGTGTCGCGAAGTTGTTGAGGCCGCGAAGAAACGACCACATCTGAAGGTCATGTGCGGCTTCTCGCGCCGATTTGACGACAGCTACCGTGATGCCTTCAACAAGGCCGAGCAAGGCCTCATCGGACGACCAACAATCTTGAGGTCCCAAACTTGCGATAAGCATGATCCCTCCGGTGAGCATGTATTCCACACTAAACTACAATTTTACACGACGATGCTGATTAACATCAGGCTTCTTTGTCGAGTATGCTGCCTGGTCTGGCGGTGTCTTTGTCGACATGGCTGTCCATGACATCGATTTGACCCTTTGGTTCTTCGGAGATGATATCGTGCCCAAGTCTATCTCTGCCCATGGTGTGGTAGCCGTCCAGCCGGGCCTCAAGCAACACAAGGACTATGACAACGCAGTAGGCATTGTTGAGTTCTGGAACGGAAAGATCGCCCACTACTACTGCTCTCGCATGATGGCACACGGCCAGGAGGATGTGACCGAGATCATCGGTACGGAGGGCAAGCTCAGCGTCAATCTCAACCCTCAGAACAACCTTGTCAATTACTACCATGCTGGCGGTATTACCAGGGAGATTCCTGCACATTATTACGGAAGGTTCGAGATGGCCTTCGTGCGTGAGGCAAATGAATTTGCCGCCGCGTGCCTTGACGATACACCTCTTCCTATGAAGCTCAGGAATGCAGTCAAGGCTGTCGAAATCGGTGCATGGCTTCAGGAGGCTCTGGTCTCTGGCAAGCAAATTCATTTCGATGAGACAGGAAGGCGGGTTGAGAAGGCAAGCCTATAAGGAGATTGCGCAGAGTAGAACAACAATTTAGATAGATGTACATAAAATTCATACATGATTTCCAGAACTCAGAAAAAGGTAGTCATTATTATATGCATGGAGGACTTGCTGACTTCCTTGGTTTCAAGATACTGTTGGGTCCATAACTTACCTGGCTATGTACCTTCTACAGATACTTCACCTGAAATGTCCCGAAGTTTGATTGTGCATCGAGCCAGAACCGTAATTGGAAAAAGAAACCACTTAGAATGACTCTAGTTTCTTAATTCTATGTCTAGATGCAAATGATCTGTAGGTGTTTTCCAGCAATCTATGTAGTCAAAGCTGGAATGGCTTTGGCGCATATTCAATGCTCCAGCGTTGATCGCTTGTGTATGAAGTATTGATCTGTTCAGCCGAAAAACACATGGAGAGTACGAACTAAAATCGAAGCATAACAGAAAAAATGATGAATACCCGGATTCGAATACCTAAAAGGCGAAGATATCAGCAAGTATTATTTGAATCTTGCTGGATCCATAATAGTCACGTGATCCATCCGTGTCCCCAATCCCCGCGCTTTCACGTCGGTAGGAGCATCTCCCGACACGATTTCTACACGAGTTTGCGCTTGCTGTCTCGACTCAACTCCTGTAAATCGACCGGTCCCAGGCCGGCTCTCACAGATTGCGACCGACACGCCCATCGATGAGTCGCATAAATCTCTATGTCCACTCAAGAAAAGCCAACACCATCAACTCCTTCGTCATCTATTGAACCAACTGGACAACCGCGTCCAGCAAGGTCCAAAAACGGCTGCAATGCTTGTCGGTAAATCAGTTCTATCCTCATGTGTTCTCAAAGTTCACCCCTACTCGAACACAGCTGATCATACCATAGGCGAAGAAAAGTCAGATGTAATGAGAGGCGTCCCCGTTGCGCCCATTGCGAAAGGCTGAATTTGGATTGCACGTGGAATCGGGTACCGGTTGCTCGAAGTCATTCCGAGGCAGCAAGTTCCCAGCCCCAATTCACCACAACTCAACAGCAGCACTCCAATGCCCATCCCGGGATGCAAGCTTGGGACGGTTTAGGTGCGAGTGGTAATGCCTTCTTTGACTTCTCTGGGCCCCTGGGTATGGGCACCTGGGATGAGGCAATGTTGTTAAGCCCCAACTCCTGGCCATCCGATCCTGCGATGGCCGTAGGCAATGCGGCACCATTGGAGATTGTTCCACATCCAATTCATCAGCAAAATCAGTCTAGCACCAACGACCAGTGGGCAGGGGAGCAACAGTTCTCGAGAATGCATTCCGGTAGTGTAAGCTCGATTCCTGACCGGGGTCTGCAGCACCCAGACCCAGCATCGACATCTCCATTCTCTACCGAAGGCGGACCAAATACTTCCAATGACGAGGAGCTACTCGTCAACACCTTCTTGGGCATGTTGATGCCACCCATTCTCACACCAGTGGAGATCGGTCCAAAGTGGGCATCAACCCGTGCATTCTTTGGATCAATGGCTACAGAGTCACCGCTTGTTCGTGGCGCCATCATGGCATTTGCTGCTATGCAGATGCGGCGGAGTGGAATGGTGACTGTGACAACTACACGTGACTGGAGATCTCTGTACGATAAGGCGGCTAGGCAACTTTCCAGCCTTTTGCATAAGAGGAATGAGGATGTGGAGGGAAAATCTAAAGATAATCTAAAGCATATCCTAGCCGCCCTCTTTCTCCTCACGTATACAGATGTAAGTTATTACCCTGGGATACTTTCAATTTCATTTTGCCATCTACCTGCTACCATGGAAGAAGATGTATTTCGTGCCAGGACTGACGTTTTGGGTAGCTTCTTACGGAGACTCTTCCGCGCGCACATGCAAACCTTCGGGAGGCATACAGTTTGATCCAGAATACCAACAAAGAATCATTCACTATTCCTGAGAGACGCCTCATCTCATGGCTTCGACTACTGGATGCCCGTGCAGTATCCACTGCGGGCGGTGAGGGACTCTTTCTGGCCGATACGGATGAGTCACTGTTTGATGCGTCTCCAGCCGCCAATCCGGCTTCAGAACCCGAAACACTCGACACTGAGATAGAGGAAATACTATTCGATGTGTTGTATCATCCAGGCATTGTGTTCTACCAAAAGGTTCAGTCATTCGTTGGCCGCATCACAAGAATTGACCCATGGCATCGAAGCCGTGGTACTGTACAGGATGAAACTGAGGTCATGGCTTTGGCTGCCCAGATATCCCAAGACTTGCACGCATTGTACGGCCAGAGGCCTGCCTTGATGGATCATGCAGTTGCCGGCAACCTTACAGAGAAGCATTTAGCAAAGAATCTTGCAGCCGCCCTGACCCGGAGCTTTCGAACTTATTTGGCCAACTATTACGCCTCCTTCCTGCACCTACATCGCGTAGCATATGTGCAGTACCCGAAGACTAAGGACGTCAACTCAGCGATCGAAAACATCAAGAAACTGTCGCATCTTATGGCTGGTACGGACGAGTCACTGCCTGTAAATGTGCTGTGGCCGCTACTGATGTGGGGCTGCGAAGAGGATAATCTGGATGAACGAAGGTGGATATTGGCCACCATTAGAGGACTTGAAGGTATTGCAACAAATGCAAAAGCAACCGCCGATCTCCTCGAGGAAGTCCAACGCCGTCAAGATGAAGGAAAGCGAAGAATGGACGTGCGATCGGTCAGTCAGGAGCATTTTGCAAAGACCCACCATTTTGCGATTGTATGAGTCTCATGCATGCGGTGCGAATCCATTCGAATGTATGCAGATTCTCGCGAACTTCTTTTAGCACCGAATTGTGACGGTCGCTCATTCTTGACAAGGATTCTATTTATTGTCCTCGCTCTAATGTTCAATGTGAATAACATCACTCCAAGTTCACGTCCCAGGCTTTCTAACAATACAATATTTTCCGCCTATAAATGTGGTGATGCGACGATTTAATTTGCCAACCCTACAAGGAAGACTCAATTTCATCCAAACCTGATACCTGTTTCAATATCCATTCACGCTTTTCTTGGCTTGTGAATCGAGGATACGGTTTCCGGCAATCAGAACTCGTCTCAGGATATCCTCTCTTCTTCGCGACGACCCACTTTGTTCCATTTATGCCACCCTTTCCAAAACCCCATTCGGTGACGGAGAGCTTTATCTGTAAGGCAGATGCCTCGGCAAGCTTGCCGCTTTCGTAAAGATTGTACAACTGGACGCATGTCTAGAGATGAATCTTAGCAAAGTCTTCAAAAGCCGTGAGAGCAGTATATGGATCGATCAGATGAACAGATTGAAACCCGAAATGTGACAAAAAAATACACCAAGTATGTGAGCAACAAAGATCAGATATGCATACCTTCGGATAGAGGTTGGCCACGCCTGTAATGCAGCCAGTGCCACCGACACTCATTGCAGGAATAAGCCAGTCACTCTGGCCCGCCAGAGCGCAGAATTTCGAGGTGTCGAATGAAGCCGACACTCTTGAGACTTTTGCGATACCACCGCATGTGAGCTTGACCCCGACAATATTGGAATGCTTTCCGAGGATATCTAGAGCCTCCGAATTTACGTCCAAGCCAGCAACGACTCCTGGGAAGTTGTAAATCAGGATTGGCACCGGACTCGAATCAGCTAATTCTTGGAAGAATTCAATAATGGCAGTCTGATCCATGGCGAAATGGAAGTAGGAAGGCACCAAAGCGAGGAATGCATCAGCACCGGCCTCTTTGGCCTCGACAGTCTGCCGAATAGCATCGCGAGTGCAACCCGCGACTCCACCAATTGTTATAGGAAGACTCGACTTTCCAAGTCGTTGAGCAGTTTTGCGGCAAGTTTGAACAAGTTGCGCCTTCTCGGATGAAGAAAGGGTTGCTGCTTCGCCGTTGGTTCCAGCAATGACAACACCATGGACGCCGTTGGAGATCACAAACTCGAAATGCTTCTCCTGTACCTCCCAGTCAATTTCTTGACCTTTGTCATTTCCGAAAAAGGTCAATGACGGAACGTGGATCCCCGGGGGGAAGGAGTATCTGGAGGCATTCGAGCCGTTGGCCAATACTTCGTTGGAAGGCATGTTGGATAATCCTCTGGCACAATTGAAAGATGTAGACTGAAACAGAGTGTAATGGTTACAAGGCCCGGTCAATAGCAAAATTAAGTACACTGGGAATATGGCATGGTGGGAACACGCTCTTTTTGACTATCGTGTCCTGCGTGCTTAAACCCATAGGCATTCCGACGCAGTTCCGAGAGGGCCGATCAGATGCCGCGTTTACAGTGCATAGTGCTGTCATAGTTAGACAATGCTCAGTATGTCGGGTGTTTGTAGACAGCAGAGGGACTAGTGATACTCGTCCATGAGAACGCTGGCTCGGCTGGAAGTGCCTGAGTCGCTACGTTGGGGGTTGCTGAAGTGTCGTCGGCAGCGCTAAGAGATGATCTATTCCCCTTCGTCCAGATTTTCTATCTCATGATGATTCAAGGACAGTTTAGCGTAGGCGAGCAGACAGCAACGGCGTAGCGACGGTGTAGCGACAGCCGACCATATTTCGGTTCTAACCCCAGCTAAGCTCCATTCCCATGCGATGACCATGCTGCTTCCCCGTTCATCCCCGCAGGTTTCTCCACAGTCATGTTCAAATGGTGTTTTCTTTTATTCACGCCGATCCGGGGTGCCTGAACTTCGCGCCACCAGCCAACTCCCCAGCCTTTGGAACTGCTAACGCCCCCATCGCGTGAGGACGTGAAGTCGTTTCTGGTCTCGCGAGGCGCTCTAGCATTGCCGGTTACGATTCGCCCTATCCCATTTTTCGGCCATCCGACGCCAGTGGTCGGCTCTGGCGTTTCTTCTCGCGATTCACATCGCATCATATGCTTCCTTGGTCTGAAGGGACTTGCGGAGAAGAAAGCAAGTTAAAAGGTCTCTGAGGCCCGACACAGATTACTTTCAAAGTCGCCACACATATTGAGACTCAGACGGATATCTACGAATACCCTCAATCTATCCCAACACTTTCATCATGACGGGTTTCGCTCGTGCAAAGGAGGATAGGCCCACGCCTCCAGAAGTTGTAAGTCTGCAGTTAATCGCTATATCGCCTCCAATCCAGACATATACTAATGAGCACATAGTATAACTGGAGAGTGTATATGTCCGCTCTAGTTATCTCTATGGGAGTACTGGCTTACGGCTACGACTCGGCTTTCATTGGCACAACGATTACCCAAAAGAGCTTTCAGCGCGATTTCGGACTCGTTAGTATGACCAAGCAGCAACGAAACGATGTCTCTAGTAATCTAACATCGATATGTACGTCCATTCCTGCAACCCACTATGTGTGGGCTTTGCATTCTAACAAAATGTAAACGACACAAGCGTGTGCTAACACCTAAGTAGATTCGGCTGGTGGCTTTTTCGGAGCTCTCTTTATGTACCCATCCCTCGAGCTGCTTGGTCGACGAATGACCGTCATTATCGCGGACGTAATCTTCCTTGTGGGTGCTGTTCTATGTACAGTTCCCACACATCAGCTCGGTTTGGTATATGCCGGAAGACTTCTCACTGGCCTGGGCGTTGGTGGCATCGCAGCGGTGTCGCCCATATACATTGCGGAAATATCACCCCCAGCGATTCGTGGTCGCCTCACTGGATTCTTTGAATCCTTCTATCAGACCGGCGCTGTCATAGGCTTCTGGATCAATTACGGAATCGTTCACAATATCGACCCAAATAAGTCCATCGCCTGGCGTATTCCCATGGCTGTGCAATTGATCCCTGCCGGCCTTCTGGCGATGATGATCCCCATCCTTAAGGAATCACCAACCTGGCTTCTCAAGCGTGGCCGCGACGATGAAGCTTATGCTGTTTACAGCTTCTTGCGAAACCTACCTGAGGACCACCCTTACATCGCCGAAGACGTCCACTTCGTCAAGAATGAAATTGCGAAGGAGCGTCTCAACCTCACCGGAAACCAGACTGCATCTTTCAAGGATATCGTGAGGGGGGCCTTGAAAGAAAGTTCGATGAAGGGCATGCGTAATCGATTCCTACTTGTCTTCCTCATGTTCATGTGGCAGGCCTGGTCGGGCGCGGCCGCCATCAACTACTACTCTCCTACCATCTTCCGATCCATTGGTCTTACAGATGTTACTCTTTGGACAGGTGAGTTTCTGTGGTTCACAAAAAAAAGCTAGAGCTAGTCACTAATTACTGATGACAGGAGTATACGGTATCATTAAAGCAGTCGGATCCATCATTTTCTTCACCTTCTTTATCGATGCGTTTGGACGAAAGTGGCCTTGGATCGTCTCTTCTCTTGCATGCGCCTTCTGCCAGTATTATCTTGCAGCTTACATTGCCATTGGAAAGCCCAACGTAGATGTCAAACAATCACCTTCTACCGTTGCAGGAGGAAAGGCAGCCACCGCCATGGTCATGATCTTTGGTGCCACTTGGTCATTCGGCGCCAATGGCCTGCCATGGATTATCTCCGCGGAAATATTCCCATCCTCCCTACGCTCGATTTCGGGTCCCTTTGCTGGAATGAGTGTCTGGCTATGGACATATGTCGTAACTCGTGCTCTGCCTAGCATGTACACTAGCATGGGCTATGGTGTCTACATCTTCTTTGCTTCATGTCTCGTCTGTGCGAGCGTGTATGCGTACTTCTTTATCCATGAGACGAAGGGCCTTCGTATGGATCAGATGGATCATCTTTTCGGTTTCGAACGCCAGACAGTTCCTGGGGCAGTACCCAATAAAGTGTCAGGAGACGATTCGAGTGACAAGGATCACGAAAAGGACGTGAAAGTCGATGTCAGTCGTAAGGAGGCTGTCTAGACTTAGTCGACTCCAAGACATGTCTGCACGGTGATATATAGTCCGAGATCGGAATCTTCTTCCATTAGCTACAAATGCATAATACAGATACTTTATCTATCATAAGCGTAGCGCGCTATTTTGAACTCTTCAGAACAATAAAGTCATCTCATTTCTGTAAATCCAATAGCTTGATAGTGGCTGCTTCAAGAAGTCAGATGGCTTCGCTATCTGGGCTTTGAACGTAGTGCCGCCTATCTCGATTATTCAGGCTCAGTAACATGATTCCCGAGATGAAGAATTCGCCAACCGTTCTAATCATCACTAGCCTATGCGTAAGTATAGATACATGAGCGAATGATATTCAGCAAGCTAAATAGTTCTGTGAAGAGTGCTGTTGCGAGGGCGAGGGAGAGTTTCACACTGTTCAAATTTTTTTTAATAATGTAAGCAACCATCTATACTTCGTAGACTATTGACTTCAATAGAGCGTTCATATTGCACTGCTACTGGGGCGATTTCCGTGCCATGCGTGTACGTTCAATGTCGGACTCATGGCGGACGATCCTCAAGTAATATTCATGAAGCCACCCTTCATCTGCGATATGCTCAATTAGCATCATTTCATCAAAAACATTGCTTGCAGTATTTGATTTCGAGCGTATGCGTACATTTTTCCATAGGTAATTATAGTATGAATCCTCATACACTGGCAACTTTGGCTACAATAATATTGACTATGGACCCCCTTATTTCAAAGTTCGGGAATTCGTACCATCAGCTGCTTCGATTAATGTCCCTCATTCGAAACAATCTTGAACATAGATAGAATCCACGCCGATCGTGCCGATTATGTGTGTTAGGTTCTGACTTCATGGGTGGTCGGTCTAAATCAATTAACTCTACTTCTCGAGCCAAGCGTGGCTTCGGTATAAGAGACCTGAAGAAGAGACCTATGTCCAGGACGAAGACAAGGTGAGGTACTAACACGAAGGCCACCCTGCTCCCATCGGCAGCCGGATTGCACGTTTTCATCCCAATAACTGACTGGTGCCCCGGTTCAAGCTCAAGCAATGATTCAAATGGTTTCAGGTTCATGGATGTACATTGAAAATACGCAGTGACCCATCATCGCTCGCAACGGCTAGTTGTTGCTGCCCTCCGTTGCGCAAAGGTCGCCAGGCGAGCTGATTTATGGTCCTCGCCGGGCTTGACTTGACCGAGATCGTGCTGACCTGTACCTCTTCTATCGAGCTCGGCGATGTCAAACCTATCCCGACCTCACCAGCCTCCGTCCCGTAGGCAAACAACAAGCGGCCATCCAACAGCTCATTGCAGCATGTCACTGCAGTCACCGGAGAAGATGCCGATATTGTGGCCTTGACAAGTGCCTCTTGGTCAGTGAACTGCCAAATCTTCACTGACTTATCGCGGCCAGCGGTGAGAAAGGTCCGTTCTAGAGGCGCCCAAGAACCGCCCAATATCATTCGAGAGTGTCCCTTGGGATTAGACAGTGCTAAACTGTAGACACCCTCCGAATCGCGTGCCCAGATGACCCACTGACGATCTCTGCCCACGCTGAGAAGGTACTTGTCATCATTCGAGAATTGCATTCCAGTGACAGTGAGTGAGTGCGCTTTGAGCGAAGGCTTGATCTCGAGCCACTCTGCGGAGTCATATAGCCTGATCACAGCATGATCCGTGGAGCTTGCTCGACATGCTGTAGCCACTAGCTTGCCATTGTTACTCGTTGCCACTGTCGAGATTTCATAACCATGCCCGTAAAGCTTTTCAGTTTCCGGCCAGAGCAAGTGTCGAGCAAGATGGTCTTCAAATGGCGGATGCTTAATATCAAGAGTCGATTTCCGCATTATCGATGCGGGATCGACTGCCTCTCTTTCGTCCCCATCGGTTGCTTCTGTTGGCGCATCGTCCTCAACAGCTTGTATCGCCTTGTTCGAGAGGCCAAGAACAGGTATATTGGCGGCATCAGGGAGTTCCAGGTTGGACGTTTCAATACCACACAAGGAGTTCAACATTGTAGCAACGCCTTTAGGTTCATCGAAGACTCGAAGAAGCTTCTCATCTGCTCCAGAAACGAATTGCGAGTCGGTAATAGAGTCCACGCAATTCAAATCGTATCCATGAATCTGTGGCCGTGAGAACTCATGCCAAGAGAGAACTTCGTCTCGCTTCCACTCCGCAAAGAGTCGCGTGGTCTGGTCAGAGCTCGTAGATAGTAGATATGACCCGTTTCTCGCCCAGCATATGCCCTTGACCTCTCTTACATGGCCTGTTATAGCCACTTGTTGAATCCACATTTGTTCGTTAGACGCAAAGGTCCATCTCCTCCAGCTACCGGTACGTCCCAATGAGACAACCGTGTTTCCTTCGGGTGACCATAACCCAATCCAGAACCCACCCGCACTTCCCGTCGCAGTGGTAGATCCTTTCTGAGCACTGATTTCGCCCAGCCTCGTGGAACAGATCCAAACACCAGACGTGGGATCGGACTCCCATATGGCTATCGAATTGTCTTCGGAAGTAGTGAGTAGTTGCAATGTTTGTCCCCTGTGGAGCCATGACGCAGTGTATATCCAGTCTTCATGACCAAGTAGCAAAGCTTCGAACGTGATGGAATATTTGGCTGTTTCTGTCTGCAGCCTATGCGCCTTGTTCGACAGTGACTTTCCCAATGCACCTAGTGCAGGATCGTTGAGTGCGGAACTGGCAGCGGGTAAATCTTCGCCTCTGTGAATACGCCAGAGACGTATATATTTGTCTTGACTAGCCGATGCAAGAATCAGGTCGCTTTCCGGTGAATTATTTTCATGTGTAAATTCTAGTGCACGTATCCATCCCTCGTGGCCTGTAAGTGTAGCAGCAAGTTCGAAGCTCCGGTTCCGAGACACGTAGATCTGAATTGAGGTCTTGGTGCCAGCAACAGCCAGGATATCAGATGACTCGTCTAGTTTCGCAAGAGCAAGTGCCAGAGGGAAATACTTCGGCGATAGATTGATTGTCTGAAGCAGCTCAAGATCAATGGTGGCGAAGTCATTTTGTTGGATGAGCTTCCATAGTTTGACGGTGCCGTCAGATGACCCTGTTGCGAAAAGATTGGAGTTTGCTAATGTCGCTATACGAGTAACGGCATTTCCATGTTCGGAGACAGTCTTCACCAATTCGAAATCGAACTTGTCTTCAGGGTTGCTTTTCCATATTCGAATGGTATGATCTGAAGAGCCGCTGATGATAATTGAGATGTCGTTAGGGCCTGTGGGATAGAATTTGACAGCGTTGACAGCCTTGGTATGACCGCTTAAGAGCGATCGAACGCCGTGGAGTTCATTGTCCTACACACTGTTAGATCTCTTTCGTCATTCTTGCACGTTTGTTCACTGTGCCTTACTGAGGGGTCCCACAGTGCGATACTGTTGTCAGCCCCATACGCGAGGAGCCCCGAGCCATTGGTATCCCAGTCAGCCGCAGCAGGGTTTCTATTTCCTCCGATGGAGATGAACTCGGATGTAAATCCCATTATCTCTTTTGTATATCATGGAAAAGACGTTCCGGTAGATGTCCGTCATGGCCAAAACTTCTACGTAGGCTCGGCTACTTTTCCTTGTTAGTACTAGCGCGAATCTCAGCAGTGTCATCAAAGTCTCGATGATTTTGGCATGTTTGAGAAGTGAACCAACGCAGCGTGAACCGTCCAACCAATTAAATGTCGGGAATCACTGATGAAAAGACCGTAAGTATTACGGTGGAGTTCAGGTAGTAGATCCATGATTCGACACGCGCTTTGAGCAGATCTGACACCAAAGCCAGTGGCGGCCTGGAGTTGCTCTTCGACAATGAACGCAAATTGTCGTTAGCATTACCGAGCAGGGACGAGAATGGCGCGACCTCAAACATTGCATATCTGGTCCGGTATCTTTGTGAGACTACGATGAAGGACCCCAGAAAAGATTTGTTCGTTCTGGACGGCACGGTGTAATTCAACACCTATAAGTCCATATGACTCTAGCTAACATCGTTCTCAGGCGACCTGGAATACTCGTTCTCATCAACGATGCGGACTGGGAACTCGAGGGAGAAGACCAGTATGAGTTGCAGGCAAACGACAATATTTTGTTTGTCTCGACGCTGCATGGGGGATAGGCTCTTGCTGCATAGAAAAGCTGAAATTGATGCCTCGAAAACCCAAGCAGGTCTACATAGCCGTTCCAGTTGGCTATTCTATACAGTGCCCTAATTTACATGAGATGAACACCCTCCAAAAAGCTGTGCTTACAGGTGCTTCAGGTGCTGTCTGCGAAGGATGTTGGAAAGCTGTAGGTAAACACTACTTTGGAGATTCGTCACATGGACTCCATCTAGACTTCAAGAGTATCGAGTAATTAGAAATTGGTGCCCTTCAATCACAAGTTAAACGTAACAAACAACACGTTTCACTGCAAAGATTATCAAAAGACCAGTGAGTGCTAAGTATAAATTTCCGCATTTACCATCATCAATAAGCAATGCCTTGTTCACGATTTTGATGAACTATTACTCCGTACTATAGACATAATCAAATCAATCTATTGGCCCGGCTTTTTGACATCTAGGTGCCAATTAAGACAGAACAAGGAGTGACCTTAGAAGGCGAATTCCTTCAGCCATTGCATGCCAAGAACCGCACGTGCCTACGCGTCAGCGTTCACCTTGCACGTCACCAACCATTGAGCTCGTCGCGTTGAGTGCACCATCAACTCACTAATTTCAACGCTATAGTCGAACCCATGGATATTTCAAACGACGATGATGAGGATCTCAGACGCGCGATTGCCTTGTCGCTACAGGATGTTCAAAGCAGTGAAACACCGCCACCAAAAGATATCATCGTTCTGGATGATGATGATGACGATGAAGACGAACAATTACGACTTGCCATGGCACTGTCGATGGGAAAGGGAGAGGCCGCTGAGTCTGCTCACTCCTCAAGTCTCGATGTCAACTCTCTCGCGTCCCAGTCCACGTACGCTGCACCATCACAGGACAAGGAGCCCTCTAAAGAAAACGTAGGAGCAAAGCCAACTGCTGACCCAAAACCCAAAGCCCCGTTCGGTATACTAGGACTGGACCGCAAGGCCATGGAACAAGAGAGGCTCGCAAGGTTAGGGAAACGCAAACGCAGCATCTCACCAGAGCGTTCCTCGAAAAAGGAAGCCGTTCTACATGGCGGACAGCAGCCTTCTAATGAGTCTCATCCGAAGATTGTAGGAACTGGGAGTGCTCTTCAGTACCCACGGGGTACCATAAAGCGTACTTGGGCGGTCAAACATCCACGGAAGAGCGATATCACAATCGAGGAAGTCTTCCAAGCATCTACTCTCAACATCGTTGTCATTAGTGCGTTTCAACCAGAAAACGAATGGGTCTTTAGTAAAATTCCGCCTGAAAGAATCAAGCAGATCTGGATTATGAGCGCAAAGGGCGAAGATCTCCGACAAAAGCTTTTGGCTGAAGTCGACGATGCCAAAATACCCAACTTCAAGCTGTCTTTTCCTTCATTGGAGGGGCAGGCTCAGAATATGCACAGTAAACTGATGTTGCTCTTCCACGACACCCACCTGAGAATCGTGCTATCAACGGCTAATATGATGAAGGTGGATTGGGGAGAGACAGGGAATTCATGGCAACCCGCCGTTCTAGAAAATTCTGTCTTCCTCATCGACCTGCCACGCAGAGCAGACGGAGGGGTTTGTTCGCGAGACGAATTGACTCCTTTCGGGGCAGATCTGATGGAATTTGCAAGCGCACAGGAGCTCGGCAGGGTTGCAACAGAAGGACTACGAAAGTTCGACTATGACGGGGCCAAAGACATTGCAATGGTCCACTCCATGTCAGTTGAACTATTTCTCTACGGTTTACCAAAAGCTAACCAGATCCCTAGCCCTGGACCTCTTACTGGGGAATACTCTGATCGCACTGGGCTCGCAGGACTATCGAGAGCCCTGAGGCAGCTGGGATTGGATGATGTAGAAGACATTGAGCTTGACTATGCGGCATCGTCTCTTGGCGCAATCAAGCCCGCATTCTTGCTCCGACTCTACCAAGCCGCCCGAGGCGTTGACACACGCGGCGATGGGGCTGGTAAAGAACCAACCGATTTTCTGGATCGGATACGTATATACTTTCCAAGCCAGAGCACTGTGAACAACAGTACTGGCGGACCTGACTGCGGCGGAGTAATAACCTTGAGCCGTCGGGACTACCTCAACGATGTGTTCCCCAAGAGGTGCATGCGAGAGTACAAGTCGACGAGACCGGGTGTCCTCTCTCACAACAAGATGCTGCTGGCTCGTGGGCGCAAGAAGAACGGAAAAGGGGTGGCCTGGGTGTACGTCGGCTCTGCGAACCTGTCTGAATCCGCGTGGGGATCGCGAAGGCTGCTGAAGACGGGAAAAGAAGGAAAGGTGAGCATTCGCAACTGGGAGGCAGGGGTCGTGGTTCCGGTACCTGCAGAGAGGCTAGAGAAGGTCAAGCTAGGGCCCGGGGAGGTCCCGCCGATGAGTGTGTTTGAGGGCACGGTAGAGATACCGTTTGAGTATCCGGGAGAAGAGTATGGAAACGGGAACAAACAGCCCTGGTTCTATCGGGACTAGGACATATGATGTATGTATATAATTAGGCACCGACATTCTACTGATGGCATTTAAAAATGTGTCGTGGATCTTGAATAAATGCAACCAAGGAGGTCGGCAAGGACCGCATGCATTAATGACTATGGAAACAGGATTTGCGAGGTTCAGACGATGATGATTTTGATGTGAGCTATATACACACGGAGCGGTTGTGGCACTGGTAGACGGTAGGGCAGCTGGCCTGGCAGTGCAGCCACAGCGTATCCGGTACCGGAAAATACGATGATCCTGGTGGAAGGATGGATGATGATGCATGTGAAAGCCTCGACTAACTATGAGTCTATGAGGTGCGTATTGGGGGGCATGGGATTGGGCAATTATTTAGGGCCCAGGGGGCTGGCCGGAACACGGAATGAAGGATGGAGAGGTTGATGTATTGGAACAAGGTTACAAGGTCAGTGTACGATGAGTACGTGTACGTACAGGTAGGCATCTGCTCGTGAGTCGTACATAGCTAGGTGGTAAAGGATGCGAGAGGTGGGGATACCCGAGAAGTGCCTGTAAGTCTCGAGAGATGGAGGCGGACAAGACGCGGCGGAGGGTGGGAAAGTTAAAACGGGTGCCAGAAGGTGTACGGCCACTACGAAGACTCCGTGATTCCACAAAGCCGCGAGCAAAAAGGGCAAAAAGGAGGGTGAATGGAGGGTCAAGGAGGGTCGTCGGTGACTCGGCCATTGCCGTTCGCCGTCCCCCCATAGTTAACTCCATCATCTCCATGACCTCCCTGCGAGTATAGCGAATGTTCCCAACTGAGGTCATTTCTCGAAACTGTGTATGAACGTAGAACTGTGTTTCTTCTGTTTTCATTTTGCACAGTATCTTCATTATAACTATTACTATATTTCTATAATCTTGTTGATTTAAGCATATCTACCGTCTAGGTCCATAGGGAGCCTAGGTAAATACTACGGACGAAGTAAGCATTGAATGTCTAGATACTCCATAGATGAAATAAACATCTCATGCCATGTCAATTATGATGGAATTTCCAAGTGCAAGTAGAATCGACCTGCTGACAAGAATAATGATCATCATAACCTACTTTTGGTCAATAATCCTGGCTACCTAGGTACCTGACCGTTCGGCTCTTCCTCTTCCTCTTTCCCATTCAGGCCGCGCCTCGTCCGGTGGCTGATGGATGCGCCGTCATCTCAGGCAAGAGAACGGAGCAAGCCAGGAGATAGAATGGGAGGTAAAGGAAGAGAAGAACTTCGAGTGAATGCATACGGAGTACAGTAGTAATTAAATTACATAGAATAATCATTCCCAAATTATCAATCCAAGGTAACTGTTTATTAGTTATCGCTCCGTAAGTAGCTGAGAAAAAAATTGGAAGAGAAAATAGCCCAACTACCTACAGTAGATACATACTACAGTCCCTTAACCCCCCCAAGGTTCCCCCCTAGTATTTACGGTAGTGGGAGAATATTCGTACATTTCACGCCCCATACCCACTTGAGTAGTTCACCCATCAACTTCGTCATACTTCCTCAACCTCACATCCAACTTCAACCCTCTCTTAATTACTACTACTTACTACTACCACCACACTATACACAAACATCATAGCGCAATCTCTCCGACTTCCTCCTCCAGCTCTTCTTCTCCACCGTCACAAAGTCAGCCAGACACAATCGCCATAGGCTCCAACTTTCTGAAATCCCACAGGCGCGGGCGCGCGCGCGAACCCTCCGGTATTCGTCCCTCATAACAGCCAGAGACTTCCGAGCTTCTGCGTCCACGGCCTTAACGACCCTCACGACATGGGCTGAATGTAGTTTCTGCCTCACCACCAGATATTTTCCTTCTCCTCTTGGTTACCTATCTGCCTGCCTACAACATCCATCACATCCGCCCTCCGCAGGCTGCCATGGCCGCAGAGCTACCCCGGTCCATCAATAAAACGAACCAGGCCAAATCCAAGTCTATGCCTGGCCTCACATCTGCCATTCGTTCATCAGAAGCCCTCAGCAAAGAGCGTCTCCCCATCACCGCACCCCACCATGGCTGGTTCACCTCCCCAGCGCGCTCTCACGCAAGTAGCGGGAATGGCAGAGAGCTACCGCTGCATCTGATCGCCTTGATCCTATCGCATGTACGTACAGGTCCGGTCGTGGGCCCAGAGCTTTCCATGTCTATCACATAAGGTCGCGTCGCATCGCATCGCACTGCGCCGTCTCCACGACCTGTTCTCTCTCAATGGTGCTGCTTAGTTGCTAACATCGCCTACAGCTCGACGATGCCGCAGATCTCGCTCGAGTCACCCGAACCTCCCGCGTCTTCTACTACATGACCCTGCCCCGACTTTACGAACATGTCACGCTCCGTTCTTATTCCGAGCTCCGTTACGTCAATGGCCGACCGGAGGGCTACGGAAATGGCAGTCCATTCGCCATGGGATTGAATACACTTGTCTCGAGAAACTTTACCGACTACGTACAGACGTTTCGCGTGGTTGGAGAATGGCGAGAGCACGACGTAGACGATTATTCTAAAGGTCGAGTGCCGGACAATAGTATGATGCTTCAGCTTGCCTTGAGGGCAGCGCTGGACAAGATGAAAAATCTGAGGTCGTTTGCGTAAGTGTCATGGTCACTGAGTACATGTCCCTCTGATGCGCTAACGAATGTGTTCCACAGCTGGGAGCTAAACACCAAACCATTACAGACCGTCTACCAAAGCATCATGTCGAAACCTTCGATTACATCTCTCACTCTCCGCTTCCCGACGAAACGAATACCACGCCCCACCACCCTCATCCCACCTCTACCCAATCTAATAACCCTTGTAGTTTACGATATCGATCCTCTGTGTTCTCCGGACGACATATCCTTGTTGCTCGTTCGCGCTACCAAATTGGAGAATTTGAAGATGCATTGGAGTCCTCGAATGCGCGAGAGCGGCGAGGAATCGGTCAATCTTATCAACTACTTTGGTCGCTGTATTGCTGCGAAGCAGAATCTTCCCGTGAAGCGAATGGCGCTTTACAACATGTATGCCCGCCATTCTGGTGGCGATTTCGACCACGCAACGGACCCGGCAGCATTAGAGGAGGTGACCATGATCAATTGCATGGGCTCCTCCGACCCCATGACCGTATTCTTAGACGATACATGGAGATTGAACGGACCGAACGAAGTTCCTCCAAACCTGAAGATGATGAAGGGGGATTTTGTGGATTCTCAGCATGTGGCCATGCTAGGAAAATTTCATGGATTGAGGGCCCTATATCTCATTAGTAAACGCAAAAGCTCAAAGCCCAGCAGCATCGCCCCTACACCTACTACACCATCTATGACTTCACCTGGTACCAGTGCAACCAGTACACCGATTACCGAACATCAATGCAAGTCGCTTGCTGGAGATTATCTTGCGGTCATACAATCGAATCACCGAAATATACGTCATCTCCTCCTGCCAGACAATTGGCAATTGAGTGAAGACACCCTTTTCAAGCTCTGCCAAAACTGCCCTGACCTCGAACAACTCGCCTTTTCTTGCGGCGTTCCGCCCCTCGAATCCTTGCGCCAGATAATCGGATTATGCAAGAACCTCACCGCTTTGCGACTCCTTGTGAGGCCTGGCTCTGAACTTGCGGAGAAGCTAGATTCAATGGATGCGGAAATGCATCAATTTGCATTCGCGACGGAGCTTTGGCATCCGGAGTATATGAGTCTCAAATATGTCGGGCTTGGAGATCGACTCTTCTATAGACTGGGACCGGTGGTATATCCACCGAAATCAATGAACGGGAACATTCCTCCTGGTCAAGAAAATTCGATGAATGCGAAAAGATACGGACCCATGCGTATGATGCATAGGATAGAATGGGAGGACATTAAGCACGTGGAAATATTCGGCATGGACACTACTGAATTCGACCCGAGTTTCCCCTGAGTGGACACCGCCTTATTCGCTATTCTTTCCCAGAAACACGATAAACCACGGCGCGTTGGCTTATTCTGCTCCGTTGGCTGTCTGGGAGTTTCAGCCAGGAGGACAGCCAGGTTTGCGTTTCGTAGCACGCGAGAGTGAGGCTCAACCAGTGCGCGATATACAGCACTAGGAACGCCAAATGCTCAGAAAATATCCACTTCGGTATCCGTGCAACCCAGACTCTAATTCATCGTTCTGGAGTAGAGGTATACCACGCCAATCATGGGCACAAAGTGCTAGTAGCATAACCGCCGTTGGGGAATGCTCTCCACAAACCTATATGCATACAGATGCATCATACAGCAAGCAGGGCGCTGGGCATGGGCTCATTCTCATTCAGCTCGCCCCAAAAGCACAATAATTGAAATTTAACGAGGAAATGAAGAACTGGGGTTGTTAATTCTGTAAGATAGGACCATACAGCGGGCTTGTAAGATCTAGAGGGGATTGTTCATGTTCAGCATCTCATTGGCGCTATATACAACCAAGTCTGAGTTACCAGTATGTTCGGAGAACGTTGCGACGGTAGGAAGATGTTAATATTATGGTTGATTGGCGGCACTGTCTTTATATACCTAGTCATTCACGCCAGTGTAAAGTGGCACTTGTACAAGGTGCGTGTTGCCAGTTTGCGCACAGGTCTCTTATCACAACACCTTTCATAAGAATGGATTCGATTGATCTCGTACATCAATCTCCATGTTGTTTCAATTTACTGTTCTTGTCTATTCATTCGGTTCCACGGGACGACACAGCAGTATCTGAGGTCTTGCTCGGTCGTATGTACGCCCGATGAGTCACGCAAACACATTTGATCCTCTTTGTTCTGGGGGAGCTGTTGCCTGATCTGATGACTCCGATATGGCTGTCAAGCACAAGAAAGTAATGTACAGACAAATAATGTCTCGACATTGTTCGCTTCTCAATTCTGCTTTCGGTGTTGTAGTGTAATAAAATTGCGACCATGGACGAGACAGACGAAGATGACCGCACGCAAGAGCTCCTTGCACTGCAAGCAATATTCCCTGACGAGCTCACCCACAACACTTCCCCAGCAGTTTCGGCCCAATTCAATCTTTCCATAGCCCTTACAACTCCTATACGTATCGAGTCGGACACACTGGACGAAGCCCAGGAAGACCCCTATCAGGATCTCTTATTCCACCTCCCTCCACTCCAAGTAGACATTCAACTCCCAGCAGGATACCCTGGCACCGATGCTCCCATCATACGCCTCAGCACATGGCCACTATGGATCCCCCAACCGACACTGACACAGCTCGAAGAGGCGATCGTACCGATGTGGGAAAGCTACGGACGCTCTGCCGTACTCTTCTCCTACATCAGTCATCTCCAAGAGCTGGCGCAGGATGCGTTCGGCTTGGGGGGATCACATTCTATTTTGAAAGTCTCCTCTTTCATTGCTCAATCACTGATCAGTTATAACAACGAGGCCGAGCGGAAAGAATTCGCAACGCACACGTATGAGTGCAGTATATGTCTTGATCCCAAGATGGGATCTGCGTGCTATCGAATCGAAAGCTGCGGGCATGTATTCTGCACGAAGTGCCTTATCGCTATGTTTACCCGGAGCATCGAGGAGGGCAATGTCCAGCAGGTGGAATGTCCATCGACAGGCTGCTGGGTGGAAGACGTGAAAGCGAAGCACGTCGGCGGCCGACGACGACGACGGAAAACAAGATTCCTCACGCCCAGCCAGCTGCTTCGCCTGGGGCTGAGGCCGGGACTCGTCCGCCGCTACGTGAAGCTCAAACTCAAGAAAGCGATGACTGTCGACGAGACAACCGTCTGGTGCCCGCGACCGTGGTGCAACGGCGCAGCGCGAAACGCAAAGTACCCTCTCTTCAAAGACCACGCAGACCTGAGCGATTTCGACGACGTCTTCAACGACGACGGGACGATAAATCCATTCAGCGCACAGCTATCTCTCGATCCCGTAGCTTCTTCGAAAGGGAACAACAGTAAGCTCCGGCTCGCCATCTGCCAGGACTGCGACTTCGCGTTCTGCAGACTCTGTTGCATGAGCTGGCACGGCGACCTCGCGAAATGCATGCCGCAGGAAGTGGTGAAGCTGCCCAGGACAGAGCAGGAGTCGTATCGATATATCCAGGCGAACACGACGCTGTGTCCGCAGTGCAAGCATGCATGTCAGAAGACGGCTGGGTGCGATCATATGACTTGTAGTGTTTGTGGAACAGGGTTTTGTTATATTTGTTCGTCGAGGATGAGCGGTGGGTTGGCGTCGCATCATTGTGCGCGTGTCAAGTCGGTGACGAAGTGGTGAGGCGTTTGACTACGGCGGTGAGTTTGGGTGACGTTGAGTGATGTTGGGTCGTGTAGCTGAGGCGCCCCAGGACAATTTATCACCCTAAAGATACTATTTCTGTATAATGTTACTGTAGTACGATAGGTGGATTATTCCATAAAATGAGTAGATCCTAATTCTGATTCGAAGTGACTACAGTATAGTTACTGTAGATATATCGACTTAGATTGTGTTACAATTCTTGCCGAATGTCAAGGGCACGACAAGGCGTATTTTCTCTTGTCTGGCTGTCTAGAAATACAAACACGTACTAAGTATGAAGTTCATTTTTGCTTGTAATTGTAGGCTACACAAACCTCTTCAAGATCTACAACTCTTGTCTTCAATACCTACTTGAGCGTACCTGGATGCCATTTTGCTTGGAAATAGAAAGGGAGGAATGAGGATCCGTACATAAAGGCTGGTAATGCATTTTCGGGTTGATATAATTATTAAGAGGAATGCGTGGAATGAGAGCATTTTAGGTTTTAGGTTTGACTAATCGTCAGAGGCCAGAAGAGATATCGAAGAGAGCAATAGATTTAACCTCTTACACGTGTTTACTAATATTCGGCATTATTTGAAAATGGGTTTACGGTGCAGATAAACGTACAAAACATTGGTTTATGAATATAATCATCAGTGAATTCAACACGAAGTTACTTGAGCCCGGATTGGTGCTTGTCACAACTTGGGCAGTGTTAGTAGCGGAGAAAAAGCAGGATGCATACCGTAGGATAGGGACAGCTGGAAACGGATAAGCACAAAAGGACCTTGCCAAATGGAAATGCAATCAAATATCACTCACGCATATTTGAAGCGTAAGCATGCGCATGTGGAGGAACCGGAACCTCCGTCCGGAAGCCCTGACGTCTAATTGCGGAAAATGATGACATTCACCCCATGGACCTCTTATCGATAACGTCCCCTCTCTTTCCCCACCCTCCCGCATCTTGCACAGGTATATAGATAGCTACGTCAGCTGCTTGAGTTGGCTTTCTCATTGTGAGACTACGTTTTTGTTGAATCCTGTTTCAGCTCATTCAGATCTAATTGTGAACAACGGTCATCCTCTAGAAACAAACAAATTACGACGCCGTTGGTGGTATACTTTCAATATGCCTGCAACAGCAACTGTGAATGGGCATGTCGTTGCTGAAACCGACACCTATGAGGTTGTAGATGGCAATATATACGTGAGTCAGACTTCTTCAATTTCACACGAAATTATGCCCTGATACCAAGCAGTTCCCGCCCTCCTCCATAAATAAGGCCTCTTTCACTTCCACACCTACTCAGACATATTGTCCCTACAAAGGTCAAGCTTCATACTACACAGTTACTACCGGCAAGACCGAGGTTCCAGACGCAGCATGGTATTACCCAGATCCAAAACCAGAATACCAGAAAATCAAGAACTTCGTGGCGTTTTACAAGGGCAAGGCAGATGTACAGTCGTCGTGAGAAGGGTTCAAGGGACAGCTGATAGCAGAATGCAACCGAGTTGTGATGTGGAGGGGGTATATTCGGCGTCTATGGTCGTATTCGACAGATGTGTCTTCTGAAAATTCATTGTGCTTTTTTCCTAACGCCTCCCATGCCAGTCCATCGTGCAACGCCATTACGCCTATATGAGAGATGGCGCATCCGCGCCTATGCATCTACAGCCATGACCATAGTATCGTCTCCATCTGCTCCGACCGGTGGAGGCTCCACCAAAACGCCTCGTCCCCGTCCCTCGAGCAATTCTCTTCGAATCTCAGGACTGATGCTGTTATGTCCTCTGGTCAATAGCAGATCCAACAAAGCTTCACGCTGATCTTCAGTAATATCGTTTCGATATCTTTGTGCAAAGGCCAACAGGCACTGATGCCATAGGACTGGCAGTTTTCCTGTTCCACCGAGGTCACCGGCCACGGACTGGTTATCGAGTGCCATGGCGTCCTCGTGGCTGGCACCTGCAGCCTTGAATCGTAGGAAGTGGAAAACACAAGCGTCAATGACCCTGAATGGAAGCGCATATTTTTTCTCCAGGAGTGTCTTGATAAAGATGTTGGCCGGACCTGCGGAATCCGGGTCGGAGCTCATCTGCTCAGCAGCAATCTCACAGCAGCGGTGGAGGGCGGCAGCTGAGTGCAGGACGGGAACACTGATTTTGGCCACAACACTGGCAACGATGTTGGCCTCGCGTTGGGTACATCCTTCAGTCAACATTGGGAAAACAATGGATTTGAAGAAACAGGCTGGTTTGTAAAGTGATTTCTATACAAGGTCAGTAAGCGTATAACGAGCAGTCGATCGGAGATTCTGACCTTGAGCGAATTGTAAAGATGAACATTGAGCTTGTGGGTCTCCGCTATGTCTGATTGTACTGCAGGTAGCAGAACCATGTTGAGGAACTGCTGAGCAGTTGCTGGCTTAGCAGAAATGAAAACGCGCGTAGCAGCATAGATTGCATTTGGTGTCCATGCCTCAGGCCTCGTGATTGCAAGTAGATCTGGCCAAGCTCCAATTGTGGGTAGAATCTTGAAAGGTTTCGGCAGTTTACCACTCTTGTATCGTGAAAGGATAAGGCCGATCTTTGAATAACTGGCTCGATGTTAGCTCGATCCTGAGAAATCAGATGCTTATTCCTTACACTTCGACAACCTTTGCGGGCAGCTCAATTGCGTCTTCCGGGTCACCGCCACCCATTATGTTGGGGCGTGCCTCGTCACCACCGGCCGCCTCATGCTCAGCGATCTTCGCTAGAATGAGAGCTGCCAAATCCGTGCCTCCTTCACCCGACGATTGTGCATTGTTATCCGTACCGGTGACTGGCCAAGAAATTGGGTCATCGTCAGTTGGCATAAACTTGTTGAATGTTGCCAGATCGTTGGGATCGATCTCGATTTCCTCCACTTCCTCTTCCTCCTCGTCTCCCCAGGCCTCATCGTCGTCGTCGATGGGGGCCCCAAATCCGGCATCGTCGTCCTCGCCAAGGCGTGTCTCAAAATTGAATGCGGAATTGTGAGCAGGAGGCCTCTGCGCTTGGTTCTCTCTTTCGCTTTCCTGCGTTAATTCTTCTCCGAGGCGGAGAATGGCTTGCGACGCTTTTGAATCCACGAAACCCTGACCCTCATTCTCCTCTCTTGTCCTCTTTTGCCTTTTTTGTTTGTATGTAGTGGGCGCGTATTCCTCTACTAGACTCTTGGGTGCCTCGCGCCCCCGTGGAGACTTGGAAGCCTTAGGCATATTGCTTCAGATATTTCGAGTGCAGGGAACGTTGCGAAGCGGAAAGCGGGTTTTGCTCGGAGTGGGAGGCGGCCGATTGTGACAGATGATTATGCGCTGGAAAATGGATTTGATCTGCTAGTTATCCAAGCTGTTGTAGAGTGAGCGTAGCAGCAAGTCGTTACGAGGTCTTCGTCGCTGGAAAAGTTACGAATATCTCAGAGAGCCTGGTGGGGTTTAGAAATTTATTTGCCGGAAGAGACTATAGCGGCAATTTTTCGCGAGAAGGCGTCGGCACAAACTACCCCGGAGACCCCCGACGCGCCGCAGGTTCAGAAGCTCCAGAGCTTCATCACACCAGCTCGTCACTCAAACATCACTCAATCCACGCGAATGCGAACGCGCATAGATTCACTCATACCAGACTCTCTATATCACTCTGAAGCGGCAGTTGGACTCTGAAGTCTTGACAATGGCCGATTCCCAAGTGCCGTCGCGATCTAATACTCCCACTATCGCACCTCCTACGCGCAGACCGTTAGAGGAAGATCATGCGCCGGCCGTGTCTTCACCCCTCAATCCGAACCCAGATCCATCGATACGTTCGCGCGCTAAGCCTCCGCCTCGTGAGCAGCGAGAGAAGCGCGAAACCTTGAAGAAGAGGGAGGCATCTTCGAACACTCGTGGAAGCACACCGAACCCCAAATCGGCCAAGAAGGAGCACAATTCCTCGGAATCGCCCATGCGATATGCTGTCCCAGAGCCCAAATTGCCAGACTATGAGCCTCCCAAGGATGGCATGTTTGCCCCACACGAGCCGACACCGCTTTTTACGCCAGACGGCCAAGCAGAATTAAAGAAACCTCTCGATCACGCGTGGAACAAGAAGGGATACAAATATACGCATTGCGTCGCGGACCCTCAATTTCGACATAAGCAGTTTTATCGGTGTAGCGAATCAAGGCCCTACGGTCCTCGCATGAGCCACGAGGATTGCGATAAATGGTTTCATTTCGATGATACCGCCACGATAGTCTGCAATGAGAAAGGATGGCGGATGGGAAGAGGGAATGTATGTGCAAGAGAAGGAAGGTTATATTACGAAGTGAGAGTCTTGAAGGGCATACCACCAGTGGGACCAAGGGATCCCGTGGATCCTCGTACAGGCCAGACACTCACTGGACCACACATTCGTATGGGCTGGGCACGACGAGAGGCGCCGCTCGATGCGCCCGTAGGCTTCGATGGATATAGTTATGCCATTACGGACTCACGTTTTGAAGCATCACACCGCTGCCGTGCTTCGAAGATCTTCAAGCCATTGTCGAAGGGTGCCAAAAGCAAACATATGAAGGCACGACCACCTCACGGCAAGCCCATGCCCGTTGAATACGTGACTGATCAGGAAGTTCGCGAAGGAGATGTGATTGGGCTGGAGATTCAGCTTCCGGCTCTCTCTTTGCACCGCAAAGTGGTAGAGGGCATCTACAATCCCGCTGTTGACTTGGGCGATGGTTTCGACGCGCCCAGTATGCCACAAGATCAGTGGAACCAAGAGAAACCTCACGACATCGTTCGTGACCGCATCCCAGTTCCATATAAAGGCAACTTTTACTTCGAGATTATGGATTTCACTGTCACCAAACCCGTAGAGGCATATCATGACCGAGGCCCTGTTCCCAAAGTCCACCCCTCACCGAATCACGAAGAAGTCAGCGTTCGATCCCTTCCCCATTCACACATCAAGGTTTACAAGAACGGCGTTGAGGTCGGCATAGCCTTCGAGAACATACTTGCCTTCCTCCCTCCCGCCAGTCAACCATCCATCGAAGCGATCAAGTCAGGAGCGAGAGTCGGCTATGACGATGGCATGGTGGGCTACTTCCCATGCATATCAGCATTCAACGGCGGAATGGCCGAGGTCAACTTCGGTCCTAATTTCTGGTGCCCACCTCCCGAGATACTCAAGCAGCAAGAGAAGGACACGGAGATGTTTGCGACCAACACCCCGGAACCCACGGTACCGGAAGGTCGCAAGCTGCGCGCTGTGGGGGAGAGATACAAGGAGCAGATTGCGGAGGACGTGGTGTGGGATATCATCGACGAGGTAGACTTCTTCTCGCAGGACGGTGGATGGGAATATCGTGGCGAGACTCTAGAGCACGAAGTAGGAAAGTCTACTCCCAAAGCTCGAGGCTTTGCCAATCCGGATGAGAATTTGGGAGTTGAAGTCGGGAGAAGATACTAGAGGCTTAGAGATAGTTACACGACATTGCGCCCTGCGCAACAACCCTTGCCCATTGTGGTGTGACGGTGGTGGCGGTCAGCAGGCGCTCAATTTCCTTCGTTAATCTGGGACATGATATTTGACAACTCAGATCTGAAGCCATCTCAGAAAATTCCAAACACCTACTACTACCCACCACGCGCGTTAGCGCATCCTACATACAAGCATGTGAGGTTGAATATTTGACATTCCACGCCCTATGAACTACAAACGCGACGATGCCCTACCCAGTTAGTTCCGCAGCGGGCGCGGAATTGAGACCGCACGATGGAGGGTGCTCGAGTTCTTTCACCAGACTTCAGTCTACAACTTCACTTCTTAAAGACCCAATTGCGCATTTTTTATCAACATAAGCATTTCATCATCTTCTCTGAAAAGATTTTAATTTCACTGCTGCCAATTGGCTATCACAATCGCAAGATTCCGTCACAGCCATTGCGATAATTGCCCCGCACAATGGACACCAAGCAATTCAAAGAAGCAGCTCAGTCTGCGCTTGAAGAAAGTACGACATTCGCACCCTTCAATTATACTCCCTTCCGTTCTCTCAGCTAACAGCAAACCCATCCAGTCACCCAATATTACGACACACTCGCGGAGCGACCGACCCTCCCCTCCATATCCCCCGGCTACCTGAAGCCGCTGCTCCCGACGTCCGCGCCGGAGAAGGGAGAAGCATGGGAGACGATACAGGCGGACATCGACCGGGTGATCATGCCGGGGCTGACGCACTGGCAGTCGCCCAAGTACATGGCGTTCTTCCCCTGCAACTCGTCGTACCCCGCGATGCTGGGCGAGATGTACAGCTCCGCGTTCAACGCCGCGGCGTTCAATTGGATCTGCTCGCCCGCGGTCACGGAGCTCGAGACCATCGTCATGGACTGGGTCGCGAAGTTGCTGAACTTGCCGGAGTGCTATCTGAGCGATGGGGAGGGCGGGGGCATCATCCAGGGAACGGCGAGCGAGGTCATCGTCACGGCTGTGGTGGCGGCGAGGGAACGCTTGATTAGGCGGAGACTCGCGGATATGCCTGAGGGCGAGGAGAAGATTGACAAGGCGGCGGAGTTGAGGGGGAAGCTCGTGGCGATGGGGAGCGAGCATGCACATTCGAGCACGCAGAAGGCGGCCATGATCGCGGGCACGAGGTTTAGGAAGGTGCCGGCACCGAAGGAGACTGGGTTCAGTGTTACAGGGCAGGCGCTGAGGCAGACCATCGAGGAGTGCAAGGCGAAGGGTCTGGAGCCGTTCTACTTCACCGCGACGCTCGGGAGCACAGCTACATGCGCTGTCGACGACCTCGCTGGCATCGCAGAGGTGGCGAGAGAGTACCCGGATGTTTGGATTCACGTTGACGCCGCCTATGCTGGGTCTGCGCTCGTGTGTCCAGAGTACCAGCATCTCTGCCCACCCATGGCAGACTTCGACTCGTTCAACTTCAACATGCACAAGTGGCTGCTCGTGAATTTCGACTGCAGCGCCTTCTACATCAAGAAGAGGAAGAATCTCATCGACACATACAGCCTCACGCCCAGCTACCTACGCAATGAGTACGCGGAGAAGGGCCTCGTGACTGACTACCACAACTGGCAGATCCCGCTCGGGCGCCGCTTCAGGAGTCTGAAGGTCTGGTTTGTGTTGAGATCCTACGGCGTCGAGGGATTGCGGGCATTCATTAGGAACCATATCAAACTCGGCGAATACTTCCACGGTCTTGTGAAGTCGCGCTCTGATCTTTTCACGGTCGTCACGGGGCCTCATTTTGCGCTCACAACGTTCTCTGTCAACCCGCGAAGGCTTGGAGGTGCAGCGGCAGCGAACAAGCCGGACCCATCTCACGAGGCATACTTGAATGACTTCACGCCAAGCGCGGACGCACAGTATCAGGAAGACGCCAATCAGATCACCAAGGAGGTGTATGAAAAGGTCAATGCCCAAGGAGAGTTCTTCTTGACCAGCACTGTGGTGTGTGGAATCTATGTCATCCGAGTGGTGAGTGCAAACATAAGGGCCGAAGACAAGTACTTGAAGCAAGTTTTCGATGTTCTTGTCCAAATGACCGACGAAGTCCTGGGTGCGAAGGCCTAGGGATGTTACTGAGCATGGATGAGGTTACAATGGTACGAAAGTTACCTTGCGGTAAAAGGAAAAGGTCCCCGCAAGTATAGAGTGTATGCATAATGCCACATGATGGTCAAACAAAGTAAATAGATTTGATAGAACACTTTTCCGATGTAATGTAGCAAAGCACCTATGCAAATTGCTTTGAAGCCCTACCTAACCTCTGTATTCGAAAGGGAAATCTATGACCCGCTTGCACGCAGAACTCCAAACCCATCCCTCATCGCCGAGAGTTGTGACAAATCCGAACCGGAAGAGAATTGCAGGAAAAAGAGACAAGAGTATTACAGTTGTACAGGAGCTAGTTGGGACGAGCATCTAGTTGTACAAGGACCAAGGAGAGTGGTATATGTACTTGGTGTGAGGTATCGAGGAAGAAAGGACCAGATCACTTGCTATTGAAGGCTGGACAAGAAGTGACAAGGATCGCAACGTGAGAATGAGCTCGCTTACACGCGAGACACATCACGACCGAAGACCTTGGATTTGACCCAATCCATGAGCACAAGGATCCTGTTGCGCGTGCTGAAGCACATGCTCAGGTAGGCGCTCCTCCAGAAGAAGTAGGTCAGGGTACCACCAGTGGCGAAGTTTCCAGACAACCAGGAGATATCAGCGACAGCCTTCTCGGATCCAATGTAGGCGAGCGAGCCCTGGTGAGAGTACTCAAAGGGACCCATCTGTTTGACCCTTCGGAGACGCTTCTGTAGCTCCTTGATCTCGGTGAAAACCTGGTCACGGGCATCTTTGTTAGGTGCCTTCTCCTGAGCAACGGAAAGCTCAGAGAGTTGCTGCTCGATCTCCTGGGTCTTTGCCATTTGGTTGAACATGCGGGCGAGGAAAGCGCCTTCCTGGGCGGCGACCTGGGCAGTGGGGGCGTAGTTGGCGACGGCACAGTCACCGACGGCCCAGACGTTCTCGGTACCCTTAACAACCAAGTACTCGTTAACGTTGAGACCGCGGCGGGCATCCTTCTGGGCGGGAATTTGGCTCATGAGATCCTTGACGACAGGTCGGAGGGCATTGCCGGTAGCCCAAACCAGGAGACCGTAGGGGATCTGTTCCAAGATCTTCTTGCCATCGGGACCAGTAGACTCGGCCTCAATGTACTTATCTGTGACCTTCTTGACCATTGTCTTGGTACGGATAGTAATGGTCTCCTCCTTGAAAGTCTGTTCGGTGTATTCGATAAGCTGCTTGGAGAACATGGGAAGGACGTTGGGAAGGGCCTCGACGAGGGTGACCTTGAAGTTCTCAGTAATGTCAGGGATCCACTTCTTAAGATCGGAGTGGAAAAAGTCCTGCAATTCACCAGCGAACTCAACACCAGTTGGGCCTCCTCCCACCACAACCATGTGGAGAAGACGCTTGATTTCGTCGTCGTTCTGGTCCTTGAAAGTAGCAGTCTCGCAGCAATCCATGATACGGTTACGGATACGCTGGGCATCGCCAACCTCCTTGAGGAAGAGACCATGCTCGCGGACACCAGGAATACCTACTGCGCGTTAGTACATGTTGAAAGCTGTGGTGTGGCAGGACCAATTGGCCTTGCTTACCGAATGTGGCGTTCTCAGCGCCGACTCCAACGACGAGCATGTCGAAGGGCACCTCGGTAGAGGAGATGTCACCCTTGATCTCTGAGTCATCGCTGATGTGAACAATCTTCTTCTCGTAGTCAATCTTGGTGGCCTCGGCTTCGTAGTACTTGACGGAGGCCTTCTTGTGTCGCAAGAAATTGCGGATGGGCTCCATGATGGAGCGGTGCTCCACGGTACCGGTGGTGCATGATGGGAGAAGGGGAGTGAAGAGGAAGTAGTTGCGGGGAGAGACGACGACGACGTTGTAGTTCTCGGTGTCGAGCTTCTTCAAGAGTGAGACGGAGCCCCAGCCAGTGCCTGAAACATGATCAATTAGCATTGGCGCAAGTACGTAAGGAGAGCAATTGGGACAGATGAGTACTCACCGAGAATGACGAGAGTCTTCTTGGTCGGGTCAGGTGGAGGCTGGTCCTCGGGGTTGCGCATCTCATATATGCCATAGCCAATGTAGGCAAGGCCACCGATGGCGGAGAGATAGGTGAGTCGCCATGTAAAACGGAGGAAGGAGAACTTCTTCTTCTTCTTGAGCGCCGGGGAGGGAGTCTCTGTGGATTGTCTTCGAATGGACTGGCGCAATGCGATCTGATGGAAAGCAGGACGAGGAGTCCAGCGAGCTTTGGTAGCAATGGGAGATGGACGGGAGGTCAGATAGGAGCGGCGTCCAGCCTGCTGGAGCTGCGCGATAAGACTCGCAGGAGCGAGAGGTCGCATGTTGGGTGCCATTGGGACAGACAACGACGGGCGACGGTGGCCACGAAAGGGGAGAGGTAAAGGGAGAGGATGTAGGAAGGAGGGAATAGGAGGGGAAAAGAAGGAGAAGAAGAGATGGAGATGGGGTAGATAGATAGATAGAGTGTTATTGGTGTTGTGGAGGGAGGAAGAACCTACGGGCTGGACGGGGGGCGGCGTCTCAAAGCTGATGAACTTTTTCTTCGCGATGACGACGGGGGGGACGGGGGGGTGTGGGAGGAAGGCACGCTGTAGGGGAAGGGAAGGAACGAAGGAAGATCGGAGTAGTAATCCCTGTCACCTTCCTCGTCGGTTCCTTCCCTTCCTCCCTTCGCATCCATTAATTATTATTCTTGTCTTGCTTCCGTCTTCCATCCTGTATCTTGCAAGTACACAATATATAGAAACATCATACATTAAGTACTTGCAGAGTACTCATAAACCAGAGTGCACAAGACCGTTCTTGCAACAACCCTGATTCCAATTGATTTATTTCTAAAAGAAGAATAAATATGACAACAACACTCGTTACCCTAATTCCCTCACCGTCTACATCGTACACACAAGATTCAAGATTCAAGATACCCGTTCATTCGTTATTCGCAACACACATCAGAATTCCACGCGGATTACGGGATTGCTTCTGTTGAGGACAACCCCCCGAAGCGATAAGCTCTCACTACATCTCCTAGCTTGTAGCAACCTTTGACTCTTCGTCTTCTTGTGTTTTTCTTTTTTCCTTTTGACAATTTAACGCATAATAATGGAATAATGGAACAGGCAAGCCGCGCCTACGCCTACGCCGAGAAAAAAAAACCCTCGTGGCGTATTACCCCAAAAAAAAGAGTCGAGAAAGACAAGAACGAAAAGTCTTTGACCAACGGGAACCCAATCCCGACCAGGTTCAGTATCTAGTGGACGGTAGTGCTGCTGCTTGCCCTGACATCTACCATTCATCCGTTCTATCAATCATGTATCCATGGGTACGGTCCTTTACTTTTTCTCTACGCGTCTCCTCCTCGTCCTTCCTTACCGCTAGTTGTCTATGACCGCTAGTTGTCTCTAACTACTCGACGGGAACACATAAACCACTGTGGACAAGAAACAAGAATCGCACACAGGGGCATCTCCATATTGGGAAATCCCGCGCGCAAAGTCTAGCATTGATTATGTATTTGCCTACATACTGTTATCTTACGAGGTTGGCAACTTGAAATAGACTGCAGAAGTCGATCTACTAATTCGTTCTTGACTGGGAAACCCAACCCATAGCAGCTCCACCACCTCCACGCTTCCAACTCTAATTCCTTCCCAGCACCGGCTCTAGAGTTGGCTAAATTTCCAATTGATAGATACCCTCGTCACGTAGGTTCGAACTAGTTGATTCCTCAACTAATTGATATAACCCACCCGTTCTCTCAAGCGAAAATGAAGCGCACGCACATACTGTCAAATCCGCACATACTTCCTATAGAATGCGCACGTGATGGTAGCTCTTTCACAAACGCCAAAGGGAATTCGGAACCCATTGATTGACTACAATTGATTTTTTTTTCGCCATCGGAGTTACCAGGCACCTAAATCACTTGTAGTCAACAAGGAATTGGGAGGTCCAACGCACATGACTCGGAGCCGCGCCGGGCACGAGGAACGGCCACTCGCCGACTCGCCGGTGAATGGGCGGCTTTTGCTAGCCATCCACCCATCCTATCGTCTCTCGGGCATCAGGGACTCCTCTCCCGCACACCAGGGACAACGGAAGGAGAAAAGGATGCCATGGGATGGACCAAAGGCTCCAAATACAGATACTTTGCCTTTTTCGGCTCTATCAGAAGCCCCCTTTGCGCCTCCAGCTGAGGCTTGTCGCTCGCCGCTCGCCTATGAATCGATGGCGGTATAGGATCCGTATACATACCACACATTCCTATCAAAAGTAATAGAGCCTCTCGCAAGCTACAGCAGCAATAATCCGAAGCAATTCGCCATATTCGACTACGTTAGCGTAAGCGGTGGATCGGTGGAGCCTGTGGATCTCACGGATGGGTCATCAAAGCGATTAGTTACCCGTACTTTTCTCACAGACCCAACAGGTACTCGTAATTCTCACAGCTCCGATGATTGCTGCTCGAGACGATACCACATTATTACTCATAATCATTTCCCACCATCTGGTAATTAGGTAGACATCCGGAGACTCGGAATTGGGACACCAAAGCGTGTACACCGGACCAGGTCCGCCGAACATTCTACCACTCTACGAGAATCCCGTCAAGAGAATGCCATCATCACCATAGAACCGTCTTCAACATTCAAAAAGCCCCGTCCGGCCGGTGGACAAGTATCTCAATAATTCTCCAACTGTCCGACGGTGCGGGCGGTGAAGGATCCAGAAGCGAGCGAAAGGCACGGCGGGCTCTAGCTTAGCACAAGTAGTTACAACTTACAGGGCGCGCGGATGAGAAAGCGCCAAACATCCCCAAATTTGGAGTCATTATGCCTTCGGCCTGGTCTTCGAGATGAGCCTTGCCCGCATCGAGCATCGAACCCCAATTGTGACATTTGGCAATTAGTGGATGCAATTCCCTTGCCCTGCGCTTGCGGCTCTCGCTTGTCGTTCAAACTGCACATCGGGATTCCTCAATGGCTATTGGATGCTGTCGTGAAGGAAGCAATAAACCCTCGATCCCACGTTCCCCCCAATTGATGCCAAAACTGTTCAAAGATCAACTTCTAATCCTGCTGATGGTGCTCCGTATTTTCTCCCTCTTCTAATCCTCCTTAGCTTTTTGCTCATTCTGCTCGCCAAGCATAAATAGCCACCGCGAAAAGTGCACTTTACAAATCCACAGTGTGATGGAATATTATACATTTATAAGTGTGAGAACGGACCAATTGTCACATGTCACAGGGATTGTTCGTTGCGAACTAACATTTCCTCCGCGATCGGAGCTCCTCCACAACAACATCCAACGACACTCTATCAAACTACTCGTATTGTCCAAGACGCTTGAACTCTCACATTATAATTGCCTTCGAATGGTTTGCTGCTCCATAAATTATTTCACCCATGATTGCCAACATGGAAATTGGCTCTCGTCGAAATAACTACCTGCTTTAACCTCCTGGTACCCGTAAACAGTTGATCTTAATCTTTCGATACATTCGTGCCGCTTCACCGATGAGTAGTTAGTCCCAAGATCGATTCTAGCATAATACCAAACATATCACACTCAATCGCTCTGTGTCATCTACCACTACATTGTCAAGATGTAGTACATCTTGGAAGCTGCAACATAAACACCAAACTATACTTGAATCTTGTTCATTTTCCTCAATTCGACCATACTATGCTTTATAACCCTTCTCCCTTCTAGCGACGTCATTGTCACCGAATTGGCAGATCCTCCCGTTTGAACGCGTGCAATACGACTGACTACAAGCAATAATGTTTTCATGCCAGATTCCAGATATCTGATGTCGGACTGCGATTGGAGCATCCACGAAACTTCCATCTCGCCCTACCTGGTCACTCCACAAGTTCAAGGTAACGTAGTCCCAGCGGCGTGGAAACTCGTGAATCTTGAGAGCTTCGCGCATAAGAGCGAATTGGAATGATAGGATGAGACCACTTTCTGGCATCTCCACTCAGTTGCTATTAGGGAAGTGGCAAGGACAATAAGGAGCAATAAGTTGGACCAGTGGGACAGGAAATCTGGATGAATGCTTCGTATTGATCTAACAAGATGCTGTATGATCGTAACTACAGTCGCACCACCGCATGCAACATGCATAGCAAGGAAAGACAAACAACAAGAAAGAACCGAAGACATGATTGAAATATAGACAATGGATTCGAGTCGTCAGTCATAGGAGTACAATGAAATATATGCACACCGAAAATCTATGCAATGCAATCGCTGATACAAATCGAACATAAGAATGACCTCAAACGCCACAGGCTTCCCTTGTCTAGGAATAAGACGAAATATATATACCAGGGACAGCCTTTATGCAAAACCGCCATAACTCCTTGGGCTGGCTCTCTCCGTGCCCAGCAATGCTCTCGCCTCATCCAGCGCATCCCTCTCCCTTCCGAACCCGATGCTCGAACTAGGACTGCCGGTATCTCTGTTCGAGTCCGCCGGCGTCGTAGCGCGACTGGTACTCGGGGTGCCCGCGACGCTGACACTGGGCGCCCATCCCCTCATCCAGCCACTCACTCGGCGCCACCGCAGCCGCCTCCTGTGCTTGAATCCGTCGTCGTTGACCACGACGATGACGTCTTCGTCTCTGGCCTTCGGGCGTCCGCGCTCCTCCTCGACTCCGTCGCCGAAATACCAGAATTGCATGCCCACGGCTGCGTCCATTATGAGAACGCCTGCAGCGCCGAGGAAGAATGGAGTGGCTCGCAGCACCCACTCAGACTGTACGCTTCCCTCCGGAGCGACCCAACCTAAGCCCTCGCCGGGAGCGAACGAATACCACGCGCAAGGGTTGGTAAGCAACGAGGTGGAGTAGAAGAGGTTGCCGAAGAAAGCTGCGGCGAAGAGCGTGGGGCTCAGTCCGGCGGTGGATTTACGCACGTGGTTCTTGTATAGTTGGGGTAGGCGCGAACCTAGGTAGAGAAACGTGCTCATCCAGGATAACACCTTGCCAGCGATTTGTGCAGCGGATGCCGATGAAGTCACTGTGACGGAGCGACCCGCGATGGTCAAGGCCCCGTTCGTCGTGGGTGCGAGGGAAACGATGGGTGTCGCGGCAGCGGTATGCGAAAGGATAGCGAGAACCATAGACAAATACAATACAGTCCTAGGAGACGCAGCGGGTGAGGTTCCGAGCCGAGTGACAGTCCGTTTCGGTGTGGAGCTGAGTTGTGAACCATTCTGGAAGCTTGAGGAATCCCGGAATGAACTGGGAGATCGGGCAAAGTTGGGGATTCGGAAAGCATCCATAGGGTTGGCCCTGTGCGGAATGGAACGGCTCATACTACTGGAAGGCCTTTCCGGTATATCTTTCTTGTCTGCTGGAGTTGCGGGTATAGGAGGGGTATGTTCGACGGCTATGGTTCCGCTGCTCACTTCATCCCATGCCTCTTCCATACCGGCACCTCGACTGCCGGGGCTGCTCTTGGGAGAGGTATCGTTACGACCCCAAATCGGTCGCAACGGCCTTCCATGCTTCAACAGCTCATACCAGATCCACTGTGCAACCAGAGCACAATCCACAATCACATAGTATCCCGCTATTATAACCTGCCATAGAGCCTGCTGGGTCAACAGAGAGCCCAGCAGGTTCGATAAGTCACCTAGCAACCATTCCGTCAGGAAAAAGAAGCTCAACCCCGAGGTCGACTTGAATTTGTGGTTCTTGTAGATCTGTGGTAGCTGGGCGAATAGCCAGGCAACGATGCTACAACTTCCCAGTACCGTAGATAGGAAGGCGAGATTGGTGGGTATGCAGGTATGGAAGGTGGCCGAAACTTGGTACAGGAAATCGTTCTGTGGTTCGCAGTATTCGGGGAGAGAGGGTTTAATTACGTGTAGCGGGGCGAGGTAGGGTGGCATGTTGCCATAAACGCAGGAATGGCGTGGTTCGTGGGCAGAGAGGAAGGCGTGCGCGCGACGGTCGAGTATAAGAGTCGTGCGACCGCTCTTCGAAGCTGGGTCGGATGGATCAGCACAGCACGTCTGACCAAGCACCGATCCTTGCTCTCCTTCCGCTATCACGCTCGTGCGTATGTGTGTATATACAGTGTGCACTGTACGCTTTGTATACCAACTCTTCGCGTCTGCAGTCTCCTCGGTGCTAGTGGAGGCTCAGTGATCAGGTGGTGCGTCCAGCTGGGCTGTCGGGTCGTCGCCTTACACCAGCCACGAGGGCGCAGCTGATTGAAGATGCTGGGAGGTAGCGAACTCGAGGCGCGATCTCCACAGGTGTAGAAATGTATGGACCTATCTGCTCCGGGAGCAGGAAGGCATGGATTGAATGCGCACAAGAGTTGAAGAGTAGGAGGTCTTCAGAGGTGTATCGGTTCGTTGACTCGACACCCCGCAGTCGGAGGTAGACCAGGGTCGCTGGTTGCACGCGAGATAGATGCGATAGGAAGGAGGTGAAGGGTCAACTACCAAGTAGGATGGATGTGAAGAGGCAATCGCAAGGTTTAATGATTCTCTGGAGGAATCTCGAGAGCCTACAGGGAGGTGTTGTGGTGTGAAAGAAGAAGAGAGAGGAAGAGATAGAGATATTGGTGGTTTGGGGCAGAGTCATCACCAAATGTATCACAGGAGGGACGGGGGTGTGAACGGAGACTACAACGGGGAAGGCGAACGGGCTATTCCCCACCAGGCATGAATTGAAGTCTTGTGTGGTGCATAGTTGCAAGTGATGGGATCTAAGTATGTAACAAGAACTGCCCGGATGACTAGGGAAAAGTGGGATTTCTTGTTAGATCGACGGCAATAACTGGGGGAGAGGATCACAGATGTTGTTGTTACATGTTACATGGAGATAAGGGCAAACCATCCATGGGGGGGATCCGGAATAAGCATAGATAGATAATTAATAGATGAATGCCTATTAGGTAGAGAGATAGATGGGGAATGATGCATGGGAGATAGCAGATAGCCGAGAGACAAGCCCAGATTCATCATCTCTCCACATCAGATGTTTGCAAGTACAACTATGTATGTAGATACTTGTAATTCGCAACTTAATTACCTATACTTTACCTCTTTTCCTAGCCATACTTAGTTCTATGGATGACTTCTACAAGTATCTCCGTTTTCGGAAGGCGGTCACGTTCTCTAATCTTCGTTCCCTTCAACAATTAATGGACAGCTTCATCCACTCTCTTATTCCTCACCCGGATTGATCCTCGCATAACCCTCTCTAGATTTGTTCTGTGACTTCTTGTATCGTGGACTACACACGACCCATCAGTATCACAAAAACAATGTTCAATCCCCCCACGGTAGCACAGAAAGAATGCTTGTGGTGGAAAAGCCAAAGCCAAAGGTGACGTACTAGAGCCAATTCCGCAAACCGACAATACCCGCCGTCAACGCCGCATACCCTCCGAGCAATCGACCCCAACTCCCTTCCTGGCCTACGCTCAATGCTACCAGATCATACACCAAACATCCACCGAAGATCCAATCGCTCACTCCAGCCGCTGCTGCAAATCCCAGCCCAGTTGCAATCTGTACAAGACTACTCGGAGGCACGTTGCGATAGTATGCCGCCGATGTGTTGTGAAGCAGGTCTAGTACTCCAATACCCGCGAATGTCTTTGATACGATATGCGTGAGCACATTGGGCGTTGAGGATGTATCCAGGGGCGGTAGTTGTGTTGAGATGTATGCAAGCTGCGCAACCGTGTTGATAATGACGAAGACATTGCTCGTTTTCAGGTCGTTCGAATTCCAGAAGAACATCCAGGCTAATCCTTGATGTCAATACAAGTACACGAACCGGACATTGTGGACGCAGAAGGTAACATCACAGGCATAGCAAACTTACTTCCAATGCAAACATTCCCCAACGAATACACCCAGGCAAACCTCCCCATCGTCTCGTTCTCCTGTGGCGTTCCATCGCTCTTCCACAGCTTCCACAGCCAGACTAATTGGAAGATCTGCTGGGGGAAGAAGAATCCCGCGATGAAGTATGGATACGGCGAGAAGGCTGCGAGGTTCCGGTTGTGCACATCCAGCATGTTCGGCTTCGAGAACATGCCATATTGCTGTGCAGAAAAGTCATATAGGAAGGATAAGGGTGCCACTACCCTTGCTGCGGATTGTGAATTGCCCATGATTGTACAAATTGGTCCTACACTTGAGCTCTTCTTCGGTAGGTGGAAAGTAATTGATTGTGCAAACAGGATGAGGTTGAAATGAGACTTGAAGTGTTTCGTTGACTACATTATTATGCTGACATCGAAATACCTAATATATCTATAGTTTCCCTTTCACGATTTCCTCGCGCGTCATGATCGTTTGTTTCGCGTCGTCGTCGAGAGTCATGGACGTCATCGTAAAAGCAACATCACGTGTCGCTCACAGTATCCCCCATGAACGGAGATAGAGTACGTATGCATCTTTCCGACATGAAATTGCAATGGCTCGTTCGTCTTCGCATAAGTTCCGTGGTTCGGGTAGACCTTTACACCGACTTCACATTTTTGCTTGTTTGATAATCTTACGTCTTTCTTTTATCAAAGCAGCCCAGTTTGTAGTAGGGAGAACGGTAGGGTCGAACACCGAACATGATTTGCAGTGTGTGAGGGAATGGTGGTACTCATGAATTACAAAATCTAAATGCTATGCTAAAGACTAAATATGCTTCTGGGTATCAGTCGAAACATGCACAATGCCCATCCTATCGCCGAGCGCTATGCAACCGCAATCCCACCACCACGAAAGTAAAAGATTCGTTACGCTCTCTAAATGCTCCCCATCTGCCGCACATGGCACTCCGTCTCATAATCAAACTTCTTATCTCCCACCTCGGCCCTAATCCTCACCTTCACCCTATACGACCGACTGACGGCAAAGCTCTGGAAACTCGGGGGCGTGAACCCGGGGATCCTCGCCGAGAACCAATGCTCGCACCTGTCCCCCTGCCTCGTCTGATTCGTCTTCTTCTCCTCGTTCAGGACCTCGATCTCGGGTAGCTGGACGACTTGCTCGGATGGAATGGCGTTCAGCTTCGTCTTCTTCTCGCGGTAGATCGTGTACTCCTGGTTGCGTCGCGCGCTGCTGACTTTGGCCCTCTTGAACTTCGCGGGCCACGGGTCGCCGGCCATGTTGTCCATGCAGTCCCAGTCGCGCGCCGCGCGGAAGAACGTGAAGTCCAGCAATTCGAGCTTCTCGACTTTGAACCGCACGGCCGGGATCTGGACGACCTTGTCGGACCGCTCGATCGCGGTGAGCGAGGCGCGGAACCGGAATTCGGAGCCAGTGGTCAGGAGATCGGGGATCTCGATGCCCAGGTCGAAGTCGAGTTTGGGGGTCTCGGACGAGAAGCGGTCGTGCATGCGCTGCCGGAAGCCTATCGATGCTGGGTCTTGGCCGCTCAGGACGGAGGACTGGAGTGTGAAGCGCTTGGTGAATGGGACGACGCAGAGGGGTGCGTTCGGGGCGAGGAGATGGATGTGCGGATTGTGAGGCTGAAAGGTGATCTCCTGGGTCGCGCTGTTTCCAAAGCCAGTGCCGTTGCAGATGAGGCGCGATGTCACGCCGTAGGAGATTGAGGCATTGTCGGGAGAATCGGGTGATGTCCCGAAGAAGAACGTGGGTGGGAGCTGGTGCGGAAGTGAAACCCAGCGTTCGTCGTTGGGGTTCTTGTAGCAATCAGAGCGGTTGAAGCCGGTCCCTTCGGGCACTCGGAAGTTGAAAGGGTATGAATACGTCTGGCCTGGTACAAGTTGCTGCGGTTTCTCCAGGAGATTGAGGGTGACGGTGAATAGGGGCGCATGATCTCGGTAATGTGTATATGATGTGGATGTAGTACCAGAGCTATTGTTATTGCTACTGCTTGTCCGTATCCAAGTCTTCGATTCTCCCCAAAATGATACTTCGACGGCTGACGGGTTGACAGGAATCGGTGTGTCGATAGTGACAGTTCCTGATACGTTGTCGTTTGGCTTGAAGACTACTTCAGGTGGACTTGCGAGTTGTAGACCTATCGTTGGCACTGGCCCTTCCGGCTCCCGTTTAGATCTGAAGAATCCCATAACCAGTTCCTGCGCAAATTTGATGTTTGAAATAAGTAATTCTCTTTTAGACTGGTGCTGGGTTCCGACTCTTGATGATAGTTTTCCTGGTGGCTGATCTCGATGCTTAAAGCTGTGGTCTATCTCAGTTGAGTTTGTATGTACAGTGTAATGCGATGTGAAAATAACCACAAATGCCAGATATGTCTACTTAATGTATCACTCAAGAAAAGAAAACCCGCGCGGGGCACGTAATCTCAAAGGCAGAGCCTCGCGGCTTGGTACACAAATGTACCTTTTTTTGAAGATGCGGAAGTGGCGCAGACCTTGGGTGTGGCTTAGACAACCGTTCGAACTAGCCAGGTACAGGCATTGATACCGCAACTTTCACAAGCTGACAGAGTGACAGTGTAATGATGGCCATATGGTCCTTGATGATTGCGCCGAGGCTCGACAATACGTCTCGAGTTCCTAAGTTTGATGACGAATTCGGATCGGGTTGTCGAGATCAACGTATCTTGATCCGACCGTATCGTGACCGGCTTCATTCAAATACTACTAACGAGAAGCGCTCAAGTGTTGCATCGTCCTTTTCACATGCGATTGAGAGGCACAAAATCAATAAATGTAAATCAGCATTCAATAGAATTTAACATAGATGAATTTCCAATGAAGCTTTCCCAAAAGTGGACCTACTTGAAACTCCCATTCGCGTGCATACTTCTGTAGATAGAGCTCGGGGAAAATGTACAGTAGAACTTCGAAGGACGCCAGAAAAACGTATCATTTCAGAGTAGAAGCTTAAGTTGTATATACTATATTAGCAACTGAACTCAAGATACTTGGACCTTGCGGATTGACTTATACCCCAATAACCCGAAAGTCCAGCAGCGGACAGTCTTTTGTCCATGAGCAGAAGACATGATAATTCGACACCAAAAACCTCGCCCTCTGCTATTCGATTTTGTTCCACATAGCCTTCAACCACGCAATCGACCATCATGACATCAGTATCAAGCCTGACCGTCCGTTCATCTTTCTTTACGCTTCACAAACCTATCTTTGTTTGTTCAAGCTTACGTAGTACCTCGGGAAGCAACCGGGACAAAGGTATCGTCACCCGCGACGGTGCTGGTCTTTCTGCTAGAACCTCAGCGTAGGTAGCCGTCCAGTGCGGGATGTTCCTTACGCCGTTCGTGTGTACAGGACAAGATCACGTCAGGGGAGAGTGGAGGTGGTAGACAAGCCCCCACTGGCTCAAAATGAAGGAGACGTACCTACATTGCAGTAAACATCAGATGGACATGTGACGGTCTCGCTACCATCAGCGTCGATAATTTGGACTCACCATGCTTACTATCAATACAGAGCCTCGGCGTAGACCTGCCAACACGAAGACCCACCTAAACAACCAAGTCAATGCATTCAAAATAACTCACAGCATGAGCGTTAACTTAGAGTCCGGAAGGACTGGGTGGTTTTGATATCCAATGGTTAAAATTGACGCTAATAGCTCTCTCACGATCGTACATTCCACCCATGCGACAAAACGCTCAAAGCAACGCTTGCATGAAGAAATTTGCCAAAAGACCACACTGGAAAAATGCCAGGGCTGATATTAAACAGACTAGCTTGCAACAGGAAAAGGAAAATATGTTTTTGAAGAGAACGAAATGGTAACTTGATGAGGCAGTGACGAAAGTGTTAAACATATAGGCAGATAAAAGCAACGCCGACTAGGGTATCTTACAGGCAGAGAATCAAAGAGATATTGAAAATTATGCTCGGTCAGGGTGGTGGGGAAAGAGCTCTCAATCCAGCTCCATCTCGTAGCTTCGGCGGCTCGTTTTCGTTGCATAGCATCGTGCTCCATCCATCGTCTGCGAAAGAGGTTGCCAGCACACGCAGACACATACACATACGTAGAGCGTACAGGGGGTTTGCAGCTCGCGATTTGCGACTTGCGCATTAGAACATCTCGCCATCGACCGCCTTGGGCCCGGCAACGTTGATGCTGCTCCTGCTCTTGTTCTTGTGGAAGAACCCGCTTCCGAACCCGCTCTCTTCCTTGGGCGTCATCCACGCTTCGGGGCTTGTCACGTCGTCCACGCTGCTACTCAGGCTGTAGTTGCCGATTTCGCTGCTGCTGTGCGTGTGATGGCTAGTGAAGGTGTGGTTGCGAGAACGAGGAGCAGTGTCGAGCCTGAATCCTTGCTCGGGGCCGGCGCGCGGAGTCGCTAGGCGCTCCTCGTTGCTCGTCACGACGTTGTCTGGAGAGGGAGTTGGGTAGGAGGGACTCTGATTCATGAATTTGTGAAGCATGGCTTGCAGATTGGCGACATCACGCTGAAGGGTGAAAACTTGCGACTCGAGGGTCTTTCGAGCCGAGCGTTCGTGCTTGAGGGACGCCTGGACCGCTGCAAGTTGCTCCGCTATGTCATTACGCTGCGCCGTTGAGGGCCTCCACGATGGGCCAGAGTCGACTATGACCGTCTGGCGACTCGTAGAGCTGGGGAACTCATCCACTGCAGATAGCGGTGCAATGGTCGGCGAAGGAGGTCCGTCGTAGTGGCCACTCACCGCTCTGTCGTTGCTTCTGCTCGAATGACGGCTTGTTGCGGATGAACTCCTATTGCGCGAGCGCCGTCCTTTCGGTACATTCTCCAGAACGATCGTCTGACGATTGCTTCGGCCAGATATGCGGCGGACTGATGTCTCCAGATCGCGCATATTATCTTCAAGATGCTTGACTCGGTCCTCGATGGAGAGGCGCTTTTCTGATCGGGGAGGGATCTCTGGCTCCTCTGTATCTGGCTCATCATCTGAGAATCCGCTTTTCAGGTCTCCAAAGTGGAAGGACTCCGATGGACTCGGGATCTCACTAAGGTCCTGAGCATGTTGTTGCTGGACGACAGTGGGCTGGTGGGCCGCGACCGTCTGCAGAGTGGGTTCCGGAGATCTGGTGGTGATAGCCTGCTGGTTGTCGGCCGTGCGAACAGTGTCAATAGTCTTCGCGGTTTGCGGTCTTGTGCCTGTGCTGTAAATGCTTCCAGTCTGGTAGCTGTCTCTCCAATATCGAATCTCGGCGCTTCGTCTTCGCTCAATCGAGGGTCGCGCCTTGGCCAAATCGCGTAAAGCGCCCGCGCTTCGCGACCGTCGCTTCGCTTGCACAGACTGAGCGCCATGTGGTGCTCGTGGCCCTGCTGGTACTGCTGCTGGTGGCGGTGGACTCGATAGCGCAATTCCTATCTGGGGCGATGTCAATGACTCTGCATCGAGCCGTTCGTCCCAACTCGGTAGTCTCTCTACGGAGCCGCCGATGGCTGCTTTGAGTGCGTGCGCTTCGCTTTGCGAGAGAAGCAGACTCGGTAAGGTCGCTCTCCGGCGGCCCAAATCAGGAGTGGGAATATCGAAAGTCAGATACTGTTGCGTCGGACTCGATTCCTGTGGCGCGTTGACATTCATTGGGAAGGGGAGGTGCTGGCCCAAGGGATTGACTGGCTGGAGATCTTGAACAGGAAGATCAGATATCCTCGCAGTAGACGGTTTCTCTTGCTGCGGCTTTGGAGAGCTGGTTAGAATGCCGGGATCCTGTTTTGATGGTCAGTTTTCTCGATCGTTCACCAGAAAATCAGAATAACAATTGGGAGAAAATGAAGGGAGCACCTACGCTCCGATGATACGTATGCCTGCGGGACGTATCTTCCTCCTCCTCTTCAATATGGTCATGCTCGTCTCTGCTCTTCCTACCAAACATCTTGCGAAAGACATTGCGAAGACCGCTTTTCCGCTTCTTCTTCGCAGCCGTCATCTTCGGCGAAGTTTCTCCAGGAATAGAGGGAAATGGGCTCGGAGTGCTGTAATACGTAGGTTCTACAGAACTCTGTCTTTGCGCGTTACTGGTACCTCGTCCGGAAATGGGGGTTGTCCTTTGCTCAGGAAGCTCGTTGCTGTTGCTGTTGTGGGTTTGGAGAGTGGATGCATGGCCGTCTCCTAGATCAGAGATAGTGGCGTGCAGGCTTTCATTATGAACACTGGGTTGAGGATTTGGGTGCACCCGAGGTTCAGCAATTGCTTGCTGAGGCAGTGGAGATTTCGGAAGGACATCATTCGAGGGTGGGGATTCCTTCGCCTTATGGGCCTCTGCAAATTCCCTCTCCTCGTCCTCGCTGAGCGGCGTCTCTTCTGTGATGGGGATGGGCCCGCTTATCTTCAGATCTCCACGGCGGATTGCATCTGCCTTCCAGCTAGATCGCTGCAGGCTCCCTTCTCCACTCATGTTGGAAGCAACAAAACCGTCGTTGGTGAGCATGGATCGTGGTTGTTGAGGTATCTATTTAGAGAGTAGAGTCGCGCGGATAGTCGCAATAGGGAGATTGCAGGGCAGAGAGGCCTCACGCAACAATTGCAGGGAAATCCTGGAGGTGGTCGCAAGATGCCTTCATGGCCCTCGGGAAATTGCTACACAGAAAGCAATGCACATTACAAGTGGACGAATAGGCCGCAATTGGGACCAATGCTCATATGTAATTAAGTGGGCGAGGCCCTGCGTAGACAGTACAACGGCCGTGGGGATGAGGAGGGGAGAGGTTGCCCGCACAGCTAGGTGGTGATGCGAGAAGCTACTGGAGCAAGCTATGTAAAAGATGTGGGAACCAACTAAAGAGAACAGACAACGATGCAGATAAAAGAATCAACCAGGAACGACAGGAAGACGGTAGAGATGGAGAGGAGATGTAAAAGCAAAGCGCGTACAGAGTAGGGTAGATGCAAGCCTAAGTATCAAACAGCAGCGTCATGGACGAGCAGGGGCGGTGTGGAGTGGAGGGGGCGGGATGGCATAGCATGGGATAGGAAACATGTGCAGTGCAGTGCAGTAACAGGCGTAGCATCAGCGAGCCGGCGACTACCACGGTAAGGCAAGTTAAGGTATGGATTCGGATTGTAATGCGGATGAAGAAAGACGGCCGAGACCGAAATAGCTGTTCATACGAGTAGCATGTCAGTACGAGGGGGGTTTAGATAGCCACCCAGGTGGATGGCGCGCGGATAGACGTGGGTGGGTATGTATTACTACTGTGTATGTATTACCAAGGTAAGAAGCTATGGGCCTATGACACTGTACTGGAGACACTATACTTGTACCTAAAAAGACTACCTCAAACGCAACCAAGCATGCACGCAAGCAAGCAATAAAGCAGGTAAGCAGGGTACAATAGGTAGTGGTGCGCGGGATACGGTCCAGGATGGGATGGATCGATACGCGTGCATGTCAGAGAAAGGAAAGGAAAAGAAAGAAGAAAAAGCCAACAGCCAAAAACTCAAAGGTCGATTGATTGAAGACCCCTGTCAGCTGCAAGAGGCAGAGATGGAGAATGAGAGAAGCGCTTTGGCCCAATTGCGCCAGAGAACGACGATTAATGGAATGCGTGAGCTTGTTTCAGAGTCTCTGCCTAGCATCCATTCAACTGCATGGGTCTATGATGATGGAGGCACGGGTGGGCACTGGGAACAGCAACAAATTCAACTCAACAGGCATAGCGCTCGCGAGACGGCCCATGACCCTGTCCATCCAACCCTTGTCATGACCTCTCTGTGACTTTGTCATGACAAGCCATGTCCATAACGAGACAAAGGCCACTGCATGAAAGATTCGAAGAGGGAAGAGAAAAGAGGGACAGGTTACAAAGACGTCGCCGAAATTGATGGGCATGAGCATGAGTAGGAGGAGCATGAGCCTCCACCTGATCGCTTGTGGATGCACCGTTTGGGAGGGAATTGGACCACTCTTAGCGAGATGGGCAAGTCAGGTTGTTTGTAGGTATGTATGATTTACTTACTGTGTAGTATGTGACGGAAGATAGTTATGTGGTGATGTGTTTAGATGAAGTCCATTCAATGGACAGTACGAAGTACATGATCCGCAGCAATGAATTACAACTGGTACATCACCAGCCAGTTACTACTGTGTACCTCCCTAGGTAGGGTAGGGGTTCCCTACACAAGATGTCTGCAAAGCGTTGCTCGGCACCAGACTGGTGGTAACTACTTCTTAGATGTGAATCAGTTGTCGTTCATTATTGGATCCTAATAGTCTACGTCTAGGCCAACAGCCTTTGTGTCCACTGTCAAGCCCGTTGCTGTTCCTGATGGCTAACTTAAAAGTTGATCTATGAACCAGTCAATACGCCATTATCGCTTCGTCTATTCGCACAAAGGGTCAACTCACAAGCCAGGGGTTCCCAACAACCAACTATCAACGCCATAGCATATCGATAGCAAACGTGGACGGGCCAGATGGGAGGACGGGTTAGAGGATGGAGGCGGCACGGGAATCAATAGTTATTACTGTTAATGGCACAATCGAAGTATTCTGGATTTTTCTTTGATTCTACACATATGAAATACGGGCCTCGATTTAGACATGTATATAGGTACTCCGTACCTAGATAGAGAGTATATAACTTATATCGGACGCACCTTCATATGGATAAGGTACCTCACAAGCCTCTTAATGAGTGCACAGTAGATTCAACAATGCATCTTTGTCTCCCCTACGAGTAAGATACCACCACCGCCACTACGGGTAGGGGATGAGCATAACTCAACAGACTAACAGCAATGCAATAATCTAATTCAAACTCCCTTCCGCGTCTTCTTTTTCTAAATTTTCTACGGAGTAGAGTTTTCGCCGGCGACCGTAGTAACTGGCCTAACCACTGCGGCACTGCCGATGCTAAGATGCCGTGCATATAGTTGTGGCTTTGTCGTTCTGCCTCTCCCGCTTCGAGTGCAATAGACTGACTCCCCATTCGGATTAAATGGTCATATTGCGAACCCCGGACCGTTTCTGAATGGGCTAATGCAGTCGACAAGCGCCTACAGCTGCATATTGTATCCATTCTCTCCTCTCGGTCCTATGTCCTTGACTCCTGTTATTTATTATACGGACTCGTACTTCAACTACTGAGCAGGAATGTCGAACCATGCGTACATACAGAGTGCAATACAGTATCTTAGCCCTGCCGTACCTGCCGTACCTTTTTGTCCGTCGACCGTCCGCACTCTTGTACACAGTATCAATGGATTATTGCTGTAGTTACCGACGGTCGATGACTTGTGCCAGTTGTGGAACCACCCAGCAGCAAGCCAAAAGCCACACGACCCCCCCTCCACTCCACTGCCAGAACCGCGGCTCTTGTACGTCCCTGGCCTGGCTCCTCGCCTGGACGTTACAAGTCAGTCACCGCATCTCCATCATCCACCATGCCGTTCGTCCACGTAGACATCCGCTAGGTCCGGGTACCTGAGGTCTGCATGTTCTTCGAGGAATTCCATCCACGACTTCAAGAACTTGGTGCCACTAGATTGAATAATTTTTGATCGTCAGCTCGGGGGATTGTGTTCTAGCCAAACGGCACGCTCAACGCGGTCTTTCACACGGCATCACACAACAGCCATGCCATGCAGCGTGTGCATACGTGCGTCTCACGTTGCGAAGGCGAGGCCGCGAGGGGAAGGCAGGGAGAGGGGTGGGAAACAAACGTTCCGCTGGGAACCGCACGGTACAAAGCACGCAAGTTGTGTAACTGGAGGGGAAGGGATTGGGGACGAGGAATGCAGCCGCTAGCTACGAGAAAGTGTGCCTGGGCGCCTGAGCGCGCGTGGGCGCGCGTCCAACCAACCCCAAGCCAACAACAACAGCAGCAGTGTCAAAACACAACGAACAATACTGCACCGCACAGTCCTCACTGCATACAGCACAGATAGATGGATAGAATACGTACCGGCCAACAGTGTCCGAGTCTCCGATGATGCACAAATGCCTCTTTGGTCTGGTCATTGCCACTATATCCCGCGTGAGCATTCTGTGTTTCGGGGGCGGCATGAGCCTTAAGCTATGCCCCCCGTGCGGAGGGTGTCATGAGCCGCGTGGGTGTCGTGTCGTTGGCATTGCTCATTGTTCACGGCCATCATTACATAGCAGTATTGATTAATTAATACGTGCTGGGAGGGTTCGTACTTACCATTCAATCGTCGCTTTTCGCCTAGGAATCCAACCTCGTGCTCAGCATTACTTCGCACCAAGCTGACGACCACTGCCTCTTTCTCTCGGCCCTGGAACCCATCTACAGACCCCAGCTCAATGCCAGGGAAGCTTTCTTTAAGCATTTGGGACAGCATGGCGAGCTAATGTTATGGCAGTGTCAGTAGGATCGTTTATAGTTTGTATGCTTGCGACATGTGTGTGGAGCCAACATGCTTCAGGCTCTGGAAATTGGACATGGCAATGGCCAACAGCCGATACGCATAAATCATATCAATTGGGCGGACCTACCTGCGCATTGTAAGGCGTAATGACCGCTATATCTTCAGCTTTGACGCCTGCGTCGATTAGATTGCCGACATGCAACTTGACGAGTGCTGCTTCGGCCTCATTGCTTTTGCTGTCTCCGAGACTCATGCCTTTGCTACTTCCCTTGCCAATCTCCTCGTCCTCCGTCTTCTCGGGGAAGTCGCCGCCCTGCGTGTCCCAGAAGACCAGAGGCTCCCGTGTGTCGTCAGTCTCCTGGACCTCATAGGGCAGGTCTTTGAGCAATCTCTCCTTGACGGAATCGGCTGCGATTAGTTTCGATTCGTAGAGTTGGTCAGAGGGAAAACGCATAATGGTCTCATGCATTCGATATTGCGTGGTGAGCATGCGTTGGATCGACGGTCCATGTAATGCCAGCAACCTATCGAACAACGTCGTTTCTAACGTCATGCTGCCTCCCGCCGGCTTTACTGACGGCTCCGCATTGTTCTTACCTTCTTCTTCAGCCTTACCTTTCTTTACATCCTTCTTCTTAGACGCTTTGGCCTCTTTAGAATTAAGTGACTTGATCGTAGGCGGCAATTGCAAGTGATCGCCCGCGAGTATCAGCTTAGTCGCCTTGACCCATAGCAAGGGCACCCAGCATTGTGCTTCCAGGGCCTGCGATGCTTCATCTACTATGACCACGTCGAATTCCTGGTTTCGCAGGTGGAAGCCACCGGCACCATGCAATGTAGCCAGTACGACCTTAGAGCCCTTCACTAAGTTGTCAACGCAGCCCCTTTCCCGTTCCCTGAATTCCTTTCGCAGGTCCTTTAGTTCTGCGTAGACCTGGCGCCGCTCTTTGGCATTGCGAGTCTTGCGGATCGATCCTTGCTTCTCGTCCATTTCCTTTCGAACGTCCTGGACAAGTGCTGCGGCGTCCGACGTGCGCGTCAGAACGTCTAAACTATGGTTCAGCACTGATGGGAGGAGACGAGCTGGATGTCCCAGTCGGATCATGGGTACTTTGTGCGACGCTAGGCGCTCGACAATGTTGTCTACAGCAATGTTGGAGGGCCCACAGACGAGAAGGCGCAGGTTCTGCTTCAGCATCTGGAGGATCAACTCTATGAGCGTGTGCGTCTTGCCGGTCCCTGGCGGTCCCCAGATACAGGCAATCTCTCGAGAACCCAGTGCGAATCTGATGGCCTCCTTTTGGCTGTTATTCAGACTGGGGTCGTTCCACGTGAGATTGTGGAGGGGGCTTGAGGGGTCATTGTTGTCGGACGGCGGCGGTGTTGGAGAAGCCTGACCAAAGAGTACGTGCATCAAAGGCGTATGTTCCTGTTCCTGAAACTTTTGCAATCGTGACATTGTTTGGTTCATCCTGGGAATGCATGAGCTCGGAAAGCGATGAGAGAATATATTGATTCATGACGGTACCTTTTATAAGTAACGTCGTTTGCCAGTTTGACACTATAAGCAGAACTATCAGTCTATCTGTACAGCAGATATCATCGGAAACATCAACTAACATCCATAGCTTGTTTCCGCTGGGCACATCTGCGTCCTCTTTGTCTAGCACAATCTCGACGTTTTCCCTGCGCACCCGCAAAACCACCCCCTCTGCACCTTTCTTCACAAGCTCACGCTTCTCCGTCTTCTTCGCACTGCCCGCGGGCTGCTCCTGCAATGAAACTATATCTCCAGTTCTGATTCCATGTTCAGGGATATCTGCCTTCTCACCCTTGGTCACGACTGCCGAATCCAGAGCGAGCTCCACGACCGTCTTCCCGCCTAGACCAGTACGTATAGAAGAAACATTAAGGTTCAGGATGGCCAGGCCCGCACGGGCGAGTGCGGTCGGGGTATGAGAGGAGAGGAGGGCATCTGTTTCCGACAGCTCGGCTTTTAGCTCCGCGTCGAGCAGTGCCAGTTGGGTCGTGGCGAACGAGGGTATGTCTGTAGGGCTGAGCTTCGTCATGACGATGTAGTCAGGCTGTAAGAGTTCTGCTTCGTGGTGGATTATGATGCTGCGATTCTACTATAGATCTGGGATTAGGTGGAGGCCCTAAGTACTGCCTTGACTGTAGCACGGTGGGGTAGGTTCACGAATGTGTGAGTACTCTGTTCGTGTGGATCTGGTTTCCACTATTAGGGTACGAGAGGATAATCGCATGTCACAGAGGAAAGTCGGAAGGGGAACTGATCCTCAGGGACGGAGAGCGTGGGTGTGTATGAGGTTGTTCAGTGAATGTGATGGTACCTGCATGTCTGGGGAGCTTGGATGGGGGGAAGAATTGTCGTCACCTCCGCGCTGACTTGCGGACGCGTCTGATTGGATGATTGCCCCCTTTGCTCGTCGCGTCAAAGCTCCCAAACGGCACTTGCAACTGTCTGAGCGTCAGTTCTATTATAGCAAGTGCACTTCTTTCTTTTCTTGGGAATATCTCCTTATCTTCCCCTTCTGTTTTGCCTTATTGAATTTCTTTTCGTAGACCCAGAGATGCGGACCTCGCGCATATCTCGAGACACTTCTAAAATCATCGCTGCGAGTCGTGCGAGGCGACCATTACGTCGAGCACCCTCTGCCACAAATGTAGCGACTCAAGATCTCGCCCTAAACACGCCTGATGCCAATCCTGTCGCGAAAGTACGCAATCGCGAGTCAGCATCATCCCAGAACAATGGATTCCAATCCTCTGACTCCGAATTGAGCTCGCCTGCAGAAGATCAGGATTCCGACTTCTCAAACACAATAACGAGCAAGAAGCGGAAGAGAGGGCAAGATGTCCCGGTGCCTCCGCGCGTCAAGCAAGAGAGCAAAGAAGTTAGCATCGCAACCATCGCGTCCCCGAAAAGGGAAAATGGCAAACCGAAAAAGGCGCGCCGTGTCCCCGCGAAGAAGACCGTCGTGAATGGCGTCGTCAAGGTAGAGGCACCGCCGAACTGGGAGGAGATGTATGCCCTGACACGAGAAATGCGCAACGAGAACGTCGCTCCGGTCGATACCATGGGCTGCGAGAGCCTAGCCGATCGCACTGCCTCACCACGCGATCAGAGGTTTCAAACTCTCGTATCTCTGATGTTGAGTAGCCAAACCAAGGATACCGTGACGTCTGTTGCAATCAAAGGGATGCAGGATAACATGCCTGGAGTATGCGCTTGATGTGATGTGGATAGTGATCATATGCTTACCAAGACAGGGCTTCAATCTAGAATCTGTCTTAGCTATAGAACCGCAAGCGCTGAACGCTTTTATCTGCAAAGTGGGCTTTCACAATCTCAAGACCAAGTACATCAAGTCCGCCGCCGAGATTCTTCGAGATAAATGGAACTCGGACATCCCAGATTCCATCGCAGGCCTCGTCTCACTGCCAGGAGTAGGCCCGAAGATGGCATACCTATGTATGAGTGCCGCATGGGGAAGGGATGAGGGCATCGGCGTCGATGTTCATGTACATCGTATATCGAACCTCTGGGGCTGGAACAACACCAAGCAACCCGAAGAGACCAGAGCCGCTCTTGAGTCCTGGCTTCCGAAGGACAGATGGCATGACATCAACAATCTTCTAGTCGGCTTTGGCCAGACTATTTGCCTACCAGTGGGTAGAAAATGTGGTGATTGTAAACTGGCAGACCGAGGCTTGTGCCCGTCTGCGGTAGTCGGAAAGTCCACAAAGGTTAAAAAGGAAGAAACAATTGTCAAGCTGGAGGGCACAGGCGGAAGCACAGTGGTCCATGACGAATTGACTGTGTCTCGAGGCCACGACATCAAATCAGAGGATGTAGCCGACATTGAGGACATGGGACTGAGCTTACGTACAAGGAGAGCACGAAGTAGGAAATGAAGCACAATTCAATTGGTGTAGAATCACCAAAGTATCCCACACATTTGTGCTGCGCCTATCCCGTGCATGAGGTTCAATAGTTCAAATGTCCACCCTCCTGAACTTGGCCATCCGCTGCCACTATCTTGTTCGTTGTCAGTTGAGAGCATGAACTGGCAGTGAACATGCATCATGGATCTGTTGAGAACATGAACTGGTGGTGAACGTGAACTAGTGATGAATACGTATCGTGCCTCTATTCAGAACATCAGCTCATATGAATGTGCATCATATTTCGTACCAATATTGCCAGGAGTTGCGTTCAGGTTCCATGGATCAGTGCGAAGATTGCCCTCGGTACTGGTTACTCCTGGAACGCAGACTGACTGCCTCAACAATTCACTACAATATTGAACCATTTCCTTGGGTCTTCTCACATATATATAAGAGGGCAAGCCGTCACCCTTTCAGTTCTGCACCAACATCACAACCATTATCACTCGACCACTCCTGCCAACACTGTCAACACTGCCAACACCAGATCCACTACACACCAACTTCCCATCATCCCACAAAATGGACGGAAGACTCGATCCAGTGGCTAACGTAGACGTCTTGGTCATGCTTGACGAGGTTCTTTTTGAATGGCTCGAGACTAGTCTTTCTCCTGAAGAAGCTTCGGCATTAGGCTTAACACCATCATTGACGGCCACGGTTCCAGCAGCAACCTCAATAACATCAGTTCCGCACATGTCAGCCGGAGACATTGGCATCCTTTCCGGATACATCTTCATTGGCCTCTTTTGCCTCCTTTTCGGATACATCCTCAGAGTCCTCCTCCAACGAGTCTAAGAGATCGATTTATATGCCCGCCAGAACCACGGATGCCTTATCCAATGTCAACATGCGAAGCCATTGGGTCAAGACCATCGACTCCCCTGTCGGTGGCGATATCGGAGCTTGAAATCCATCCAGACGCAGAAACTCTCCCTAAATGGTATTCTGAACCGGGTCCCGAACCAGATTTCTAACGTCACTCTAAAGAGGAAACCCAACGTCTCTATGATTAGGTCTCCCGAAGTGGTTTGGAAGGGATTCCTGAGCGAGATGACGCTCGCGGCTCGATCACTCAACCTGACTACAACGATGTTGAGTCTGCGCCGCAATGGATTCGTGACACCATGCGCACTTGCGACGACGAGATATTTTCTCTTCGACAAAATGAACGAGATGCAGGATATCGGGCTCCAAGTAGGGTTTCTACGCCATGAAGTTTGGGCCGCAGGAATCTACATACAGTCCGATCATTTAGTAGACCTGTATGGCGCTGAGTATGTTTTGAACATAGCACCTTGATGGGAGTTCATTGCCTTGGGCACCGAGGATTATGCCAGCTCAGGGCACTCTCGTCGGCGGAGATTGATGATGGGATACGGACCACTGAGGGCCCTCGAAACAATTTGTTGATCTGTTGTAAACTGCTTCTTATCAGTGGTTTAGGGGCAAACAAAACTACCAAGACATACCAAAACAATGCCTTGCATCTGAGCGTTTTGTGGTCATTTTAAAGGGTTGCGATAAGGGATGTTTTGCTTCAGGCTTTCTGATTTTGTCCTCTCAACAACACTTTCTGTGCTTTCGCTTTAAAGCTCTCGTGATTTGGGCAGATGTGCTCAAGGCGCGCACAGAGTTTTGCAGATATAATCTGTCATCTCAAAATCCGCTTGATTCTGTATCTGACTGTGATCTTCGAGTGGGTGTCTCCAGCGTGATTCCAGCACCTAAACCTACAGCAGCTGTTTGCCATGTCCAATACTCTGCTTTTGCGCATTTTTATAGGTATGAGGAGATCTGAGGCCACATTGCGATGGATAAATAGCCACCTAATAAACCACATCTATCTGAAGTGGATCACGACGGTCATATGTTACCATAGGAATAGAGGTGATAGAGAAATGCTTTCAATATATGCATAGAATGGCAGTCATGAGTCTCCACACTTTTATTATCCGAAACACCAGCACTCTTCAGTCTCTCAGCTCTGCCACAGCGAAATAGCCTTTACTCTCTACCACTCCTCTGTCCTTTACCACTGCTGTGTACTTAACCACCCACTGAGGCTCCACATCTCCCTTGAGCCCGTCTCCTGCGCTTTCACTGGCAAGGACCCCTACACCTTTCTCCCCAGATCCCAAAATCTCCCTCAGCGTGCCCCTTGGAAGCACATTGGTGCAATCGTTGTGCGTCAATAGTTGAATGCCCTGCTGCTTCGCATAGAGGATCAATGGCTTCGGCACGACGCAGCAATCTCGAACGTTGATCTGGTCAACACTGGGCTTGACCTTGGTCTGTGGGAGGAACTTGGACAACCGCTGGACGCCGAACTCCGCAATTCCCAGATTCGACACAATCCCTTCCGCATGCAACGTCTCCAACGTCCGCCAGGTAGTCAACATAGTATCAATGTCCTCTGGTACTACCTCTGCATCCCCGCACCCATCTGAGTTCGCCGTTGATGTGTCCAGGCCTGGAGTCGTAGGCTCGTCTATGTCGGAGTCCTCGTCGTCGGCGTCGAACGATATGCCCGGAAAGCTGACGATGAGTAGGTCTATCGACGTGGTGCCAAGTTCCCTTAGCACGAGATCGATTGCCTCACGAGTCTCTATGCAGCGCCTGGTCGCAGGTATGTTTGGAAGATAGAACAATTTCACGGTTATGTCGTAGTACTCGCGGGGTTCAGTGAGAGGTGATGGGGTATGGGTCGGTATGTAGAGTGTGGAGTCTTGCTGTGTTGTCCATGATCGGAAGGAAGGTTTCGCTGGTGTATTGGGTGTGGAGGGGGCAGACGATGCGCCGTTGATGAGTGCGCCGTTCTGGGGCGTTGAGGGCGATGACTGATGAGCTGTGAAGTTTGCGCGCAGTGAGGAGGTAAGTTCGGTATTTGATTTCTCGAAGGTTGGTCGTCGAATGACAGACGAGGTGCCTGTGAGTATGTTTCTGTTATCTGCACGTGAGTCTGGAGGAATCAGAGCTGGAATGGATAATGGTCATACGAGGTTGATAGCACGAGCTTCATTGTGAGAGTCTGTGAATCCTCCGAACCTTTTCACTCGGTGAGATTGTCTATATGGGAATTGTAGGGGCGCAATATGGTAAGGAAGAGGTGGAGAGTATAATTCTTGAGAAGAAGTTGAGCAGATGGAAGTGCTAAGAATGAATGTTTGTCAGCCGTCTTTTCGGCAGCCACTCCTAGTGACAGACAATTTGCGGATGGTTTAGCACGGTTTCCGACGAATCAAGTGTTGATTTGTATTATGTATTCTTGTGATCACAATGTCTTCAAACGTCTTGGATTAGTTATTTGAAGTTACTGTATCACGATGTAATCAATAGAGAGATAGAGTGTTACACGTACCGCGGGGTGAACGGCGGGGGAAATGCGCGTGCCAAGATGCCGATCCTAAAGCTGTCTGGATCTCTTGGGCGAAGAAGAACCTCATCACTTAAATCACCCTTTCAACGTCATGGCCATCAAGTAAGTCACAACCCTTCACAGAAGGGTTTTCACGAAATCTAACATGCATACCATTTAGATACCTTATTCTGCTCTCACGGCAGGGCAAAGTTGTACGTCCAACCTTGATACCCCTACCCAGCCACCGCTGACCCTCAATAGCGCCTTGCGAAATGGTTCACCACCCTCGCCCCCAAGGACAAAGCGAAGATCGTGAAAGACGTCTCACAACTCGTACTTGCTCGACGAACTCGGATGTGTAACTTTCTGGAATATAAAGGTCAGCGAGCTCGACAGGGGGTTCTCGACACACAGCCTGACAAATTCTTCCAGATACCAAGATCGTCTACCGCCGATATGCATCACTCTTCTTCATTGCTGGCTGCGACTCCACCGACAACGAGCTCATCACCCTGGAGATCGTCCATCGATATGTCGAGCAAATGGACAAATACTACGGCAACGTGTGCGAGCTGGACATCATCTTCAATTTCCAAAAGGCCTACTTCATCCTCGACGAGCTGCTCCTTGCCGGAGAATTACAGGAGAGCAGTAAGAAGAACGTGCTTAGGTGTATAGGACAACAGGACAGCCTCGAGGATATGGAAGTAAGTGAAGCTTGATCGGTCATCACAAACCCAACCTTCGCGTAGCCTCCCATGGCCCGGCATAGCTGACGTGCGCCTACCTCGTCAGGCCGAGGACGACATCGTCACCAAGATCATGTAGACGATGGCTTCTCGTCTGATACATGCGGCATGCGATGTACATATGCGATACGGCCGACATTGGTTCCGCCGTCGCCGTCCGTGGTCCTCTTTGAATTTAGCGCTAATCGTATACCCGTTCCATCATCCAGGACGCAGATGCCTTCAATGATAGACTGAAGCAAAGTGGTATGCTTTGAGCGAAGCCGACCACGATTTTGTTGGATTTGCATTTCACGGAGTTCAACGATTAGGCGTTATTTGGCATGTGTTGCAATGCGATATACCAATTTCGCTTTACGCATTCTGTTTGCACTGAACAAAGCTACGAGCACGGGAAATGAGCAGTCGGAATTGGGTGTTTGCGGATTCGATCCGACCACGCCACTGGAGAACGCACTAGCTGCTGTCTTGCCTTGGAGAGCAGACAGCGCTGGATGTACTCTTATTGAACAAAAGACACTGTTTCCTGGACTATTGGGCATCGCCCAAGAACTAGGTATTCTCTCAAGAGCACAAATGAGACTCGAACGTGATTTCACATGTCATGCCATCGAGACTTGCTTTTTTGACTCATTTCTTCTTCTGTTGCTCTCGGCTTACCATTCCCCGCGTTGTTTGACTTACACCACAGAGATGCATCGCCCTTCTTTTATGTTTTGCATGAATCAGTGTTCGGTGTCGATCATCTGAAGCAGGCAACAGCGCATGCTATCGTCTTGCTATTGTATTGCTCATGCCCGGCGCCTGGTTGGCTGGTTGGCTGGTTGGCTGGCTGCAGCGTATCTACCTCCCCAGGTGGTCACCCACTCTACTAACTTCCCGGGTTTACTAACACTCGATCACGACTGACTTGATATTAACCTACTGATGCTCTAGTAACAAACTCGACACCAAATAGACACCTCTAGAGCTCCCATTCGGTCGGCATGCACGATATCGTTGGCCACGACGAAGAGGTGGATAATGACCAATCAGCGTGGAGCTACGCGCACGACGCCAAGCTTGGACAACGACACCTCCGCTTGCGCGCGGTCAACACATCACCAGAGCCGGCCTGCCCTCATCACCTCTACATGTTTATACACCATCGATCTCCTGCCTGCTAGACCACCGTCTAGTCGAGCAAGTCATTCTCCCTGTCTCATCAGTCGAGCGAAAGCGTCGATAACAGCTCACACCAGCTTGCGCAAGGCCCCCTCCGAGTCACGATACAACGGAGCACCCGCGATAAGCACCAACACTTGTTGAGAGACCATCAGGTCTGTCTCGGATCATTGTTGCGACCGCGACTTTCCATCAGGGAACTTTTTCTATACATCTGGCACCATGAAGGTATGTATTGCAAGGATAGGGACTGTGGAGCGGTGAGCTGACGATGACCTGGCAGTACCTCGATCTATGTGCCCTCCATGAGGTTAACCTCGCCCTCAATTTCGACACCCAAGATTCGGCAATCATCGGAGGATGCGATCTCTATACAACGAAAGCCGCGGGCGGGGACAAGAAGTTGTACAAGCGCATAGAGAAGACCCTGGAGGACAGGCACAGGGATCTCCTCAGCGCGGTGGCCGATATGTCACCAGAATCTGCCGCAAAGTTCACGGATCAGATCAACCTCGAGCGTAACACACCCTTTGGCAGCTTCAACGAGACATCAAATCGCCATACATTCGCGTACTTGATCGCGACGCTCAATGCCACCCATGTCGATTACGACTTCGCGAACACGCTCAATCCCGACGAGTTTGGCCGGGAGACAAAGAAGAGTTTCATGCACAAGGTCGATATGACAATGTACTACCTTCGGCCACAGATCTATTCCCAAGGTCTTCCGGCGGGTGCTGTCACTCCTTTGGGTTCGCCCATCTGGAGCCCCCGATCGTGGCAATTGGTTGACAGCGAGATGGACATGGAAGAGTGCGAGTATTATGTCTGGCAGCCGTCCGACGATCCATTTGCCGACGATGGCGCTATCTGGAGCCATCACTTTTTCCTGTATAACAAGGATCGCAAACGTGTTTGCTACTTTTATCTGCGCGGCATCAGCGCGCTTTCTAACAGCCCGACACCGGCCATGTCTCTCATGTCGAAGCTCAAGCAGCATGAAGCTAGTAGCAATGCTGGGTCTCGAAAGCGTGCCGAGTACTGGCTTGGCAGCCGGGCGAAACGTGGCCTCGAGGCCTACGGCGAGAGCGACGAACTCGACAACATGGTCATTGAGCACCCCGAGGATGTTGTAGACGCTGAGGATGTGCCGGATCTTCGCACTCGTGAAGCTAGTCACGGCTTCGATTACTGTTCCTCGGATGACGACAGCGATATCGAGTCATACCTAGACCGCGAGCGCCACCCGAAGAGGCGAAAGAGCTCTGTGCGGACTCTTAGTGACCATCTTGCCGAGCAAATCACCATCTGAGACATCTTTACTCAATGGCTTCCTTTTACTGACACTTCAACGTGATCAAGTCCGGTTGGTACTTAACAACTAGCGACCGCTTTAACACTCCTTTCTCCTTTGTAAAGCACTGGTACGGCGTTCTGAGGGCAATGCTGCATTTTCCGGATGGTCTTGAACGTGACGGCCACAGGCGTAATCGGTTGGTGGGAGCGATACGATGCGCCGTGAGATGTGATATGTCACTCGAGATACCCTTTTCCTTTCCTTTTTTCTTGGTTGTCTTTTTTTAGTTCAAATTCTTCTATTTCCCCAATTGACTACAACAGGCCCTTCTCTCCCTGTTTCTCTCTTCTCACTCTCCAACCTTTCCTTCCATGCTATGCTCTGTTCAGTCCACAGCCCCCTTTTTTTCGACATGCCTAGTTGAACTTGTAATTTGTTCTTATCTGCAGAGTTTGTTCTACTTTTATGCGCGGGCAATGATCACTTCACGAATGAGAGAGAGAGAACTCGAGGCAACGCGCCACTAGTTGTATGTACATGTCAGTAATAGTTAGTCCTGCATGGACATGCAATGTTTATGAGATACGCTTTGAACACTACGCCCAGGACGTTACATTTCTACCTGTGATGGTGATGTGATCGAACCGCAGGGCACGTCAACCTGCTTGCTGAGGGTGTAGGTCACAGAGTACATCCGATGTGTATGTACAGTCTCCAATCCTCATTCGATCTGCCGACTTCCTGTAACCCGGCGTCTGGCTCGAAGGAAACCATTTCCCGCAAACGAGCAGGAGTGCAGTAGCAGAGCACGCAAATATAGAAACCAACCAACGAATCCTACACTCTACATCCACCAACCCAAGCCAGAGAAAGAGCAAGAAACTCAAATCGCTAAATCCGATACATATGCAAGAGCAAAGATGTGTGGTCAGCGACAGCAGTAACTAACACCAGCAGCAGCAGTAGTGGTAGAAAAATGCATGATCCATCACCCACATCTCGCATGACCGCCCAAACCTAGTTTCCCAGGCTCTCATCCCCCATTCATTCGACTACACAGGTTACGCTCAATCAACGCAGGGCAAGCGCAGAAAGCATCGCATCGCAGGGGAAACCCGAACCGACGATTCGACACCACTCGCAGTCGAAAGAGCCATGATCGCCGTGTTGGTGGCTTGCGCATCGGCTGGCTGCTTCCTCGAGACGTACACACAGCTACGTATAAGGGCATGTATCGTGACTGGCCGACGACGTTGCATGATCCCTCGCCGTATATGCGCGTGTGTGTCAGCAGTTCGAGAAGGAGGGATATGTATTCACCGATTGCGCTCGCTTTGCTTTCGCTCTGCTTACCCTGCAGGGAATCTTAGCTTCGCAGGGCCTGCTCGCCTGGTCTCGCCTGGCCTGGCATGCCTGATCGCTTGGGAGACCGATCGTTGGGGCGCGCTTGCGTGCAGGAAGGAGGGGAGTTACAGTGCGGTGCTTCTCTTCTCAGCTGGGGTGATGGGCCGAAAGGTTCGAGGGCGAGAGCGAGGGTTGCTAACGTGAGAATTGCCGCGCAGGTTCCTCGTATACATACAGGGAGGGGGTAGGCAATCGACCATGTGTGTATATGCTGATAAGACAGAGAAGGGGGTAAGTTAACCAGGTAAAGATGGAAATGTACTGTATGTCTAAGGAACGAAATGCAATGTACGTGACTTGACTGAGATCTAGCGCTTAGTAGTTACATGCCACGAGTAGATCATGCATAGTTGCGGGGATATGCCCATGTTGAATCTCATCGACGACGACGAGTTTGTCTCGCAGTTGCTGCTCGCCCCGAGCATTCCAAATCGTAAATGACCTTATGTGAGAAAAACTCGGTAACTACTGCCGTCTCGGGGCCTCACAAATCGAAGTTTGATACAGCACAGTAACATAATTATCCTGTCCTAAGATGGTCGTTGGTCGGTGATTCGAATATGATATGAGACCTTCAGCCCTAGATCTTTGATAAGCGACGGATCGGGTTGCCCTGCCGCCCCATGTCTGGCTACCGCATGAATGAGAAAGGCTGCGCGAAAAGTGAAACCTTACTGCCGGAGCGGAGGAGACCTGACAGACGGGTTTTACAATGCGAACGAGATTGCGCAGTACTATTCTGAAGGAGCGATATTAAAGTGTTTTGGGAGATAGAAAGGAAGAAAGTATGATGATAGTGTTTCAGTGGATGCTACTCCGTATAGTATTATGGATATTTCATATCGATGCTGTTGAATATATTCAATTATTCTAGTCCGATTTGGTACAATTTATTGGAGTTCTTCCAATTCCTGATTGTGAATTGATATGGACTAAACATCATGCGTTTACCTCAGAAGATTTCTCTTGTTATTCATCATTGCTGATGTTAACTCGATCACCAAGAGTAACCTCTCCCGAGGCATATTTAGCTATGTGTACTGTGTACTGAGTACTCTGTACATACATATGCATTCATCCTATTATGCTTGACACTATTCAACTCCAAATATATCGCAGCGTTACAATCCATAACGTGAATCCAATGACACTATTGATATCACAAACACCCACAATCAACACCGCTCAAACCTCGCCTCTCCTCCCCCAAAATACCAACCCTCTCGTGGATAATTAGAGTGCGGAGTTCTGCCTTATCAGATCTCTTGTCAAAACCTTGATCTGTGGGTGGTGATGCGAAATGGGGTATAGACTGCGACCCCTTTCCAGGCAGGCGCCCACAGTCCACTGTGGGGTTTCCAAGGTTGTGTTTATGCAGGCAATGTAGGTAATGTAGGCATCACGGCGGGAACCAAATATACACGTCACGATTCATGGGAGAAGATCGATAGAGACGGGCAGAAAGAAGGGGACAATGGTTACATCAAAGCCTGGATGCGGGATTCGGGGAGAGATTGATTGTATCTAGCTATCATTTGATAGAACTCCATCTGTCGTTATCAGCATCATTGTCAACAAACAAAGCCGTAAAAACCCCATCATGCCGCAATCCAACCCATCACACCTCACCTCCCTCTCCACGGAGCTCCTCTGGCGCATCGTCGAGGCCCTGCCCCTGAGCTTGCACTTCGACTTCGCCTACACGTGCAAGTTCATCACGGAAGGCTGCTCGAAGGTGCTGCAGAAGTATTGGCAATGGGTTGGAGAGGGGCGTTTCTGGTTTCATTGATGGACGCCAGGCCAGGCATGTTCGTTCATTCGAGGTGAGGCGCGACCACGAGTCGTTCCAGCAGTGGAAGACGTTCGATCTCCAGAACCCGCCCGACGACGAAGACCAGAGCGAGCCCATCCCCTTCGAGTTCCACGGGGGCGAGCTCTCTGTCTACTTCGCCTCCATAGAGAAGCACTTCAAGCCCGAACAGATGCAGAAGGCACAAGAGCAGACCCAAGAGTCGAGATGGATTCCTCAAGGCACCTTCTTCTCGCAAAACTGCCTCGCCTGTTCGGCACCAAGACGGTGGACTGGCTGCCAGGACTAAGGGTCGTTCCTGGGCTGGTTCCACGTGTTTTGATCCAAGGAGACGTTCGTGCCGGCTTTAGGTGTTCTCTCGTCCACTTGGATGGATCCGCAAGGGAAGGGAAGGCTCGCGCCGCATTCCCTCGCAGATCTGTTGCATTTGCCAAAGATTGAGTACATCTATACGGACGATCTCGAGTCCATATATGACGACGTTGACGACGAGATTGTGTGGGAGAGCGCCACTGGCAAGGGAACGTCAACCGTCTAACACATGTGCCTACACGACTGCGGTGAATTGCCAGGAGAGTTATTAAGAGCCATGGGCGAAGCACCGGAGAGGCTCACTTCTATGTCGTTTCGAGGGGGCAGCAAGTCGAAGGGGAATCTCGACGACTTCGACATGCTCGTCCAGGGCTTGGCCAAGGCGCAGAATGATTCCCTAGAATCTTTTATGCTCTATGGGTATACGCCTATGAATATATTTGACCGCATTCACGGATGCCGATCTAGCATATTCCATCCCGGTGAGCTAGAGGGCAAGGCGAAGGTGTTGAAGAACTTCACACTGGATTGGGAAGATATAAAAATGGAATCCGGGGAGTATGAGAACATCGACACTCCAGAGGAATGGAAGGGTTATGTGTCCAAGTACTATCCAAGAAGCCTCGAAACCGTGATTCTAATCGACTTTGTCTATTTCGAGGGAGATGGGGAAAACAGGGATCGTGATGATCTGGAGAAGGTGGAAACGATGCTCATCGCCATGATCGAGTCAAAGAACTTCCCTAAGCTAAGGCCTTCTATCTCAAGGAGTGCGAAAGGGGGCGGGACACCTCGTTGCAATCGATCGAGAGATCGCATGGTAGGGGTTCAAAAGCTCATGAAGCTGTGCACAAAACATAACATTGACGTTCGTATAGTCACGAATCAAGCTAAGCCGCTGCATTCAATAGAGGTCCCCGAGGCCCTCGATAAGTACGATTTGATCACAGGGCCGTTCGCGGGGAAGAGGCCATACGACTGCGTATTCAATGTCTACACTGGGCGCAGAGAACACCCCAGATGTGGGAACTGCGGATCATGCAGGTCGTGCTACAGGGTCTATACAAAAAGCTATGTGATTCCATTGCCGACAAAAAGGAAACAGAATCATGAACCATCGTAGGCGATATTGTTGAGGTACGGCTACTGTTGCGGCAGGTTATCGACGGTCAACGGTGGGGTGAAGGTTTATCCCAGACAAAGACAGAGGCATGTTTGCTCAGTACGTGAAGGGGCTACGTTCCAGGACAGCCAATAGGAGTGAGCGAAAGTAGAGGTGAACAGAGGTGTTTGGCGTTTGGTGAAGGCGTAGATTTAGAGCGTGTGGCTTGCGTATGGAAGCCCCATGTGGCCTGACTTGATGAATGTCAAGTTGTCACCGACGGGTAAGAGGCCGAGTATCAACCAGTGATGGCTTTGGATTGTTGAGAGCGCATCGTGGATTGGTGAAATCTGGGCTAGAGCCGCCCACCCGCATGATCGGCTGAGAGGAAGTTCTTTGTTGGCTGCGAAGCGTTGAATGCTGATGTTTGGTTCAGCTGGGGAAGGTCAGAGTGGGGGTGAACTACGAGGATGTAGTGAATCTGTATGCTGTCTGGCTGGGTGGGTTAGCAGTACCTGGAAGCGTACCGAGGATCAGGACATCGGGCCCAGCCGATAAGAGATGGCTTTTCCGAAAACGGACATGATATAATGCCTCATGGGGACTGGAAGGCTTGTGGCTTGCTTGACAGTGAATGAATGGATTGCGAATTGTTTGGTTGCGGGGGAGTTAGTGGCATTCGTAGGTAAGTTGAGGTTGAGGACGGGCTGGGGTGCAGAAACCAAGATGGTGGATGGGGGAGGGACGGCTGCACGACGGAGCGAGGCGGATCAGCGGGAGCGAAGGCGAGAGGCTGTTGCTTTTTGGTTCTGGACAGACAGCGGCACGTCAATGTCGAGGGTCGAGGTCGAGGACCAAAGATCGAGATCTGTTGGGACTCGAGGGTGGACACGCGTTCTGGATGGTGCTCACTGGTGACAGTTGGAATCATCTAGCTTCTGGTTGATGTGGTTGGTGTACACGAAATTATGGATCAATGGGGGTGGTGTACACTGGATGCTGGTAGGTACGTACCTAGTACCTAGGTAATTAGATAGATATCCAATACACCTGCTAAATAGAAAGAGTTGAGGAAAGGGATGGTGGTAGTAGGAGTAATTAGATAGTAGATGTTTACTCCAAATAGACACGAACAATACTCCGTACAGATTCAATTGTCATGGTTATGTTCATGGTCATTGTTATTGCAAGAGATTGTTGGTTTATGCAGGAAACGAAAGAGGAAAGTAGGACGCAGACTGATCAGATTGGATGCTTCGAATCTGGAAGGCGCCCTTGCATGAGGACACGCTGATTGGTCCCAGCAGGCAAACAACCCAATCACTTGTACCCGAATTGGGAATGAAGGAGATTCCAATTTCAATCCTCTTGGCTCTTCATCTCCCCCCCCCCCCCCCCCCCCCCCCCCCCCCCCCGTTATTCCCAGTAACAATTACAGCATTTAGTTAACAACAACATCAACATCAACATCAACAGCGATTAACTAACTATTGTACACTTGCAGAACTACTATGTGCGGTAAGTCGGGCCCTAATAGCATCTGTCTAAAACTTCTGCTTTGAACCACGGGACTCGTTGTCCTCCCACGACTGACTGCCCAATCGAGCATCTGTCTAATTTTCTGTGGAGCAAATACTCACACGTTGCCAGTCCTCCTCTTCTTTCTTTCTGCTCTTGGGTATACTCTGGCTTCTCCTCGGAGATTTCTTTCATCCATTCAACTTACCACCTACCAGCACCTTGCTGCATATTGTCATACTCTTGCAATGATATACAGTCAGTTGACCCAGTCGGGTTCATCATTGACGTCTTGCTTCTCCACAAGGGAGATGCCTGTCTGGCGCACGACCAACGCTGTAATACAGACTGTGCGCCACCAAATTTAGTCCAAAGTGGAGAAAGACACTTGTGGACGCTCCACCTAATAATTGTCGTATCTGTCTACTTTGGTGACTTGGATGATGGATGGACACGAATGAACAGTATGGACAGGGTGGGCATGGGCATTCTCCATTCTGCCACTTCTGCTTCTACTCAGGAGGAGAGAACCCAGCCACAGGGCACGTGCGACCTCGACCAGCGAGCCAGTGCAAGCATCCAAGATTGCTTGCTAATTTCGAAACGCGCTCATGAACCACTGCGAAATTGCGAATTTCCGAAACAACCTCTTCTTTTCAATAATTTGCCACATACCGCACATGCTACATGCCTCTGACCTTGTGGTGCCTGCCTGCCTGCCTGCCTGCCATTGCGCAAGGATCGAGTGGCCTTGAGAGCTCCATCTGTCACGCTTGTACCCCGTACCTGAAGATCGTAATGCCACCCAGATCTTAATTTCTTCATCCCCCCAGGGCTCATGCCTACACAGTAATGAATTACATTATGACGGACAGGTCGAGCAGGAGCAAAAGCCACCGTGCGACACTCCGCGGCTATCTTCACTTTGTGCGAGGTTTGGGCACCCATGGTACGTTTTTGTACCAGGTCACCCAGAGATCGTGTAGTCCAAAGTGGCACCGGTCCGCGAAGCACAAGGGCACAAGGGCTTGCTTCGGGCTCGCCACTGATGAAACGGATGTTCGTCCATTGGCTATTCATCAACGACGTACTACTGTGCACTCACGACGCGCCTTGTTCTTTGCGACTTGAAATTTTTTTTCTCTTCCCTTCGTCCAATTTACCATTCAAGCACATGCTCGGAAATTGAATTGACTTCAATCTACCGCACCAAACTACGCTGTAGATTGCAATTCGTACAGCTAATTCAGTTGGATCGCTAAGTCGCTCGGTGGTAATTAGCAACGGTCCATCGTTCCTCTACTCCAAACATTATCTCGCTAGACATTCGAGGATTCAATGACAGCAGCAAGCTAGTACTCCATAAACGTTTACACTTCCCGATGACCACATCGTTGCCTGACATCTGAAACAAAGCATCATTGTAAACGGTACGTAGTTCGACTCGGTTGCTGTGGTGATGTTTGCGTGTATACTTGTACCGTGCCTATAAGGGAAAAAACGGTCGATAGTCGATACTTGGCAGGCAACTGGTGGGTTGATTCTTGCACGGAGTACTGCACTGCCACATTCGCTTTCGTATGCTCCCGCTTCCAAACTCGTCCGTACCTTTGATCTTTCTCAAATTCACTCATCGTGATATTGTAAATTTGTATCTCTCTCACATGTCGCCGTCGCTGCACCGACACCGACGACGTCGAGCGATAATCATAGTAAAACTGCGTGTTGTATTACATGCATAACCAACCAACCAACCAACCAATCGCTTCCCTCCCTCAATCTTCCAAACTCCCCCGACCGCCCGTCCCATCCATCCCGTCCCAAATTGTTCGGCGGTCGCTCGCTCGTAAATTTCAGGGTCCAAACCGAAGAAAGAAAATGGTTTCAACACCACCGCTTTGCCGCCGATACGATTGCGAAAAATCCAAAGAGAAAGCAGCGGCACCGAAGTGGAGCCCACTCCCACCGACCCCACTCCATAGCTACGTCGGCGCGGTTATCCTATCTATCTCTGGTTACAAGTACATGAAACGGATGGTATGGGTTCGTTTAAACCGTTTCATAGGGTTTTGCGGTGCCAAGAGGGGGAGAGGGAGCGAGGAGGATGCGATTAGTAACGGTCTGGGCGACGGGTCGGTTGGACGCTGAGGTTGAGGTAAGATGGGAGGACGGGAAGGCGAGCTAGTTGGTAGGTAGTATGTAGTTATTTCGTTTTTGACGTTTTTGACGGCGGGTGGAACGATGGGGAGAGGGAGCGTTTGGTAGGGCTCTGTTGAACGGGCGGGAGGTCGGACGAGGGGTGAGGTGGATTTGGCTTCTCATGTTTTGATCTTTACGGTTTTATGTGACCAATGGTTGCTAGTATGAAAGATCAAATTGGAGTTTCTAAAGCTAACTATAGGTATGCAACGAGAGAGTCGTTGAAGTTTACGTTGTGCTAGTATACCAATGCATCTATCAACGACATCTCAAGCACTGCACTACAAACCATCCACAAGACCTCACATCGGAACCCGGATACTCGTACCGCCATTCGGCACCCTCGGGCATGGCAAAATCCAAACATATCTTTTTTTTTTTCCCACACTGGCACATCTCACGCGGCGGCGCTGAAGAAAGACTAGTGCGCCGAAGGGTCCCTGAAGATCACTGTTTCTTGACTGACTTTCCTCTCCCGCTAATTAGTCTAGGTAGCTAAAACGTCTGCCTACCGGTAATTATGAACGTCGTAGTTTTTTTCTCTGCAGAGAGAAGAAACGGCGGCTCGGGTTGTGTGCGGCCGGGGGATGGACGATTGTAATCATTTTGTCTTTCTTTCGTAGTTATCTCTCTGTAGCTGTGGATTGGGTGTTGATTCGTGTATGTGCGGACGTTTTGTACCACCTCTCTCCCTCGTACGCGCATACCTACACAGTATGTACGAGCAACGGAAACCCGCGAGTCCCCCGGCCCGACCGACCAAAAAATTCCATACGACTTTCCCTTCAGCGCGTATTTCGTTTTCGTTGTCTGTTAACTAGCAACCTAGGTAATTACGATTACCATCACCATCGCCAACGTCGTTGGGAGGCGCGCACGCGAGTAATGGGACCGAAGATAGGTTGTCCAAGGGTAGCCGGTTACACTTGGGGAGGTGGGGATGCCGAATTGGGTAATTTGGGAATATGACGATGGGGTTGGATGTTGGGTACGCCAGGCGGGTAGCGGGCATGCCGTTTCTTTCTCGTCTGTCTTTTTTTTCTGTCTTTTGCTTCCTGCTGTGGTTAACTGGTTTGTCTTGGTGGTGGTTGGAGGGAACCAGCCGTAGTCCGTTGTGTGCCACGGATATGCTACCGTGTAGTTAGTTATCAGCCTCGCTCGCGCTTGTGTACGAAAAGTCGTTTGTCTGTCTGCCTCTGCCACGGACGGGACGCAGCGAGGTCAGGTGGTACGAGGCGGGGGAAGGAGGAGGAGGGGAACTTGGCATTCATTGGAAGTGCACCATCTGTAGGTACGTTAATTGTTACTAAGAGGGTGAAGAAGTCTGGAACGTGGAGGGCATTGAGGCTTGAATTGATGCGGGGGAGAATTTGTGTTGAGTGAATGGGCGTTGTTAGTTAGTGACAAGGCATTGTTGGGTTCGTTGGTCGGACTTTGTGGGGGAGTTTTATGCTGGGGCGTTGGATCGGACTTGAGATCGCTATGCAGCGGTATGCGCATAGTTATAGGGGAGTATGTAAGTGTGTCGAATAGTGCTGCGGCTGGGATGTCACAGAGGAGAATTAAATGGAATGTATGCAATGCGTCGTGGATATGTATTGGAGAATTGTAATTGATGCTGGCTATGAGAATTATGTCAGTATGGGGAAAGATAGTTTGGTTAATGGTGACACAGGCAAGCGGCAAGGCCGGCACAGAGGAGATTCGATATGACGAGACGGTGACTGGAGTTTACTATCTGCAAGTGGTTCTGGTGTTGATGTGGATATAGCGGATGTCGAAGTGGGCACAATGGGAACAGAGAGCAAAGGGCCGATACATTGGCAAGTCATGTTATCGATCATCGTCACGATCAACGTCGTCATCGTCATCGTCATCGTCATCGTCATTCAGTTCATTAGCATCAATTCAATCGTGCAAGGCAGAAGCGAAGCAAAGCACAAACAATACTATTGTAGAATGATACGATGGATGTGGGGGTGGCACGAACGAGAAATGGCAACAATTGCGACAACGGTTTTGGGCCATAGCACGGAACGGCAAGGTGAACCAGCCCAGCTTCTCCGCACTCTCGTCTATCAACATCCTATTTACGGCGAAGAATAGGCAAGTCAGGTTCAAGGCAAAGGGAAAGCAGGCAAGCAAGCGAAAGAGTACGAAGTTAGGTTGGTTGGCTCGTCTCTCTTTCACGACTCAGGTCGAACTAGAGCTCACCCGCAGAGGGCACATGTTTGCCCCTGCATGAGAGGGAGATGGTGTGGATGTTATGTGCATCGAGGATAGCGCGGCTGTTTGGTGGTCGTGATGGACATTGGATGGTTGGATGCATCATGGCTTGCCCATCATCAACCCCGGTCTCCCAGTCCACTCTTTACTCCACTCTTTCTTGGGCGCGGTCTCCGCCGCCGCCTGCGTAGACAATGTCAATCTTCATATCGCACGTCGTCGTTCATCTAATCAGGATTCGGGTCAGGGACTGAGGACCATTCAGAGATGTTCGTCCCGGATGCCGGATGGGATGGGTGATTTTCCTCACCTAGGTCACACGTAGATGGCTATCGCGGCATGTTAAGGTGAGGTTCGTCCCTCGTAGATAACGAAAGGTTGGCGCGGACGGGAAGGGAACTGGGCATGCAAGGCACTGGAGAATCTCGAATAGGTACGGAGTCTGTATCGTACTGTGCTGTGATGTATTGTTGTTATTGCTTTCACTTTCAATATACAGGGGGCCTGGCGGTGACCAAACCCGCAGTGGGGACCTGTGATTCACATTGCAATTGTTCAATACTTGTAGATTGTATTGCAAAGTACGGAGTACTCTGTAGGCAATCTTCTCTGTGCTCTGGACTCTACGTCGTGCGGTCGTACTGTGTAGAGAGTGCATTATCGAGCGATGAAGGGTCTACTCCTCTGTAGTAGTGTGTACTCCGAAGATACCAGTCGAGAAGGGAGTGCAGTAGTGTTTCCGTGTGCATGTCGCGTGCAGCCGTGCCTAGCGAGCTGGAGCGAGTAAGAGCCCGGCATCGCCGCTCGATGGACGTGACCAGACAGGGCCACTACCGCCTGGCCTGCCTGGTCTGCAGCGCGATGCTGCAGGATCATGAACGGCTTCGGATCGTCGACTGGCACGACATACAGATAGTCGGTGGGCGATGGTGGTGGTGGTGGTGCGGAGAAGGAGGGGAAGATGGGAGGCAAAAAAAAGCAACGGGAGATAAGCTGCAGACAGAATTCGCCTTCCTTCGCCTTCTTTCTCGTCTTCTCTTCTTCCTGGGGAAGAGATCGACTTGCTTGGAGTTGGAGATGGTAGGGATTGGGAAGCAATGCAGAGAGCCTATCTATCTACACAAGCACGACTAGGATCAACTATCACACACACAACACCCTGATCTACACTTTCGCGAAGGAGTGTCGTTGATTAAGGGTTCCTACACCATACAGGATTCTCGTATCTTGCTACATACCTTACCTACACTGCTGTGATTGTTCGTGCTGCCTGCTCCGTGTGGGTGTATTGGTGGTTAGTGGGATGATTACAGAACTGCATGGTGCATATCGCAGAGCAGAGACTCGAGACTCGAGGGTGACAAGCTGGGGCGATGTGCCTTGCTATCGCGCTTCCTGACACGAACGTGGTATGGCGGGGATGAAGGAAGGGGTGCGAAAGATAAGTGTTGCATGAAGATGCGTGCCTGGTGCTGCTGGACGACCGGAACAGCGACGAGGACAATGACAACGACGACGACAGCCGTACGACATGATCTAGTCTTGCAATCAAGGCGGCGTTCAAGAAGAATTGAATCTCGACCGTCGGACTCCAATGCTTAATTCTTCATTCCTTCCTTTTTCTCTAGTAATTCCTCTTCACCTTCTTTCTTTTCCTTTGTGCCTGGATAAGGCTAGGAAAATAATAAAAATCAATAATCCGAGGTCGAGATGGCTATTAGCGGAGATTAGGTTCGGAGGCGCTGCTGAGAGAGCAGAAAAAGCGAAAGTGAGGGAGATGAAAATTCTCGTGAGCCTCGTGATGGTACTCGGTAGGCAGTAGTTACGCTCGTAAGGAAACGCCCGCCAGCCAGCCAGCCCGGCCAGAGCCAGAGCCAGCCCATTTCCATCCATCGGCGAAGGCGCGGCCAAGAGTTGTTGCTTGCAGGATGTGGATGGTGGATCTGGTGGGCGCACCACCACCACCACGCATGTAGAGGCAGCCTCTCGCCGGCCAGATCGATTGGAATCGGACATGTATATTCATGTGTAGATATGTACACATACACAAACAGGTACCTACAGCAACTAGTTTGCATCAAAACAAGAAAAGTCGCTGTTCTTGCAGGTGCCGGATGTGGACGGAAATCGATATAATGCTGCTTTACAGAAGGGTGTAGGTACAGTATACATTAGCAGAGCTGTTTGTTCGGTAGCGTAAACCGTAAACCGCACGAGTAGATCATGGGGGAGTCGATACTGTCAGGTACAGTTACGACAGCAGTGAGTGGTAATTAGAGTGCAGCATGGGTGTTGTCACATCCCACTATTTATTACCTGTTACCTAGGCATTTGGATGGAGTCAATACGCTAAGCAGTCTACAAAACTCCACTTGTATACAACTTGCAAAGATCCAAGAGGAAATAAAATTATTGAGGCACTCACTATGGAGTAGTTTAGACGATAAACGAAGCGAAGACGAAGACGAAGACGAAGACGAAGACGAAGACGAAGACGAAGACGAAGAGGTTACAAGCAGCGAACGGGGACGCCGCAGAAGCCAGCAGTAAACAGCGTCGTGGCCATCGTCACCGTAGTCGACTGGCACCAACCACGAACCAACCCTCAGCCACTGCGACTAACTGGACTAAGGAATAACGAAGTCGACTAGTGATTAGGTGGGTTCAAAACAACTCACACTCACACCCATTACTCTTTCTGTCTGACCACCTATTACGCAGGTGACAGTGCACTCATCAACATCTTCGCTATCACCGTCGTCATCGTCTTAGACCGACGGACGGAGGTTCGTACGAACCCGAGTTTACAAGTCTGATATGATATGATATGGTATGGTACGGTATGGTTTAGTTTGGGAGACGTAAGTATTAGTATAAGGAGGATTATGATCATGATCATGACTATTTCCATGACCTGAGATATACTAGATGGTCTATGGAGTACTCTACTCCACTCTATGTGACGGTGACTTTTTTGAATTGAATGAATTACGAAGTACTCGAACCGAGGAATTCGTGGTCTAATCTCCCAAGGTCTTCTTCCAGCACTCTAAACCTGTAACCTGTAACCCGTCCAATTCCTTCAATATGAAATGCATTCAGGAACATGATTTCCCCTCCTTCTTTGCGTACCTACCTAAGGTATCTTCGTATATTGTCGTGCTGGACGACCACCACCATAATCCCATCTCTACCAATAGTGGTGATAATAATAGCACCAGTCGTAAGGAATAGTTCCCCCTCATTGTTCGTTCTCTTCCATCTTTGAAGGAAAGTTTGGTGCTGGGACTACAGTGACGATTGGCCATTCCGAAAGCGAGTGTTACCACCCATACTGGACTGGGTCAACCCATGTTTGAGGGGGATTAGGGTAACTGTCCACAGTAGTGTCTAGTTGGTCATAGCTCGCCAAGATCTACCAAAGCCAAAGAATCCCCCAATTCGCTATCGTTTTCATCTCCTCTCATACGCACACAGTAAGTCACCTAGGTAGGTAGTGGTCTCTCTCCTCCTCATCTCACCACCCCTGGTCGGTTCCTAGATTCTTAATCCCAGTCACACACCCTCTCTCTCTCTCTACCCTCAAACTACCCCTGTCCCTGTCAATCTGTGGACCTTTCTGAACTGGACCGTCTGTGTGTCTTGTGTCTGTTGTTCTCTCTGTGTTGTGGTAGGCCCTTCTTCTTGTAAAAGCCTTTCAAGGCCCTTGCAACGGAAGACTGAGAGACCCCATGTGCTGCTGAATTTGAACGAGAAAGAAACCCCCCTCCTCTCCCTCCTTCCCTTCCGTCCCCCCCAGTCTCCAGTCAGTCCAAGTGCCCCTTCCCTTCCCTTTTCCCCTTACCCTTCCTGGGCTGGGCTGCTCCTGCCTCTTTCCCTACCCTTGTCCCTGGGCACCTTCCCTACCCATACCCACACCCACACCCACACCCATACCCTTACCCTTACCCTTACCCTTACCCTTCGCGTACCCGTACCCGCTATTCTTCACCCACCCAATCCCCAAAGGTACACCGTACACTACACCACTACCACTCTCTCTTACAATCTCTCCCTCTCTCTCTCTCTCTCTCTCTTCTCTTTTTCCTCTCTTCTTCTTCCTCTCCACCACTTCAACGTTGTGTGTCAATCATCACCACCACAACACACTCCTCTCCCTCCTTCCTACACACTCTCCCTCTCCCTCTTGGAACCCAACATCGTCGCATTTGATAGCCGTTCACTTCTGCTATCACTCGACCCTGAGGGTATCTGTCCGTTCATTTCCCCTGTCATTCCTTAATCAACACCCCGAGTACTGTGTACTCTCCCAAAACCTCGCACCCATACACCACCAACCTACCGACCGACCGTTGTCTCGCACGCAAACCTGCTACCTACCACTTCTTCCAACTGACTTATTCAACACCAAACAATTACAACAATACGCCTATACTGTGAGCAATTCTCTTCTCTTCTCTTCTCTTCTCTTCTCTCCATCACCGTCTCAACCTCTACCAGCCGGCCTCGTTGCTGACCCGTCCGTCTTTCGCGCCTCTAGTAATCGCGTCAGCACTTTGTACCTCGAGAGCGCTTGTTTCGTCTCTATCCCGTTGTGCTCACCCTCGTAGCACCTTCAGCAACCCCCCGTCCAACCATCCCCCACCCTACCGTTCCTCTATCCATCGCTACACTGGATTCCGCGGCTTGCAAATCTCACTTCAAAGTGCACACCCTCCGTTAGCGGTGCCAATCCCTAATTTCCTCAGGAACAACCTACCACAATCCGCTGCTACCCTGCGGCGGTCTTCTCCTGCTTCACAATGGCTCAGATCGCCCTGCCACGACAACAGGTTACCCATGCACAGGAATCCACAGACAGCGGCATCGGCTCACCGCTCTACGAGCGGCGCCGTGCCTCCAATGCCGGGCCTGTAGAACTCATCCCGAATCCTGACTTCTCCTTCCCACAGATGCCAGCGGATGAGTCCTCCAACCCTTCGGCCAGGCCCAATTTCGCTCCCAAACCTCGTCCAATGTCGCTCCAGGCGTTTCCCACCGGCCGTCGAGGCTCTGCTCAAGCAGCACGCCAGAAATCCGTTTCTGCTCTGCCTGACTTCTCTTTCAATCCCGCAGGTCCCTCCAAGCAACCAGCCACGACCCCTCCTCATTCACCCATCGCCCTACCGACAACACCGTCACGGCCAATTGGAGGACACAGGCGAGGTGGAAGCGAGTTCATCGGAGGCGATGGAAGGGCAGGGAGTACCAATCTGCTCAGTTCGAGCCCGACCAAGGGCGAGGCAGTTCTTCCTCCACCCTCGAATACCCTTCGACCCGGTCCACCAGCTGGTCGTAGGGGACATGCCCACCGGCGCTCGGGAGCCGTCTCTTCGCATGATCTATCTTCGATCATGCAGCCAGCCAGTGCTGTTCCGCCTCCTGCTCGAGCCGGCAGCGCGCCAGTCACTCCTCTCGAGGGTGATCAATTCGTCTTCGGCCACGCCGTCAACAAATCGATCTCACAGCCCTCGCTGAGGGACAGTTCCTTCTTCGATGACGCTAACTCATCAGGCCGCAGACCTTCCTCCAGACAACGCGTCGGCTTTTCTGACAAGGTCGAGATCATTCGTCCTCTTTCCACCATTTCCTCAGAGACCGAGACCTCCATGTCCACGATAAGGGGTCACTCTGCCACTGGCAGTCTTTCCTCGGTCATTAGTGCAGGAACGTCGAGCCCAGCATCGGCACGGACACGGCCTTCGCTGAATACAACCTTGGAAAGCGACGAGCGCCCAAGCACCGCAGGGGCAGTCCTCGACATGTACAAGAGCAAGAACGTACAATTTGACGATGATGTGTTTAACCGCAAGCGACCAATGTCTGCGGTCTCGCCCGCTTCGCTCAATTCCAGCGCAGGTCCTGTTTCTCCACGCATCACGACCAAGCGACGGGGTTTCTTCCGCCTAGAGTCACGACGTAGCGATCCTTCCATTCACACACTCTCTACCAGCATTTCTGACCCAGCACTCTCCGCCTCAGTAGAGGCTTCTGCTCTTCCTTCGCCCATGCTCGAGGATGAAGAGAATGTGGACGAGACGGACAAGGCCAAATCGAGCCGCAAAGGAAGTCTCAAACCCCGCAAGGTAAAGTCGTGGGCGAATTCGATCATTCGAAAGGGAAAGCACGGCAACAAGATCAAGGACCGACCACCTACTCCCCCTCCAGCTGCCACGGATGCCAACGATTCGACCGAGGAGATGGATTTCGAGGCCACTTTCGAGGCTAACTTTGAGGCCAATTTCGACGTTGACAACACGGTCACCATTGTTACGCCCACTGAGAATGCCGTCCCCGAGCCAAAGCTGAATACTGACATTGCTTCCTGGAAACCCCGGGAGCTGAAGCGCGCCGACTCGGACGCCATGAGCCCTGTGATCGACTTGGATGCCGCGCTTGGACCCTTCAACACCCCCCAAGGAACGGGACCGCGCGGCCAGCAGCGCGGTTTCGGCGCCCATCGCCGGGCCATGCACAGTGCCAGTGGCTACACTGCCTCCCACCGACGGACCGAAAGTGCCCCGGAACTTGCTCCTTTTGATGCTCGGGCCTCCGCCGTTGCCTCTCCCACCACTATGGCGGACGTGTTTGAAGAGGACGAGCCAGAAGAGGAACCCTCCCAAGGCCAAGAGACGAAGGCCGCGTCCACCGATGTCAATGACATCGAGGAGGAGGTCGAAGAACCAAAGATCCAGTTGGTGGAAGCCGCAGAGTCCCAGAATGGCACCACCACCACCACCACCATCAAGTGGAATTTCAACGATGGCCTTGGAATCCAACGTCGAGGCAGGTCCCCTAAAGGTGAAGATTCGGAGCCTCTGTCTCCATTGCAGGCGCCCCAGCCCGTACCGAGCGGCAATGGTTCGAAACAATCGCTTACCACGGATCCGATCGAAGTTGTCGAGGACTACGAAGAACCACGAACATCCTCGTTGACCCACTCCTCGGACTCGACCGTGACCCCATCCGCCGGTCCTGACGAGACCAAGGAAAGCCAGCAAGTGATGAATCTATCCCTCCCATTACCTCAGCAAAGCCTCAGGACGCCTGATACTTTCACGTCTTCTTTCTCTTCGCCAGACTTCCGATCTAGCCAAGCCTCTCTCGACATCCCCCGCCTGGGAACGGCTGCCTCGTCCATGACTGACTATCGCGCAATGCCTTCGCCGCAATTTGGAGAGCCTGGCCCCGAGTTGCGCGTGTCGGTAGACGACGTACCGTCCTTGACTTCGTCTCGTTCGACGATGACAAGCGGCATGCACAATGTCTATCCTCTAATGAGCCCTCGTCGACCTGGAGAGCGATCAACATCTCTTTGCTCGGTATCCAACAGCGAGACTGATTCTCGTCGCCAGAAGCGTTCCAGCATTGCCAGTCTATCGCGACTTATCAACAGCTCTTCTTTCGGAGAGAAGAGCAAGCTCTCCATTGAGCAGCGCCCTCACTCTGAATATCTTGAGCCCGCTAGAGAGTCCAAGAAGAAGCACAAGCGACTCAGCAAGCTGATGCAATTCTGGAAACAAAAGGACTCCTCACGAACATAAACGACTGTCCGTCCAGCCCATCATACACCGCAATCGCGCAACATTTCAGTCCGAATACATTATTGGCTTTGCAGGTGACCCATCCAGTCACTGCCATGTCAACTACACGACATCATGTCCTTTACTAGGCAACCTTTCCTTTTTCTCGCATGACACGGAGTTCCACAGCGAGGCTACGAATGTTTTTTTTTTCTAATGGCGCACACTGCGGTGTGCAATGCATCTTGGACACGATTCGGATCAACACTTTCATTGAACAATTTTCCTGGTCATATATCTATTTCATCAAGTGCTGGAAGGAAAGGTATCTATGGGTTCTTGTAGGATGAATCTGGCGATGCTTTGACTAGTGCTTTGGCATGTCAAACCCCCAACATATCACTCTTTTTCATTCATCTATATTTCATTTCAACTCTCTTGTCCGATCATCTATATGTATCTATAGCACCGTTTCGACTCTTGGCATTTCTATGTACATGAGTCGATGGGGCATTGATCGCAGGACTCTTCTTTCTTCATGGACAGCTTGATTTGCAAGCACGAACCAAAAGCATGTATGTCATCGAACTGCGCTTTATCTCGGTTTGGTCTCTAGGGACTGTAGCGGGGACACCCGCATGCAACCTTGCATCACGGCGGATACGTCGGAGGCATCTCTGTGGCTATGTCACAGGGGAATTCAGCTAGTAAATGGAAATCACCTAAACAGGTGTCATTCGACTCTCTACATCTCCCTCTCCACTTTGAGTCTTTGTCTTGTGATTGTTAGATGCTTTCGACGAAAACACGGAGCGGTCGCATGCTCATCTCCCCATGGGCCGAATCGTCCCCCGTCATAAAGCACGCCCCTCGCCGCACCGTACACTATCACCAATTGACAGACCCAGCCTACAGCCTACGTAGGTATACTCCACAAACTCTGAAACAATAGAAGCAGGTAGATAGATAGATAGCCGGTGGGTATAATTAGTTACAAAGCTCACACTTTCTCCTATCCTACACAGGCTACAGTGTACACTATACCTACTGTGTATAACTGTGTATACACAAACCCCCGTTTCCGAATCGCGCGAAGCGAGATTAGCAAAGGGGCATGGTGGTGGGCAGAGACGGGGTGGACTGGGGAGCGTGACAGGGGGGGAGGAGGAAGTCAGTGCGGCGAACGGAGTAATAAGTAATGATTGTGCTTGTGTGTGTGAGGGCAGTATTCAGTATTGCGGTGTTGCGGTATAGTATTGTATGGAGTAGTGATTGTGGTGTTGTTGCGTGTTGTGATGCTGCGTGGATAGTACTGTATCTACATAGTATATGTACAACGTACCTAGATACTCCGCACTGCACTTCGTATTGTATACACACAAAGGGCTTGCGATGGGAAATCCCATGCTCTTTTCCATTGAAGGACTTGTGCTCTATGATTTAAAAATTGGGATGTGCACTTTGGAGTTCTTACGTCGTTTCTTGGCTTTATCTTTAGTTTTGGATTTGTTGGTAGGGGGAGAGACGGGGTAATTGTAGGTATCTATCTACTTTCATGGTGAGGGGAGAATTGACGGGAGGATTTGGCAGGCGATGGTGAGTTGGTGATGGTGTCTTTGATAGCCCACGTTCGATCGAGTGATAAGGGATCATTACTATGGGAGGGATGGGTGGCATAGTCTATCTGATCTATGTTATGTGTACTGCTATCATTGTTTGAAAGGGCCAAGACAGATTTGATGCTGGGAATTGATCAAGATAGAGGATATTATGCCTTAGAAATTTTTTTCTAGTGGGTGGACGAATGGTTAGTTGATCTCTGTTTCTCCTTCGATTTCCTGGAAGTAGGGTCTTGGTTTAAGATTCTGGGGCGGTTCGTAGGGAAGATTTGGGGTTGTTTTTGATGTTTTCTTGTGTTTAATAATTTTGTGTTATTCATGTGGTTACTACTATTGGATGGATATAGGAGGAGGAATAGTTTGAACACTGGGTTGGTGTAGATCGATATTTTGTAGTTGAAGAGTTTATATATATCTGGTTCATAGCGAGGAGAGTGTATAAGTATGGTGGCATTTATACATTGACTGCCTTGCCCAGTTCATTCGATCCTAATATTTATTTCAATCGTCGTTATGTTTGCTGTAATGAAGACATAGCAACAGGCCATAGAGATAAACATGCTCCAAAGCTATTAAAGAGGGAGTATTATCGCCTTAAGATGTATATACATATCACCATATTGTATATGGGCTGTAAATGCGGCCTAATCAGGACTAGCGCGATCGGGGACCACCTGGTCTCACAATCCGGCGACGTCAAGTGCTTGCTTGCTTGGAGCTTAGGTGGTACCTTAGTCTTGTCCTCTTTACACCTCCACAACTTGACAACATTGAGCTTCCACAACCCAATATACATCAGCAACCAAGCACCAACAGACCGATCCGCGTACAATATGGCTGATGAAGATAAGGAAAAGGCTGAGAAGGTCGCCGCGGCGAAGAAGAGGGTATGTGAATCCCCCGCTCATCCCTTGATATGAAAGTCGGCATTGAGGTGTCGTTAGAGCTCCTTTGGAGCTTTTAATTGACAATGGAGTGAATTGAATATCAGAATGCTAATTGCGCATCACACTGCAGTACGAACAAATGAAGAAACAGAAGGCGAAGAAGGGAGGAAAGAAGAAGGAAGACAAGACCGAGTCGTCCTCCGCACCCGCAGCACCGCCAGCAGAACCAGCAGTCGAGGAACCCGAAACCAAGCCCGAGCCCGCCGTAGACGAGAAACTGGAAGAAAAAGTCGAGGAAAGCGCCGAACCAGAGCCCATCGAAGCTACGAGCGCCTCGCCTCCGCCTGTCGAGGACGACGACGAGCCCGCCGAGTTGCCTAAGCCCACGGCTGGTGCCGGATCCCATGCGCGCAAACCTTCCGTCGCGGTCGAGTCGCGACAGCGGTCTGCGTCTTTCTATCGGGGAGGAGGGGACGCGGGCGTCGCCTCTCCCAGCGGGGTCTCCGGCGATATCTACAGAGAGCAGGCGCAGCGGATAGAGGAGCTGGAGCGGGAGAACAAGAAGCTGTCGTCTGATGTCGAGAGCGCGGAGAAGAGGTGGAAGAGTAGTGAGGAGGAACTGGAGGAGCTGCGCGAGGGTCAGGGCGATGCTGCGCTCGCGCTCGAGAGGGGCAAGGAGGCGGAGAAGTTGGTAAGTCGGATATCTGATCGCATGAGCGGAGAGGGGTTGTTTTGCTAACATGGGTTATTGGCAGAAATCCGAGGTCGAATCTTTGAAGCGACAAGTTTCGCAGCTCCAAGCTCAATCGTCCAAGTCGAACCGTCGGGTGTCGACCGCGTCGCCGAGTCAATCTGCCTCGATCGATGACCTCAACGCGCAGGTTGCGTCCAAATCGGCCACGATCGAGTCGTTAGAGCTCGAGATCTCGAATCTCAACAAGCAGCTTGCCGACCAGACCACCAATGTGAACTCGCTGCAAACTAAGATCTCCGCCCTAGAGTCTTCCGTGCAAAAGGCGGAGCAGGAGGCAACATCTGCGAAGACGGAGCTTTCGGAACTCAAGGCCAACCTCGACAAGGCGAGCGAGCAGGCAGCGAAGGATGGTTCTGATCGATCATCCGCGGAGACCAAGATTGCACAGCTGGAGGCAGAGCTGAGTGCGGCCAACCGCAAGGCATCCGACTCCGTATCCCGTGCCGAGCTTCTGGAGAAGAAGGTCGAGACATTGACCCAACTACACCGCGACAACGATGCCAGGAACCAGACCCGGGTGCAACAGTTCAACAAGGTCGAACGTGAGGCGACCGAGCTGCGGACACGAGTCACTGGTCTCAGCAACGAGAACGCCCGCCTGAGAGAGGCTGAGCAGCGTCGCCGAAAAGTCGATCTCGGCTCTATCGAGGACACCAGCGTGGAAGAGCTGGTCGCGGAAGAGCGTGACAAGCTCATGGCAAAGGTCCGGGAATTAGAAGAAGAGAACTTCGAGCTGAAACGAGGCGTCTGGCGAGACCGCCGACGCGACATGCAACCTGCCATCGACGACCATTCCGAGCACCCCTACGGCTCGTCCGGCTTCGATGATGTCGACCTGTCCGGCAACAGCGTAGGTCGCCCTACTCCTCGACAAGGCTCTTCCTTCCAGGACGTTATCAACTCCGGCATATCGGCATTCACTGGCCAACCCCACCCACACCGCAGGAGCGACGCTGCCTCCCATGGCAAACCCAGCCTTGGCCGGGACCGAGAAGGAAGCCTGGCAAGTCTCGACGAGTTCGAATTCGACGAGGATGCGTTCAGGGCCGCACAGGAAGACGAACAGAGGAAGAGGATCGAGAGGGTCAGAGAAGTCAAGAGGGGCTTAAAGGACTGGGCAGGGTGGAGGGTAGATATCATTGACATTAGAGTTGGACTAGGCGGCGTCTTCGACGTCTAGGGTTACGGGATATGGTAGACAAATGAATATAAGTCATCATCGGATCAGATTAAACAATTATTGCCCAAGAGCAGCCAAAATTACTCACTCATGAGACTTTGACCATGCTCACTTTGAACCTTGAGCATACTTCTTAACACCCTAGTAGCAGGGTAGATGTCTAACGTTGAACATAACATGAAATAGACCCAGCGCTATCGCCTAAGTATCATGTATACGCTTTCTCTATCTGTTGGTGCAATTCAAAACTTTCCTTAGGTCTGTATATGCGTCTGAAAACTCTACAACTCCTAATAGCTGTTGATAAACAAGAAATATAGAGAGATAATTGTTGCAATTGTTGCATACACTATACGCATGTTATCTACAGACACAGAGTTTCCTGTTCACTGCCTGTTCACTGTCTTAACATTTACTGTCTTGTCATTCACATCTGTTCACTTTCTTCCTGCTCACCATCTCCTGTTCACCATCTCCTGTTCACCATCTCCTGTTCACCATCTCCTGTTCACCATCTCCTGTTCACCATCTCCTGTTCACCATCTCCTGTTCACCATCT